TTCGCCTGGTAGATGGTAACGGGAACACAAATTACCACTATGCGTGAGGCACGTCACAACCTGCTTGCGCGTGTAGGTCATTTTGGCCGCGGTGTGTTATTCTCGACGATGGAGAAGATGGAAGGAAACAAGAAGGAAGCAAGGGGAAGGGGAAGGGGAAGGGGAAGGGGAAGGGGAAGGGGAAGTAAAGCAGTCGCTACATATCAAGCAAGGTGTCGCAGATGCTGTCTTATTCGCACCATTGTAGTCCCGGCTGGGAGGCTGGTGCATGCTTGAGATGAGGGGTCGGAGTACTTCTCGCATGTACCTGCACGTGCCGTACCTCCATGCTACACAAATGGCGACACGACATTGGACGTCTATCGTTACCAATCAATTGATACTTGACGTGCGCTTCACGTGTCTTGTCGGAGGAGCCGAGTCCTGGCGCTTACCGAAGGACACGCAAGGGAGCGACACGTCGCGTGCCAGCTGAAGAATGCCTTTGGCTCAGCGACGCGGGTTGCAGCTGCCACGCTGGTGTGTTCAACAGGGGACGACGCGATGCCGTGGGCTGCACGTTCAGTGACAGGCCTGGCATCCCGGGCCATGTGGTGGTGAATGTGTTAGTGATTGTGCGGGCCCGTGTGTTAGCGTTCCCGTCTTCGCCCTCCACGGCCGTGCCAAACCAGATTGCCCCAGTAGTTCGGAGCCCAACGTCACAATTGCTCCAGTCCAACATCACCCGTTGACTTCCCAATCACTGTTCGCTGTTCGTGGACCGCCGAGGCCGACTTGTACACAGTCGAGTCGGCTCATCACTTCAGCTCTGTGTTTGCCTGAGACCCGCACACATTGTGGAAGCGGCCTGCGCCGCGTGAGATGATGGCCAGTCATTGTTTGTCCACACGATCACTCTCCATCATGATACCAAAGGAAGGGTCCCCTACGCCTAGTGAAATCTACCGTTTTCACATGCGGGGGTCGCTACTTGACAACTAAATACGCAGCTAGTTTCCTTTGACCGCTCCAGTCACTCTTTTCTCCCTTCGCAGCCTTGTCGCATTCTCGTCGTCTGCCTTTCACTCTCTCATGTATCAGCCGCCACAACAGCCCGGGTAACACCTGTTCAACATGCGTTCTGCTCCTACCACCGCAACGTGAATTCCCGCCAGGCGGCAGAGCTCGCAAACAAACCACCTTCACCTCTCAGCGCTCCTCGCTTCCAACGTGGCCCGCACGGCCTGCGGCAGCTTTGGTCGCACTCCGTTCGCTGCAAGAGATTCTCCTCCCACAATCGCCTCTGCTTCCAGCCTCACGCAACCCACAACCCACAACAACTGATGCCATGTCATCACCGCACAATGTTCCTTACGGTAGTCCGCGTTCTCTGTTCTCACCGACGCTGGGTAGCATCGAGGAAGTCTTCGAGTATGAGCCGCTTGACATCACCAGCCAGCCAGCCAGTCCTCCTCTCACGCCACACGAGACGCAGGACACATCTGTTGGTGTCCTGCCTGAGCCGTCAACTACCGCTGCGGCCACTCTCTCGGTAGGGCAGCGAACCATGGGCATCATTGTCAGCCCCCGCAAAGGACGAACTACCTTGGCCACGTCCAAGGTCACCAATGTTTTGCGCAAAGTGCTCGAGGCCGACCGAGTTCGAAGACGCCGAGCGTTGCGCATTTACCTCAAGGCTATTGTGTTCCTCAAGTTACTTCTCAAGTCACACGAGCGATAGTGGCGCCCTCATGGCAACGTCTGGCGTACACATGCCGCGCTGAAGGTGTGCTTAATCGAGGCCTCGGAGTCCACCGGCACGGTTACGATTTTGATTTGCGCATTGCGCTTTTTTGTCTGCAGCATAGCGATCAGGGGGAAAGCATTGCACGGCGCACAAAATCTAGTGAGCATCACACCATCACGTGTGGTTGTACCAGGCTAACCTAATCGGCAAGCATACGGATAAACAGCGTTTGATGGCGCAGGAGTTCAATCCTGTGCAACCTTTTCAATACAATACCTCTTTTGAGTATGTCGTTCAGCTCGGTGACCTTGTTTACTCTTGTCTCTCTTCGAGATGACAGCTTTGCGCCTGCGGCTTTGATAATCTGCCAGTCTACCGTCGCCGAACAATATCATCAGTTATCAAATACACCATTCTGAAGAAGATGCGGCTAGCTACAGTCACGACTGATTCTAAGAGGCTACTGCACAACGCTAATAACTTTTCCAAACACCGGAATGGCATCGTGATATGCATTGACAATGTTCGGCAAGTCAAAATTAACGGAGTCGTGTTCTGCACAGATCGTAATTCCGGTTGGCCTTGTTACACTTTGTTTGTAAGCAAATTGTCGATTCTATGCTCATTAGCACACAGCTCAGAAGAGGGAGACAGTTTTGTTTGAGGCTGGGTCAATTGGTATGAGGGAGACGCTGGAACAAATGGTACGAGTGAAAGGAGCAAGCTTCGGCCAGGCAGTTCTCACAGAGGCAGGCAGTTTGCAATTCACGCAACAGAAGCATACAACTCGGACAATTACCATAGGTATCACTCGCCAGGCATCTCTTCTCGAGGGTACATTAAGCATCGGTATCAGCAAAATGTCCTACTTTGCTCACCAATGACTACATCTACAGCCTAACAAACCCAATCGCTTCAATCATACATTCTCGTCTCTCATCACCACTGTCTTTGTTCGATCAACATGCCTCGCGCTGAACCAATCAACAAGCTTTCTGAGACTGTCACTGTCGAGGAAGAATCGTCTTTAGCATATCCTCTCACACCCGAGAACACACCAAAGATGGGGCAATCAACAACAGACTTCTTCGTGAGTAGCGGCTGCCAAATTATCGAGGATTCCATGAGTCCGGCTGCTCGTAAGGCATTCGAGGAAGAGAATGCGATATCCAGGAGGCATCAAGAGCAAGGAAAGGGACGGAAGCTTTCGATTCCTTTCAGTCCTACGTCTAAGCAGCGCTCTACACCCTACTTCAGCGACTCTGATGAGGACGACAAGTATACTTCCGGCCTGGAGCATGGAAGTCCATCTGCTATGAGAGAGAAGACGCGACCCGCGTCGAAGCCCAACAAGGCTACAAACAGGGGCAGCGTAGCATTGAATCAACAGGCAGATTGGGATGCTATGATGGCGCGGATAAGGAAGGATCGGGCCGCAGCGCTGAAGAATGTGGAAAACAAGTAAGTGCATCAAGGGGGCTCAGTGATAGGGCGAGCCTCAATGTTGCGATTGCAAACACAAGTAAAGTTTGGGAAATTGCGGGATATTATGGATCAGTCTTCGCGTGCAAAAGGTATACGAGTTTAACGTATAGAATTTCCAACCCCGTAAGCCCATTCTCATGCCGAAAACCGCGCAGTCATGTTCTTTGGGATATATGAAGTGACTTGCATTTTTAACAGGCTAGCAGCGGTCTCTACATTGTGTTAATCCTGTAGGCGTGAAGTAGCTAGTATCTTAGGTATGTGGAGGTATATCGTTGCGGGCACGGACCGAGACCGCGAGTGTCCAGTGAGGCCATGGACCGAGTCTAGGGATGTCGACGTGAAGGTGCACGTCAATCATCGGCATGCAAGTCACTGCCACAGTCCGAGCAGACTTGCGATTGTCGGTTGTGACTTTTTCATGTGAAAGATCCCTAGGTGAGGCCTTCGGCGCAGCGATAGCCCCATTCGCACAGTGACTCCCGTGATCAGGCGTTTCACAAACACTTGCTTCGTGGAGCTTTTAATCTCATACCCATTGCTATCATAGCCATCTCCACCAACTGTGAGCGACATTCAGGATCCCGGCCTACATCTCTCATCGGGCTCTTCATTACCACAGTAGCAAAGATGGCCCCGAAAGAAGCCGCACTTCATACCCAAGACCTGATCGACATCATGGTTGAACTCGACCATTGGAAGTTTGAACCTCGCTTCGCAAAGGCCTTGAAGATGGCCAATCGCGGAACACTCTACCAGTTGAACGAACAAGACCTAGAGGACCATCGCGGAGGTATCTTCGGCAAAGAAATCTGGGACTCACCCATCCTCTCTGGAAAAAACAATCTCCCCTTGACCTCCCTCCCCACACCCGCGCAAACACAGCGCATCATGATGCTCGAAATTGGGGGTGACAATGAGTACACATTCGCCCCATCACATGGCTCTTCTGATCTCGACGTCCACGCCACAAAGGTCCTGCTCGAGAACATGCTCAATCCGACATATGCCAGCCGCGGCGCCATCATCCACGCCGCATGTCCCACTCTCGACCGTCTCCGCAAGGACACATCAGCCTCGCAGAACGACGGAGTTCTCGGCCAGACTGACTTTCAAGTCAGCATCGCCCCAGCATGCGAGTTCTTTGACGTGAAGGTTTACGACAATCGCCGCTATATAACGCTTTTGAGCGGCAAACAAGTCATCATCGCATACCCTCCTTCTGTGGAGAACTCTACCATGCTAACAGCACGATACGAAGCGCTCGCACGCTCGGCTTCCGGTGCGATTTGGGACGCAGTCGACCTCCAGTACGGCATTGCAATTGTGCAGAAATCCGGCGAGACACTGGTGCTCCCGCCCTTTTGGTCCTGCGTCGTCTTATGTACTGAGATGTGCGTAAGTGCGGCGTATAGCATCGCCACAGCATCTCAGTACACTCACCGGTTCAAGCACATCGCCATTTCCATCACACAACTTCAAATGTGGCCCGACCCACGGACACAGCAAATCGAACTGATGAAATTGGCCTCCTCGCTCGCACATCATCTCGGCCTCAGTATAAACTCTCACCTCCCATGCTTCGACAATAGGGCTGTTGTTACCGATATCTGCAAGAAATGGGAAGGCGAGATGAAGGCGAAGTTCGGGCAGCTTCTGGGCATGATCGATGACGAGGCGGAGTGCGACCGCATATGTGGGATCGTCACGCAGGCGTGGATTCAGCTTGTGCATGCGAGGCGCGATAAGAAGCCAGTCTGTAGGCTGTGCAAGGGGCGGCTGGATAGGGTTAAGGGTTTACCTGGTCCGGATCAGCATCTAATTGACCATGTGGTGGACACACATTGCGCTGTGAGGATGCGAGAGTAGGCTGGGTGGCATAGAGTCGTTGATTGTTTGTATAGAAATCCGAATTACCAAAAATCAAACTCGTAAATGTAAGCACTCTCAGCTCCATAATTTTACAAGATGACCAAAGGTGGAGTGGAGTGCAGGAAGTGTGGCGGGATCGATCGTACCTTCCAAAACACTGAGGCAGCACCTGTATCGTCTGAGTGAAGGTAAGAACGCTGGCCGTCAATAACGGCCAACATTTCCGTGATTGAATGAGCTCTCGATTCCACCTCAACCAAGCTAAATCTCACCCGTCACCCCTTCAGTTCTCCGCACAATGCTACATCTACTCGCTCCCTGATTTGATACTCTTGCTTCACATCAGCATCACTTTCCCATACCAGAATTGAATGCATCACAAAAGGTTGGTGGACAACTTCTTGGCCTGGAAAATTCTACCTTTCAAGCAGAATCACTTGCGTTCTGCCAAAGGTGACCACTAGGCCAGCCTTATCGACCAATCCACCTCGAGCACCATTTTACCCTTACTGAAGCTCAGCGGGACATGTGCGCTCTGGCTTCGCCTCCTCTTCTCAGCAACCACCGCGCTCGCTACAGACCCTAGCTATGTAGTGGCTACTATCGATGAGACACAGTACCGAGTCAGGGATGACAGGCGCCCCGCGTTATACACTGCAGATTATGGGGACTGTTTAGGCGAAAGTCTGATCAACGTCACTCGTTTTGATGCCGCCTACCACAAGGATAATACGACCGTTCTATTCCACCTCGAAGGTCAGACTGCTTTGGTCTACGAGAGTATCATGATGTCGATCGGGGTGTATGCTTATGGTGAAAGTCGATTCGAGCTTACCTTTAACCCGTGCAGTGCCAACATCGACAGGCAAGCGATCAGCCCTACATTGATGAACGCCTTTTGCTGATACGCATAGTGCATGCCCGGTCATAGCTGGCGTTACGATTGAAGCTGAAGGTTTCATTCCTGTCAACCAGAACGACGTTTCTGGAATTCTGAACATCTCGTTATACATCCCGGACTTCGAAGGGCGGGCCATCCTGAGGATCTTCTCGAACTCTACGCAAGCTGAGATCGGTTGCTATGCCGCGCAAATCATGAATGGAAACACGTTCCGCCAGAAGACTGCAGTGGGCGCTGTGCTAGGGGTGTTCACGGCGACAGCGATGATCTCCTCCTTTACTACAGCAATCTATGGGAATAACATCGTCGAGATGCGCAAACACTACGCTCATTCAGTTTCGGTCATGGTTGTGTTTTCTGTATGGCACCACATCTATTTTAGCGGCGCCCCATCGATGAAGTGGCCTGGTGCCCTTGTTTCATTCTGGAGCAACTATGCTTGTGCGGGCGGCATGATATACTCCGAACACATGCAGAACATCATCAATGAGTTCATCAGATCCAACAAAGGCAACACATCCCACTTGGGCGCTACAGGGAATGGTGTCAATAATCCGGACCTTGATGACGGTTACAGTATCCAGGTGATCTACAAGCGAGAGATGGATGATCGAAGCAGAGACTTCTCGTATACGGGAAAGCCTGTGAAGCCCGGCCTTCCTATCCCCGGAAACTTTTCTGGCTTTCCTGGGACACTTGCACAAGAACGAATACCTGCTTCGAACGCGTTCATGACGTGCCTACTCTGGTCGCTGATACTGGTCGTCTGTCTCGTTGCTTCAATTGCAACTTTCAAAGCCTTGTTGGAAGCATTCAGCAAGATGAGACTGCTGAAAAGAGACTCACTGGCCTATTTTCGGGCTCACTTCATCCGTTACACGACTCTTACTGTCTTGCGAGTTGCCTTCCTCGGGTTTTTCATGACAGCCTTTGTCTCAATGTTCCAACTCTCCTATCTGAGGTCGACAGGCCCTGTTGCAGTAGCTTGTGTGGTCTTCTTTCTCGTGGTATTCGGTACAGGTACTGCGGCGGGTCTTGCTTGTTACCGGAAGGTGCGTGGCGGAGGATACCTGTGTGAGAGAAACGCCTTGATCATTGAGGAAAGGAAAGTTTGTAAGTTCATTCCATGGTTCAAAGTTTCACGCCAGAGCGAGGCTTCGCGATCGGAGGATAAGGCATATGTCGGGACGATTCCTTGGTGGACTCTCCGATCCTCGTCTGGTGAAAAGTCGGTCCATGACGACGAGAAATTCATCCGGTCGTTTGGCTGGCTTGTATCGCGATATCGTCCGACACGCTGGTGGTTCTTCGCACTCTGGCTTTTGTACGAGTTCACCAGGGCCTGCCTCTTGGCTGGAGCTTCCAGTCAACCTCTCATTCAGGTCTTCGGTCTACTTGGGGTCGAATGTATAGCGCTCATCGTTGTCTTCTATCTTCGCCCCTTCGAAGGTCAGCGCCTCAACATCATCTTGGCATACTCTCTAGGCTCCAGCAAAGTAACCACCACTGCTCTTGCTGCGACTCTCGATATGCGATTCAATTTACCCCGCATTTTGGCGACTGTGATCGGAATTGTGATCATCGTCATCCAGGGACTGCTGACGTTGGTCGTTCTGTTCGCGATCATAAGCGGTGCCATCACCACCTCCTTCTCTGTCAGTCGAGACCAGGAAGAAGTACGACCAAGAGGATGGATGCCTGTCCGCGAGAAGTACTTCAAGCACCTTAACGGTCAGGCCGATGACATTGTTCCACGACGTCGCTCAGTATCCGTTATGCCGATGCAAGAAGCACAAAAAGGCTCATACTTCAGCGTGAACCGGGTCCAGCGCGTACCCAAGGTCGAAGACGAGGATGTTGAGTTCGTGCAGGAGATCTACAACGACTGCTCGGTATCTAGAACGTCAGTACTCAGACAGGATGAAGTGGAACCCGTAAATGGCTTATTGCATCGAAGTCGAGCCGGGAGTGACACGTCGCAAACTTCACAGTCGAGTTTGCCACGAGCAGCACGTGTCCATCGTCCCACCTGGAAGTCGCATGACTTTGCCGAAGCGCGGGTTGCAGGGCGAACAAAGACACTAAGTAAGACTACGTCTTCCACGCCTGAATATCCCGAGCGCCCAACGAGCGTAACAGTACCGCAACTCGATGGTGCATCGAGCGGTTCCGAGAATGTGGTTGGACGTTCAGAATCTTTCCTTCCAGCTGCAATTCAACCCGAATCGGCGGCGTACAAGCCAATCCTGCATCCTTTTGCGGAAAAAGATGGAATGAGCCCGGCTCAGCGGTCTGGCCGCAAACCTAGCGTTCATTCGTGGTCGAGCTCCACACTGCCAATGGAGGCAGCGACTGACCAAGGAACCATTTCGCCGATGTGCATAGAGAGCAGCAACATGCTCCAGGAGCAGAGTCAAGAGACCTAGTAGAAACAGCATCGACCGATGCCGCGGAAAAGCAGCAAGAGACGTCCAGGACGAGGTGAGATTATGGAGAGGACGAAGCAATATGAGCGGCAACGACAGGACATGAAGCAGCAATAAAGGTGTGAGTATAGTAACAGAGATAAGGTGTAGCAACCACGATTCCGAGGACATGGTCAAACAACAGGATTTGGACCATAATCAACAGAGCAAAGATGGAATCTCGATAGACGGAACATTCTCCACGCGACATCTTCTCCCTGCGGGTGCAACCAGGACATTATCGGACAGGACTTGGCGCAACGCAATGACCGCATTGCAAACACTGCGTCATATCTTCCCATGTTCGTTATCGGTGCTGCGTTGGATATGAATTTCAAGCTGCAGATGGATAACACTGCGCAGCGATGTGCGTGGTGGATCACCACACGATGACAGTTTAGTAAGCACAATCAATAGAACAAGCAGTGGTGTAATCAAGGCGAAGCAGAAGCAAGATTGTGCATGATGAAGGAAATGTGAAGTGAAATTTAGGATTTGGTGCATGCCGCGGCTCTCGCCTCCCGCAAAGACGGCGTGACGCAACGCCAGCGCTAGACGTGGAAGTTTATTTAGCAGCATGAAACTGCCTTTCATCTCGTCTCACCTCAACAATCTGGCGAGAAGCATGACCGCATATTGGCTTGCAGCAGCGAAGACGTGGTGAGACATTGGCTCAAATCTCTGCTGCCCTGTTTTTCCTGCCTCGATAGCAGTCCGCATCGGGGACCCTTGCAACGTGTGGCGTCACCATGCGGAACCCCACTGATGGACATATGGAGAACGCGGTGAGCTGACGCGCACAGAAAAGAGGCCGTATTCGTGATGAAGCCACAGCTACGTCACTCGCCCTCTCCACATGCAGCGAGCAGACTATGCCATGGAGCGGAGAAGGAGGGTGGCATCGCACAGCCGTTGGACACGGCAACATGTGGCGCGACGGATGTGCATGTCACGCACCCACCAGCGATGGAAAAGCGCATTTCTCGCGCATGTCTCGCGCATTTCTCCATGGCCCCAGCCACATGCGACATGGGCAAATTGTCGATTTTCTGCCGCATCGAAATTTGCAATGACCTCAGTGCTGTGGCGCACAAGCCGGGGTGAGGCCTGCATGCCAATCCTCCAAACGGTAATTGTCTGCGCATCGATGCCGAATCGGGGACTCGAGCAGGCAGGTTTTACGCCATGTGTCGGCTGTTTGCAGCAGGCTAGACGGGTAATGGCGTTGTCATTGGGATTGCAAGGGAAATTTGCGCTGTTGGGGCTGGAACTGGAACCCACCGCCAGGCAAGGGCGCGTGCGCGTGAAGGTTGTGCGAGTGCAAGGGCGTTTGCGCAACTGACGTCACAACGCGTTCGCCTGGAGAGGAGTGGATATAAGGGAAGAGCAGGCGCAGGCTTGTTTGTTTTGTGACACATTCCAGCACACACTACTCCTCCCACTACAAACCCCAATCTTCTCACCTCACCGAGAAACAACGCTTCACCTCTCCCAACTCCACAACCGATATACCAAACTCCCACTCAACTCCATCACTCCACAACAACCGCAACTATGGGCGCCGTTGTATCATGCGTACGTCTCTACATACACGATAGCCGCCGCCAGCGATTCGCAAGTGCTAATGTGAAATAGATCAAATCTGTGTTCCGCACCATCGGCAACTGCATCATGGCCATTGTCAACGCCATTGCCGCCGGTCTCAAGGCCATCATCAACGCCATCGTCTCTCTGTTCGGCATCATCATCAGCTGCCTGACATGCGGCCGCGGCGGCGGTGGGCGCAAGACCAGGACGACGCATACGAGCAGAGTCTGAGGCGGGCCCGTCAACCCGAAGACGGGCATGTAGCCACATCAACCACCAACATTTGATGTGCGCGGCGAGAATGGACGTTGAATACCCGGAGTGCATCAAGACAGAGAGTAATGAGGCGAGGATTTTCTTTTGCAGGGGATGGGATGAGCGCTATAGATACCCAACGAGCTTTTGAATGGATGGATCAGTTCTACTCCGCTACTTGTTTCTTTCTCATGCGTGTGATGGATGTTGGCGAGCTTGTGTTGCGCAGCAGGTCGAAGTGGTGCCGTGGCAATATCTTCTGGCCTGGGCTTTATCGCTGTAAGTGTGAAGCTCACGAATATATCACTGGCGCAGAAGACTCATCACTGCTAGGGGTGACTGCGTTTCTCATGCCTGCTTCCATGTTGACGCATGCAACCGCCTCGTTCAAAGTCTACCTCTCATGCCTAGTTCCACGCTGTAAACCCCAGATGGAACGCCTCGCTAATAGATACCATACCGACTCTAAAATCAAATGACAAAGAAAATCTTCGTCTCCGTGGTAAACACACTCAGACGGAATGTTCTCGTCCCGTGCCAGCCGGCATGTATTCCCCAGGCCCAACTGGCTTCGCTCCCGGCGTCGTCGTATGCTCTGGGCTCAACAGCGGCGGCGTGCTTAGCGACTCCATCGCAAACCCATGGTGCCCATGATACTCGGTGCTCGTCGCCAGCGGCGTCGAATCCGAATAACTATGCATACTATAATGCGCGCTCTTGCCACCGTTTTCCAGATGCACAGAGCTATGCTGACCATGCCCGAGATGCGCATATACTTGGCTGTCCTTGTGATGATGCTCCTCGACTTCCAACACATACGGCTCTCCGCTCTTCTTCAGCCGCGAATTACACCACATCGAACTCAACTTATCCGACACGAGCACGAGGAAGAGGAGTATAACGCAGATCGGAAGCAGTAATGCCGTTTGCAGCGCGGCGTAGAGTGCAGCCTTGTTCGCGTACAAGCCGAGCAGCGCGGAGCCCACGCCCAGCACAATGACCCGCGAGATGATGGATGTGTAGTCGAACAAGTCCACCTTGTGGCGGCGGATTAGGAACAGGAAGATTGTCAGGCATAGGATGAGCACGCAGAAACATGCCCAGTAGTACATGTACACGAGTTCCCAGCTCTCGAGCGCGATGTCTAGGGGCTGGAAGCCGTGTTCCAGTTTCTTCACGGGGATCTTTATGCCCAGACCGACGTAGAGGCCGTTGGATATCGAGGAACTCACGTTCCAAAGCTCCTGCGGCCAGTCATCTGTCACCGTTGCGCAGATACCCGTGCTGTTGCCCATTTTGAAAATGGCCGACTGCGCGTCGTGGAAAAATTTCATGGTTTCGAGTTTGCCGTCGAGCTCGAAGTAGTGTAGGATGGATAGGAGGCCGTCGCGGAGCTCCGTCCCATCGAGTCTTTCCACGTCGCAAAGCTGGGTCAGTTCCTTGCCGATTTTGGAGATGGTTTTCATCGTGTAGCGAGCGATGGCGAGTTGTTGCGACCCTTCGACAACGCCGACGATGGCGAGCTGGAAGGGGAAGTGTAGGAGAGACCAGATTTGTTGGCGGATGGTTCCGTAGTGGCCGTGCGGGAAGTTGTCGAAGTACAAAGCCCAGATGAAGACCTGAACATGTCAGTGTGTGATTGGAGATATTTTCTAGGAAAGTCCTCTCACTAGAATGATGATGATGCACATGATCAAGAAGCAGCCTTCAACATCAAGGCCATGCTTGCCCATCAGTCTGCTGACAGTCTTGGTCGCTCCAATGGCTCCTTCACCAATGACGATGATGGTGAGTAGGCTCATACGCTCCATCAGATGCGTCTTCTTGAAGCTGAGCATGCGCCAACAGGAAGAGATACTGATGACTGCAATGGCTTCAACCGCGGCAACGACGTACCAGACCAGGTAGACCAGGTGGTGCTTGTTTTGAACGCCCTTGAAAGCTGGTGTCATTGCAGCAAAAGCAGCCATTGCGACAGCATAGGTCAGGAACATGAGACCAAGCGGGAGATACAGCTTGGCATAGCGGGCTCTCCATGTGAAGAACTATCGGATTTAGCGTGGTAGGAGATGACAGGATATCATTTTGAGGAGCTTACGAGCACGACCAAGTACTGGAAAGCCAGCAGCCCTCTGCAGATTACAAGTGTATAGCACAGGATGCGGAAGTTCTACCAAATATTAGCTCATCAGTACCCGCCCAGTGTCATCGTACTCACGATGTTGTCTCCCTTGCGACTTGCAGGATTGAACTGCGAGCCCACGAGCGCCAGGCCCACAAAGCAGATGAATTGGATTGTCTTGCAGATGCGCTCATACAGCGAGTCTCTAGCAAACCGCACATCGTGTAGCGTGATCTGGAACCATGTCGACCATAGAATGCCGAAGAAGCCAATGTACCCGAGTAGGTAGTCACCATCGGTGATGGAGTGGTATGCCGTAAAAGTTGCGAGATTGGCTACGAAGAAGAGATCGAAGAACAGTTCAATGCTGTTGGCTTCGGATCGCTGCGAGAAGACGAGAGAGTTGTGATCTGCGCCTACAAGCGGGGATTCAATCCATGGTGTGGTTTGGTGAAGACGCTTGAGATGCTTCTCTTTATCGCTACCGGAATGTTAGTTCCAAAATTTGAGGTATATTAGATCGCTCGACTAGAGCTCGGGAAGCGTACACATCGCGCTGGCAAATGTTAGCGTGATGCTCGACCAGCCCACAGACAGTTATGCATCCAACATACTCTATGGCCATGGAATGTGAGCCCCATCTTAAATCTCCCCAGTGCCTACTTCGCTGCTCCGATGAGGAAAAGAGACCGCAGAACTCCGTTGACAACAGCTCCACAAGAACGATGTCGACCGAACTAACAATTATCAACACGGCGACATGCAGCCCTTAAAAGACAGCATACCAAGCACAAACATCCCCACGGCCCTACCAAGCGTGGCCCATCTTAGGGCTCGATCCATGCCCGCTGCAGCACCAACGCACTCACTAGCGCAAGTCTATTGCACCGCATTGTGGCTGTTCCGCCGTCGGTTGCAGTGTCCCCTTCCGTACACCACTCAGGGACGGCGGCGGAAAAGCTAAAGCTAAGCTAAGAGAAGCCTCATGCCAACAGCTACCTGCAGCTATAACCTGGGGCTGAGAATAACACTGCTCTGCATTCGTATTGGCCTGTACCAATTGAGCGTACTTGGGCGGACACGTGCAGGTGCCAAGACGATGCGTGAGCTTTCAGCTCCAAGCTTGAGGACGGACCGGACGCTGCGAACTCAGCTTGTGGCGTAGTCAGGCAGCGTCGTGGAGCTTTTTGGGAGAAGACCAGTCATCGCTGATGGTAGTGCTTATTGTAGAGACGCAGCGTGTGCGGTATTATTCTCTCTCTCGACGTCCACTTGCTGCTGCGTATATCGGGCCAATACCATTGCGATCTGCTGCGCCTCGACATTCATCATCTCAAAGTTCCGGCATTATGACGATCCCGTATCCGCGATATTCGGATAGCGGAAACGGGCCTTGAGACGACATGGCGGTGCACATGGAAAAGGCCCGTGGCTCTAGCGCTCATGTCAGCGGTAGGCCTCCCCACTACTCCAGCTCCTTCTCAGCTTTGGGCGCCAAGGTCCCGAATACTCAATCCGGGCGTCATCAAGAATCTCATCCTCAATGTTGATTGTGATGGGCGTCAACACCGTGTTGTGTTGGGTCAGATTGCGGGATCGACTGGAAAAGGGGAGGATCTTGGCGAGTCGCAACCCAACGCGAGCTCCTACCACCAGGCTCTTGCACAGCGACTGACCGACGGAGATATGAATCAATCCGAGTTTTGCTTTTGTCTATTCATAGATACTGTACAATATATACTTGCGTGATGCAGGACCACAATGATCTATATCCATTTCTACCAGTGACATAGCAACGCTGCGCTTGGTGGAGAGTCTAAGGTATGACAAGGCAACAAATTCGAACCTATTGACAACAGATACAAATGGCCTACTTTCGTATTAGACTCGTTCGCTCGTTCGAGCTCTCCCCGATAACTTCTTCTTCGTCGTCGTTCTCTTCTTCCTCGCTTTCATCGCTCCAGTCATCGTCCTCGAGCCCTGCGCCACGGATGCCAAAGCTCATAAAGAACCCAATGAGCGAAATGCCCGCGAAGATTCCGAAAGGCAGTGCCTCTCCTTTTGGCTGAATCTTGGTTGCCGCAGTGAAGAGCGAGCCAGAGATGAATGGTCCTGCCGCACGACCAGCAGCAGAAAGTGTTTGTGCCAAGCCGTTCAAGGTGCCGAGAACGTTGTGGTTTGGTGCAGAGTTGGTGATCTAACAGAGTGTTAGCACGTTGCATGATGAGATTCCACCAGCGACCAGGGGACTTACTAAGAGCAAGGCAGCCGTTAAACCACCGACACCTGCGATTGTCTTGATCACCAAAACTACACCGAGCTCAAACCAAAGCCAAGCTGCGCCGCTCCCGATGCCCTTGTACGGGTCGCTGTTCTTGTAGCCCACCCACGGCATCAAGATGAATGCAGCAACAAACAGCGCCAAGCTGACTCTGTATGCCACTTTGTTGCCCATCTTGTTACGGAGCCTACCAAATATGCCCACTTGGAACACAATGGTTATAGCGCCTGCAAAAGACAACGACAGCCCAACAGCCTCGGGTTTCAGACCACGCCCCGTAGGCGGAAGTTCTTCGGCAAAGATAGGGTAGAGCGAGTTGTAGGATATGTTTGCGAGTTGGAAAATGAAGTAGGTGATGAGGAGGAGCACGGTATCGCGGTTGAGAATCTCTTTTCGCGAGAGGACCTCGCCGTTGGTATGGGGGAACAGCGTCGGTGCTGACTCGCCTGAAATGTCTGATCCGTCGTCCTCGTCATCTTCCTCTTCTGTGCCGTTGATGTCGGGGATGTGATGATCTTTGCGCTTACCGAACAGGCGCCGCACATAGGTTGGCCGTGACGAGCTCGTGAATTGCCACATCCACGCGAACAAGTTGCCCAGTCGCTTACCAATAGGTGGCAGATCCTTTGCCTCATTGTGGCTCTCCTCCAGAAAGAGCATACATACCACTAGATCGATAGCGAGCACCGCAGCCGAAAACAAGTTGGGCAGAAGATAGGGGTATGGGTTGTTCTGGCTCTTGTTGAGCGGGTTCTTGTAGAAAACCAGCAAGCCGCCAACAATGGGTCCTGTGATGCCGCCGATCCCGTATACCACGGGGAGATATGTGAAGGCGCGCGACTGGTTGGTCCGGTCCGTGATCTCACCCAAGCATGTTGAAACGACGCCAGAGTTGCCGTTGACCAAGCCCATCAAGGCCTGCACCATGACGGCCTGCCAGAGTGTTCTGCAGAATCCGAAAGCCAGAAAGCAGCACATGGTGAGGAAGGTGCCAAGTATGATGACGGGCTTCCTCCCGATCCTGTCCGACAGCCAGCCCCAGAAGAAGTTTGTCGTGAACTGCGCCAGCGCAAACGACGACGCGATGAGCCCGACGTAGAGGCCAGTCTGCCCTTCCTTTACTTCCGGGAAGTGTTTGGTCATCTCCGGGAGATAGGGACTGATTGAGTTGAGTGCCGTCTGCTCGGCGAGAGCTATGATGGCCAGCACAATCAGCTGTCGCGTCGGTAACGGCGATTCATGGTGGCGGTCTTCGGATTCGTCGCCGCTGCCAATGTCCTGTCGGCCGCGATCTCGAGGTGGTGCGGTGGGGAAGGTCGTGTAGTGGTTCACAGACGCTGCGAAGCCAGTCAGCGTGCGTCTTCAGAGTCATCATTGGCGTCTATATTGAGCAAGAGGGAGTGCTCCACGTGACGACATACTGCACAACGTTAGTATATACAATTGCAGATACTTCCATGTTTACACTAGAGACTGATTACCATTTCCTTGTGTCGATGGCAGGCCTCCTGCGGCTCATGGCGGGCGCGATAATCTACCTCGTGGAGGCAGGGTGTCCTAAAGCAGGTGCTGCATGCATTGAAGCCTGAACGAATGATGCTTTGCAGGTTGTGTCGTTGTGCAGGTCTGCATGTGGTGGGAAAGATGCAGCTCGGCGATGACGGCATTTCCAAGCTTCTCGCCCACGCGTGCACACAAATATCCGTGCGCTCTCGATCCGCAGCTCACAGTCACCTTCCCAATGTGACTCTTCTTTTGGTTCATCAAGGACGTCTTCAAGCGAACACAATGGTAACGATTAGGCCTAAAGTCCACCTACCTAACTCCCACGAGGCTGCACCTTGCTTGGCACCTCCGGGCCATCAAACACGACACGCCCACGTGGAAGCCCGGATTGTGCACTGACTCTCGATCGATTTTTCCATCACAGGCGTCCAAAATTATGGCTGATACATCCACCGAGAATACTCACGGGATTGGAATGAATGAACAAGAGCATTGGATCACGAGAACTCGAGCTGCTTTGTCATGCGACATATGGCGAGTACGCCCTGGAATGCGGCCGGTTCAATTCGTGGTCCGTCTGCACGCCTCGAACAAGTCGACTGGATGACCTGAACCGGGAAACATCACACAACGGACCAATGAACGAGCTGCCATCCCTGGAAGATTGTGCTACCCACGCTTCCCCACACTATTTTAATCTGGCATCTCAATATCGAGCGCTCAGCTTCATCTAATCTCCCAGACGCACACCGATGGCTTCCTGGGAGCACCAGAATTTCCACATACACGCGGATTACTCTTCGTCATATTAACCAGAAGTCGCTCAAACCTTCTCAAGTATGCCCTGCGCCTCAATGACTCCCAATTTTGAAATGAGCGACATGCGTGTGTCGCACAGTGAGGCCCAATACATGTGCTTGCCGCGTTACATATCGTTTGGTTCACGTCATCTGGCACGCCTACCCGAGCTCCACTACTGCGCCGTAGGGCTGTCTTAGTCTACAAACGCCAATAGCTCCATGTAAGACATATTAAAACCAAACGGGTGGAGCTGGTACTTTTTAGTGGATATTGTAATGCATCCACGCTCCATTTGTTCGCTTTATGCACTGGTATAAAGGTAGGTTGGTGTTTAACAATGTGGGTCGAGCAATATCTCACCGTGAAGTCTCGGGTATTCACTTTCGATTTCACAATCCCTTACATCGCCCTTTCACAGGAGCCCTTACTGTCCTCTTCATCAAAATTACCCACAGGTCTCAACCACATACACAACCTCAATCAACAACGACAGCCACGCGACAGCCATGCGTTTCAATGGCATAGCTTCGCTGCTTGTAGCGCTTCCATTCGCTCTTGGGGCAGTGCCGCAACCTCCGTTTACCAACACTACCACGTTACCTACCCATTTCGGTCTACTGGTGTTCGACCACTTCCAGGCTCTCGATGTATTCGGACCCATGGACATCTTCAACAACCTTGCCATGTTCTATAAAAACACTACCACCATGTACCTTTCCGTCCTCAGCAAAACCATGGCGCCTCCCACAACTGGCATGAAGATGGCTGGTAGCATGGAGCAAAAGATCGTGCCAACGGTAACATTTCAGGAGTACCTAAGAGGAGGGAAGGAGCCCAAAGACCGCGACGATGGCCCTAGTGATCATGCTATCACTAAACGCGCAATGCGCTTGGGCGCTCGTCACGAAGGCCATGATTCAATGGCCACCAACAACATGACCGCCACGGACCCGGGCGAGATTGAAGTCCTCATCATCCCTGGTGGCGGCGGTACACGCAACAACATGACGGAAGAAATCGCTTTTGTCAAGGCCATGTATCCTAAGCTCAAATACATCCTCACAATCTGCACTGGCGCCACCATCGCTTCTCGAGCCGGCATCCTCGATGGCAGGAACGCAACCACCAACAAGCGCTCATGGACCTGGGCAGTCGCTCAAGGTCCCAACGTCACCTGGGCCCCTACCGCTCGTTGGGTAGAGGATGGCAACATCTTCACATCTTCAGGTGTCTCTGCGGGTATCGACGCTGCCTATGCCTTCATCAGCCGCCTCTATGGAGAGCCAGTCGCAAACTACCTTGCGCAATCCGCCGAGTACAACCGCGTCACTGATGCTCACAACGATCCTTTCGGCAAGATTTGGGACGTGCCGGGCGCTACCTAAGCGTCCGCGCTGGGGGTTTGCAATGCAAATTTTGTACACGATTGGATGACGAAGGTCATTGTCGAGCGATATGTCCGTTCTCTCCAAATCCCCAAGGCTGCTACTTAGCAATGCTATCGGATCACCAGCTCACGATTTAGTGAAATGACAATGATTTTCAAAAAACAGACCACTTCTCTTGGATCTTGCATTGATGTGGAACACTATGCCTTGGGTAACTGCTTGACGAAACCTGACGTTTGAAATGTGTGAAAGATAAGCTACTGAAACCTCTCGCAACATGTTTTCAGGGTCGAGACAGGTCTGTCGTTAAATGACGCCAAAGATTCCATCGCTTCACTCTTCTCCAGGATACTCTGAAGCTTCCTGGTCGGCTGTATGTTGTAAGTAAGTTGCGAAAGCATAACGAGGCAGCACGGGCCCCGAGCGCGATCGGAAGTACTTCGCCGTACCCCGCCAAGCTTTAAAAAATTTGGATATGGGCACGCGTTTCTGCCCATTACCCTTCCTTCCAAAAACAATGTATCTCAGCGCCCCTCCCACCCGGGACCTATTGTCCTTAATCGCAGTCGACTACCGCCCATATACCGATGGATTAGTCCATCTAGTCGCCGGCCGTATAATTCCAGTCGCACCCCACCTTCACGGTTCCTGAAGAACGAACCTGCAAAAGACAGTACATGTACGTCGCTGTAAAAGCTTACCATTTCCTTCACGTGTTACATGATGAGATCGTCATTTTTTAGATGTTAGACTTGCGACTTCAGCATGAGCTCAAAACGACTTCCTGAACCAACACCCCCGCTACTGCCAGCCGTTATCCCGCGACCAATTCCGAAGACTAACAGGCTTCCCTAGACTTACCCGCCTATTCCCTCTTCGACCTTGCTATCCACCCACAATGTGTGGAATTATTGCTGTGATCCACGGCGATCCGTAAGCGCGCAAATCTCCATCTACCCCGAGTCTACTAACAAGTATAGAAAATCGCAATCGGCGTCTGTAGAGATCCACGATGCGCTGTATCTCCTCCAGCACCGTGGTCAGGATGCGGCCGGCATCGTCAGCTGCAGTACTGGCGGACGCTTCCACCAGTGCAAGGGCAACGGCATGGCCTCCAAGGTCTTCCACGACGGAGCCCGTGTTTCTGACCTTCCTGGCTTCATGGGCCTCGGCCACCTTCGCTACCCGACCGCCGGCAGCAGCGCGAATGCAGAGGCACAGCCATTCTACGTTAACAGCCCGTACGGTATATGCATGACGCATAATGGTAACCTCATCAACGCGCCCGCGCTCCGAGAACGGCTCGACCACGAGGCACACAGGCACATCAATACGGAGAGCGACAGCGAGCTCATGCTGAACATCTTCGCCGATGAGCTTAACGAGACCGGCAAGGCGCGAATCAATGCCGACGACTGCTTCGCTGCTCTGGAGCGCATGTACAAGCTGTGCACGGGCGGATGGGCATGCACCGCTATGCTTGCTGGTACGCCTACATGGTTTGCAACATCAAGATGCAATACTAACAGTCTGCAGGATTTGGTCTCATCGGCTTCCGCGATCCCTACGGCATCCGCCCCATGGTCCTTGGCTCAAGAAAGTCCGCGACTGGCCAAGGCATGGACTACATGATGGCCTCGGAGAGCGTTGCCCTCAAGCAGTGCGGCTACAAGGACTTCCAGGATATCCTCCCGGGTCAGGCCGTCATCATCGAGAAGGGCAAGGACCCCGTCTTCAAGCAAGTCGCAAAGCAAGAGGCTTACACCCCCGATATCTTCGAATACGTCTACTTCGCCCGTCCAGACTCTGTCATCGATGGCATCGACGTTGATGAAAGCCGCCGCAACATGGGCTTCACCCTCGCCGAAACGATCAAGAAGCAATTGGGCCCAGAGAAGTTGGCAGGAATCGACGTCGTCATGCCCATCCCAGAGACTGCCATCACTTCCGCCGTATGCGTTGCCGAAGCGCTCGATAAGCCATACGTACTTGGTTTCGTCAAGAACCGATACATCTTCCGCACATTCATCATGCCTGAGCAAGCCCAACGCCAAAAGGGCGTTCGAGCGAAGTTGAACCCCATGGAGAAGAAGTTTGCCGGCAAGAACGTCTTGCTTGTGGATGACTCCATCGTCCGTGGAACCACATCGCGAGAGATCGTTCTCATGGCCCGGGAAGCTGGTGCTAAGAAGGTCTATTTCTCATCATGTGCACCGCCCATCACCAATGCGCATATCTATGGTATCGACTTAGCGTCATCTTCAGAGCTTGTTGCGCATGATCGTGACTCAGCAGCAGTCGCGAAGCACATTGGTGCCGACGACGTTATCTTCCAGACCCTGGAGGACCTTGAGCGTGCTTGTGCCAGCCTCTCACCGCGCGACCCCAAAACACAGAAGTTCGAAGTTGGTGTCTTTTGCGGCAAATATGTTACGCCTGTAGACGCCGGCTACTTCGAGCATCTTGAGCGTATCCGGGGCGAGACCAAGAAGATCAAGGTCATGGAGAAGGCGCGTGAGGCCGTCATGCATGGCGTTGCTGACTCGAAACAAATCCGCATAGCTGCGAAGGGTGCTGTAAGTTGAAAAAATTTGCTGTCTCATGACATCGACTGACCGAACGCGCAGGCCGTCGACCAATATGGCAATGTCATTCCATCCGATGATAGCGCAACCAGCATCGGAGAGGCGGTCAACGGTGCCAGCAAGATAATGACAGCAGCTGCTGACCCTCTAGGTAACACCAATGGCCACAGTGAGGAGAAGAGGCCTTCACAGAGCCAGGACATCAGCCTGCACAACCTCAACGACTTTAACTGAGATGATTCTCAGAGGTCTATGTTTCTTCTGGTCGTGTCCATAGCAAATGAGAGATGATATACCCTAGATATGTGGTTTGTTATACCACACGGGCGGGTCCTTGACTTGGAAGTCTCCACCACAAAAGGCACAATAGACCCAGACTTCATGTCCAAACCTTTCAGAACTACACAATCTTGAACACCGCAATTTCCGTGCCATCGTGACTCAATACCTGTAGCTTGACGCCTAAGATGATGCTGTGCAATTTCCTGATGTAAGACATCAATACAAGACTTACATCAAATGGTACATGCATACCTCACTGGCACCTATCTCTAGTCGAGACTGAGCTTGATTCACTTACCCAAAAGGCCGCTATCTCGCTGCTTTCAGATATCTCTTCGCTCGTGCCTTCCACACAGACACGGCCAGCCGATACCGCCTTTTATCTTAGCATTCAGACGACGAAGCATAGGATTGACTTATATGCCTTTAAGATCAAGTAAGAAACCTACTCACGAGAATCAGCATAACTAGTTCCCTCTACCAAAGCGGGTACTGTTGCTTCGACGTTGAAAACTCGATTCGTTCAGCAGACTCGCCGGTTTCGACGACTTCCGATCTGCTCGCTCAGCTAATAGAGATAGAGGATTGTGCTCTCAATACTGCAGAGGAAGTTCTATTCCAATCTGTGCGCTTTCGATTGAATCTTTAGAAATGTGAGTAACGCAGGGAAAGTACGAAGCTTGAGAGAAAACATGATGTGATGATGTGCTTTAGCAGGAGAAGTAAGATACTCGATATAATTGTAACATTACTCACCTGGTGGAACATGGGCACATGTGAAGCTGATGGTTTTGATCAGGTCAGATACAGTGTCAATGTGCTACTTAGGCAAGATATCTCATGCTGTATGGCAACGTGGATTGCAACTGCCGGCGAAAAAAATGTTCAAAGGCAACAGGTCACAAAAGTCAAGACACAAAATCATGATATCCAAGATCCACAACATCTCATTTCGCCATCCGTCTAGTCCGGACTGTACAAAGGTTGCGATATGTCACTCACGGTTGTGATATGTCACTCGTCATAAGGAATACGAAGGCAACATCCCCCCATCCAACAAGGTAACACTCTGCACCACCCAGATATCCAACGTTGGTCTCAAGGCGTCACTAGAGCTACCACCTCATCCCCGGTGCTGCAACATGTGTCCTCGTCTCGACATTGCTACGCCTCATGGGTACATACAAAGCTAGCCGCGATAAGGGCCCTGCGGTTGGGCAGTAGTACAGCTAAGCCCCTATGAGCCTATCAGCGCGTATTCGCGGCAGGTTTCCCGAACGAATCTCATGTCTGGGTTTCTGTGTGATAAGGCCCGTGTGGTGGGATTCGGAAGAATTCTTCGTGGGTTCCAGAAGATGAGGATGGGGTGTAGGTTTCCGTGATGCTGGGCTATATCCAGGTTTTTGATGGATATTGACTTGGATATGGTCGGATGTGGCGCTTAAGAGGATGGACAGGGATGGGATGGCGGGTGGGTGAGGGTATGGTACGAGGGAAGTCGGAACTTGGAGGTGTTTACCAGTGCCGGCGCTTATGCGGGATTGTAGGCCTATATTCCGACATATGTCGAATTTTCTGGCGGAGGTGCATTCGGCTATGCTCAGCTCCGATGATACTCTCATGTATGTATGGCGGCGATCTTGAATGAAAAGGCCGAGTTCAAAGTCGTCAGGGGCACGTGTGTTTAGTGAAACGGAGGCATTCTCCGGTCATGATACACCATATTATCCTGTCCTTAGTCAAAACATCCACATCCGACTACTGCACCTGCCTTACAACAGCTGTGGTAATCCTCGCGCATTCAGCAAGTCGCCGCGGATACCCATCTTCACCACACCACCTCGAATGAAATGCCAACACATCCTTCACGTAACACGACGTAACACGAACCACGCCACAGTCTTGGTGCAGGTGATCAGTGACGCCAAGAACCTGGAGTGCATACTGCACATGTAGGATGGTGTGCATGAGTCGTGCCTGATCGGTCTGCAACGGAGCTCAGGACGAGCCATTCGTATTTGTCAATGGTCTCACCTATCCGCATACGATTGTCTTCGCATGGCAGATACGACATGTAGGATCACGGCGCAGTACGCAAACACCGGTAGATACCAGATAGAAGAAAAGAACAGGCGTTGGTGGAAATAGGACCCTTCCATGCATCATCCGCCGCGTAAAAGGATTATTCCTGGAGAGAGCGTGCGTGTCGGACGATTGGGCAGATTACCCGATGTACATTGCACTGCAGGTCTCATCTCACGCAGGCGGCTAATATTTGTTGAGTTGGTAAGGAACATTGACTTACTCAACAGGAAAACACACGTGTGTCATCCATGTGCAATCGCAACAAGGTCTAGATATGAGCTTTTGCGGCACGGCTCAGGCGTGTCGTTGCGGCTTGAATCAAAACGGAGCGGAACGGTGCGTGCGGTGACAGGCGCCCCCCTTCCCCCAAGGCCAGCGCGCTCCCGCGGGAACAGAAATTTGTCGATCCTGTGCAGTATCCACTGAGATTCATGCCGTTGAGCGACAATAATTGGAGTCTTGACCACTCGGGAGGTGGCATTGTGGCCCCGAAGATGGCGTTTTGACTCCTGAGTTCACATGCCGTGTCTCTACCGAGGTCTCTGAGTCACGGCCAAGTTCACATCACTTGCGACACGATTCGGTCAAGCTGGCACCGGTCAGTCCAGGTTCGGCGATGATTGTGGAGCGAGGGATGATGGTGATGAAAGACACGTTGATGACAGAGGTGGATGAGTTGCTGATCGGAGGAAGAAGTCCGGCTTGACCGTTTTTGCTAGCAGCTTAGTGCGAGAAATGGACCTACATTTGCATGTGTCTTGACGGAGTCCCCGGATAACGTTTGCTGCATATACCACTTGTTCTCTACGGGCCTGCATCCTTGACAGCTAATCTCGAGCTGCGACGTAGTTCGACGCCATGACGCACTCCCATGTAGTTACGCGCGACCCTGCAGAATTGAGTGTAAAGACCCAGAATGCGACCTGTAGGCTTCGCTCTCACGTGCCCTTCTGAGGCCAGTCCCATTTGTATATGATCCCCTGTCATGGTCAAGATGCTCGTTCGCAGAACCCAGTGCCCCGGAACCCCGAAGTTCCGCGGTGCTTGGCCTGATGCGGAAATCTAGACGATGAACTGACAGTTTCCGAATCTCTCGATGCAGAGGGGCCTTACCCATGATTCACGACAAACAGGATCATCGCCCTCATCACCGAGAGTTCGAAACCCTTCACGGAGTTTTTACTATTAATGGAACAAGTGTCATTCCGATGCAATGTCGATGAGCCTTAATCCCAGCAGACTGGTAACGAAACACTGAACTGCAACGCAGAAAGTTAAAAAGTCTGCCCTGGCAAAAGTGAAAAAGCAAAACGTGTCTGCATCAGCACTTCGTTATGAGCTTGAGAAGCAAAACGCGGAACTGACGCAATACAACAAGACCGTTGGTAGCGAAAAACCTTGTTTGTATACAGTAGTGGGTCCTTCAGCGGCTGTTCCTGAATTCGGGCGCATCCAAATATCCTTGAAATCTTGAAGCGCACGCCCTTCATCAAGATGCGGCGGTAGGGTCGGAGATAGCAGCATCGCTTCCACATTAGACGCATCGTCAAGGAGAATTGCGAAAGACTGAGATCCATGGGGAACCCATTATAGCCAAGCCAAGCCGAGGTAATGAGTGTTGCTGACTGGAGTGCGCGCTGTGCATGCACGCCATTGCAAGCAATCGAAGATCTGCGTAGCAATCCAAACTTCTCGTGCCCTTGACGTGTTTTGGGCACTGTTTCTCAGGCGCTCCAAGTATCGGTTGATGGGCTTGAAGCAGTATTGACTACTCATTCGGTCCGCATAGGTCACTTGCATTGCATGGTTGGCATACAGGAGACGAATGATATTCGTCCGCGGTGACTGACTCTCGTCTCGTACCCTGTACCGCCCAGGTGGATCACGATCTGGCGCGGACAATGCCTGCACCGGTTCGGGGCACTAGTCTGAACGGGAAGTATCCCCGTGCACCTGGGGATCCTTAGAACGCTTCGGCACTGACTCGCAAAAGGTTGCGGGAATACTTTGTAGTTAGCTTTGGTACGAAAGATGACGGTTAGAGGCGTTTACGTTGCGCAATGTCGCAAGGATTGCGTTGACAAGTTTGACATGATGGAGTGATCTTGGGACGACGCCTCACTCTAGACTCTGGTCCTGATGCCCGAGCGTGAGCGATACCTGAAAGTCGCCATGGGATCCTGTGTCAGCTAGAAGCGTGCGGAGATTCGTCTTTGATGAATTACGCATAGACTCCTCGTTTGGCCTGAAACGAAGTGGGTAGCGGACGTCTCGTCCGGCAAAACACAGAATTGGTGAAGCGTCAGCACTGGTAAGTCAGCAGTGGCAGTCAACATTGCGTGATTGGTGAAGAAACTGGCATTATTTTGTGGATCTCGCTCTCGAGTTGTTTCCCAGTCGATGCATACGCTATGTGTTGGAGCTCAGTGGCCTTTCAGGGCTTATGCGTTTACTTGCTAGTAATACAGATGAAGGAAGTCGATGTTGGACAGTGACCGAAATAGTGCTCGGAGGAGCTGGAAAAGGTCGCTCCAGTAAACGCCATGCAAACGTTTCATCTGTCAAATAGATGTACGCGGAATGTGTGTGATGTCCGCTTGAAAGCCCTGGCAGGCATTCCCATCATTTTTCCAAGTCGTCCGGTCCGTCTGTCAATAACTTTTGCGCCGAATATAAGCCCTATTGCATATTTGTCCGAATATTAGAAAAGCTAATCCCGGAGATGACTGCGCGAAGGACGCTACTTCGCGCTGGTCTAGAAAATATCGTGATGATTGGTGTCTGACGTCTCATGATCCAGAATAGTAATGCTGCATTCCATGCTGGCTGTAGGCCACGGGCGGGACACCCTCTTCTTGCACGCGGTCTAGATGGCTCGGCTCTGAGTACCACTGTACACTCATCGATCTCCCCGGCATTTGCATTGGGCCGCCTTGGGGTTGCATTCCATCGTACATGTTGAAGCCAGGTGGGTAGAATTGGTTTTGAGCGACAGGTGCTGAAAGTGGGGCAGAAGTAGAGCCGCCGACTGTTGTCGCAGTGTTTGTGTCTATACTGGAAGGATATGGATACGGCGAAGTTCTTCGAGGGAAGTCCTGGTGCTGCTGAATGCCAAGTCCCTGTCCTGAATAAGGCTGCGATATCCCTTCGATGATTCCGTATGACATGGATCGCGTTGGGGGTTGAAACGGTGTTTGTTGGCCCCACGAGTGGTTTTCCGGGTGTCCATACGACATGGTAGAGCTCGTACTCATGGCCGCTGGAGTGCGTCCGCCAGAAACATTAGATTCACTACCATAGGTCGATGTTGCTGTAGAAGGCGACTGCCGCCAATAGCCCGTACTAGATTGTGGGCTTTCGCCTATGGTTGATGATGGAAGAAAAGTGGTTGCTGGAGGCCATTGTGTATCTATTGGATGTGGATATGGAAATGAAGGCTGTTGTACAGGCACTGCAGACGTTAGTAACCGAAGCTCCGCCTCTCTAAGTAAGACTTACTGCGACCAGAGTTGGGACCTTGACGAGGATCCATTTCGGAGTCAGTCTGAAAGCCGTAACCGGTGTTTGAAGAAACAGCATGCAACGGCGCACGGAAATCTACCACCTTCTCCCCAGATTGCGGATGTCGAGGTGAAGATGCGGCTGGTGTTAATGGCTGCACTGGGCTTGTGTCCTTGGACCCTAGGGCTTGAGATGATGGCGCATCGGGGTTGTGTTCTACTGGATAGAAGTTGCACTCTTTCTTGAGGCGGATGCAGTTTGCACATCGGCCTTGAGGATCTTCAGAGGCCAGAAGACATCGAATCTTCCTACGTCGACAGTGTCCTGTAATGCCTGGTCAGTGATGATGATCCTATGCGACGGCCATGGCGCATCTTCCTTACCGCATGCGACCGAGGTTCGATGATAGCCTAGCTTGTTGCGCGGCTTGTTACTTGTCGGCGATAGATCGCCCGAGTTTCCAAGTGCGGCGTTACGCATGTGTGGTGTTGAAGTGGACCGCCGAAGCTCTCCTACGTTTTTACTCTTGGAGGACCGCCTCTTTTTGCTTGCCAGCTGGTGAGTACTAAGGTCTTGACCAGGCAAGATGGGCTTCGGATGGGTGTGGTCCGCGGGGCTTTGGAAGGAGTTGGCGTCGGCCAGGTGGTCAGGGCTATGGGTTGAAGGGTTGTAGGACATTGTGGTGTTGATAGGCTGTAGAAGCAAAGAGTTTTCCAGTCGAGAGGCACTTTTCTTCGCGCGTCTTTCTGTGTCTACAGCCATGTGTGGCTTATAGTTTTTGGCGATAGCCGGATGATTTAAGAAACGAGATTGGTCACTGCATGAGAAGGTACTGAGGTCATTAGCATCGAGTGTTTAAAGTTTGGCAGACCCACTGAGTCGGAAGGGAGCTAAACAGTACACGTACCTAGAAGGTGAGGCAGGGTAACGTCCAAACGTTGGAGCCGGCACGACAAGATGTCGGAGGTTGTTGGCGGGGATAAACGGGTTGATCACCAGGCCCTGGGCGTTTAGGCGCAATCAATGCGGTGGGTTCAAGTGCAGCGGCGGCCAGGCCAAGAGTGAGAGGCGCCTCGGGACCAAGTTTTGGAGGAGCAAGAATGAATGGCCGTGGTGAAGCAAACGTGCACGAGCAGTGACGGCTGAGGTGAGAAGGCCGTCAGGTCATTGGCAGGTAGCGTGGGCGCAATTGCAATCAGCAAAATACCAGGCGCCAAAAGCAAAAGCGCGAGCAAGTGGAAAAGATGTAGGACTGATTATAGATTTTTCGAGCACGCTGTTTGGTTGAAGTGAGTGGATGATTAAAAGTGGCGAGGCAGCTCACGCTACTCTAAGAGGGGCTAAACCACAACGATGCCTGTAAGATGCTCTGGTGAATTGACCACCCTAGTAGGCTAGCATGCTCCTTCCGAGAGTGGCAAGATCGGCCTCACAGGCAGTTTGTTGATGAACCCTGTGTGTTGGTGGCGTGCACAGGCCACCCTGATGTGCGGATGGGTCACGGTCGTCGAGGCCCGGACGGTGACAGAACGAGCGGCAGCCGCCGAGTCGTGAGAAAGTGTGTACACAGTGTGCATGCGGCAGTCCGATCCACTGTGCGCGAGGGCCATGCGAATGACTAGATGGAGGTGGTTTCTAGCTCTAGCGACATGGTCTACTTGTGTCCGGGACGTCCATCTGTACATCCAAGGGGCCCACTATGAAGCGTGCTGCAGGAGCTAAAGAACCAAGGTGAGGTTAATTTAGACTGATTTTGGCTCTGTGCGCGCGAACGATGCGGTTATGCCAGGGGTCCTGTTCAACAGTCGCATCTGGAATGACGAAGATGCGGCGAGGGCCTCGAGGGCCGATTTGCCTAACAGAATCGCTGGCTAGCTGGCTAGCTGGCCGACATTGAAAACCGGTGGGTCTATTGCTCGCCATATGTCATCACGCTACCTGTCGAGTCCCGCAGCGCCATGGATGGAGATCTTGCGGGTGCAGAAGATGCAGAAGCCGGAGACGACTGGCAGCTCAGGGATGCTCCCGATACACGCTGTCATGGTTACCTGACACGGATGGCTGCGAAGTCGCCCTCCTTCTCCACACTCTCTCATCTCGCTAGTGGGGCCCTGAAAAGCCCCGATTCATTTCCACAGGCGTCATGGTGGTTGGGGACACTGAGCGTCATTGCTCGTCCACACGCACGTCGTCGCACAGCAGCTGTCAGTCGGCGACGCTAAGTGGTGGGCGGCCATGGGGTCTGCGATGGAGACGGATGGGTGTCGGTTACTGCGTTGCTGACCCAGCAATTTGGCTAGGGCATGTGCATGCGTGCATGACTTCAATCCACTCTCTGGGCGCCGCTTCAACATGGTAGGCGCACGTGGATGCACGTCTTGAGATCTAGTACCACCACAGGCCAGGCCGCCGTGCACTTCTGACGGCCATGTGTTGCGTGTCAGTTCAGGGAGAGACAAGGTCCGTCCCACCGTCAAATCACCACATGGCTGTCTCCTCCGGGCACCTTAGCAGATTAGCTGCCCAGCCCGCCGCGCGCGCGCGCGAGCTCCCCACACGGCCTCCTGCTAGCGTGGAGGCCTTGCAGGACCGCGTCGCTGGTTTCGCACTTTGCTTCTTCCCAGCGATCCATGGTCCTCTATGCATCGTGCGAAGAGCCATGTCAATATCCCACGTTCTTTGACATGCTCTGCACACTACGCCCAGGAATTCGCTCTCGTGTCATCAAAGGCGCACGCTCCGCCTTCCTTCATCCCACCCCTGCCATCCGCCTCAATCCATCTCGAGAACACTCAGTACTATGGCTAGTGCCGTTGTCTTCGATACCGGGCGGGCGGATTTCCTTCCAGAACTGAGGCACCAGCTGCTAGATTTGCGCTCATCTTTAGCTTAGCTGACGGGTGTATTCTGGCTAAATCGTCGCCACATCTGAAACACAAAAGCGCCGAGATCGATCCCGCCGATGCCTGTGACCGCATACGCATTTAACATGGTTTGGCAAAGAACTGGCTGCCAAAATCGTGATTGTCCTGCTCCGACGTGGTCAGGGGTAGTTTCCTTGGGTCGCACGCACTTGACGATTGCCGTCATCAATCATCATTCCTCGCTAGTCGAATCTGCCTTCCCACCCTGGAATCTTCACACCTTGTAAGTATCAAATCAAACACGGTATCAGTCGTGAAATAGCAGGACCATCGCCCACGGCTATCAGCCCCTGTCATTCTTTTATCGACAAATTTTGATTGGCCATCATCAGCGGACGTGGCCGGCGGCGTATGCGACAGTCACAGGCATCGAAACCTTCATGCGTGAAGCCTCAAAACGCATATCCGTGCAACACTATAAGACCACCCGACTAGGCTCAATGAACACCTGCCTCAATCGGGCAAAAACGACGACGCAGTGGTTTTGCAGTGCACGGAACTTCAATCCGCACGGTATTACATGGGTACCCCACTCGGTGATACCTGATAGCCTCCCCACGGATATGCGATATGAGAATTATCGGTAGTCACTATCCGCCCTGCATCCTTCATACCTTCCTCATGCGACCAAAGCATTGATCGGTTCTCGCTGCATCGAAATCGATTGCGAATTTGGCCACGTTTTGTTTCGCGGAATGTATTAGCCCAAGAGCGCCACAGTGAGAAAGCTCGGCATGTCACTTCTGCAGCTTGCTGCAATCCCACGTATAAGTACGACCACATCATGGAACTCGAGCAATCAGGGTTGATGTGAACACTACGTTGCTATGGGACATGGGGCTGTACGAAAGTGCCCGAAAAAGTTACACGACGCCTATTCCTTTGCCGAAAAGGAACACATGACTTCTTAGGCGAGCGTGGACCTGTTGAGCACTAGACAAAATACCACACAGTCGATATCGGTGACAGATCTCCTCCATACGTAATACTCCCCGTCTCCAGAGTGTTGTCACTAGCGGCACTGTGGCACATTAAGGACTTCGGCTTGCACGCTGCGAAGCGGTGTGTCTTCCCATATATGCGGCATTGTTTGTTTGTATGGGGCTTGCGATCGGCATGCCATCAACTCAAGGACAACTATACATCAGCCTCATATCGATCTATGTTGCGAGATCAGAATCTGGTCAAGGTATCCTGTCATCCTGATGTTATCTTCGCTGCAGGACCAGCAACAGAGACACTGCTTACGGTCATCTGGTCCCGACCTGTATTGGCCACACGCAGTTTTGGCCCCAACCGCTCATGCGTTCGATAGCCAGTTGCTTAGCGAGGCCCCAGCACCCTCCATTAGCAACAATGGACTGGAGTTCTAGCCTACCTTTGCCCCTATGGACAGCTCAGCGAAGAATCTGTGGCGTCTACAGTCCACAAAGAAGCATGAGTGCGGGCTGCTGTTGCACACCACGCGCTTGCTTTGACGGGAGGGAGCATGACCACGGTCTTCGGTCCGACTACCGCGTCTAGCATCTTTCTTGGCTTGCGTTCTGCGTAAGCGCGTCGAAGTCCAAGTATTCAATTGGTCACTGACAGACCTTACAGCCTCACGGCTTTTTGCGCTGATCTGGAAACAGTACGCACAGTGTGACCTTTGCATTCCGATGACGGGATGAAGACTCTCCAAACCCGCAACACTCGCAATCAAGCAATTTCAAGTGGAGTAGATTGATCAGTCCAGGTGTGCAATTCCAAGCGCATCATGCACCTTCTTGGATGTTCTCTTTTTGGCCATAATAGTCAACCTCAACTAAAGACCGGTTGATGCTCGCCTGCCCATATGGTCGGACAACTAGACATTGGGGCCTGTTTCATCAGTTCCACGTCCGGACGAGTTGGTTTAGGACCACAGCCCTGTCATGTGAACCAGACTGAGCCCGCCTGCATCATGTAGCTTCCGCGCAACGCCGCGGACCGCCAGGAGCAGGGGCGACCTACTCTAAAAGGCTCTACTGGTAGAGGTATTCCTGTTAATCCGACCTGTTTGGCGTCGAATCAAAGTGCTAGTGCACGTTGAAACTCAATGGGACAAGGTCATGTTCAGGAGCAGTTCCTTTTGCAGGATGGAGCACGTCAAATCCCATGCCCGGATCCTTCTCCGGCATCACGATCACGATGTTTACACAACACCACAATCGATCGCTAACAGATACAACCTTTAGGACGTTTAAGCATGCAATGAGTCGAGCCATTTTGACGCAGATACTTGATAGTGGAGCACAATATGGGTGACGCACATACCTCGAGGTACACTGTGAACAAGCAGGCGTGTGCGGTGAGTCCTCTTATTCACGAACACTGACTATGAAAGGGCGACCCATTGGAATGTTTCTCGGTAACATCGAAGCGATGGCTCGGGGAAATTCCATCGACTTGTTCAACGTTTATTGATGGATTCTAAGCTTGTCGTGGCATCGATTGCGATATGATCGACCGCTAGTGTAGATCAGTGTGCGCGGCGCCGAAACGCAATCGACATCTGAACCCAGGTGCGACTACTTGACTCGATAGGTCGGGTACTCCCATGATTCACATTCCTGCAAAATTTCACGACTCAGCAATGTTTACTGCTTGAGCATCAACGATTGCTGCAGTCCAACAGCCCGGGAATCCCAACATCCGGACCCACGCGCCTGCGAATTCCACTTTCACACTAGCCCAAGCCAACGCATTCTTGGCGCCATGCTTAGAAACCTCCACCGCACTCACGCATGAGCGCCGCGATGTGAAGCTACCTGACAGCTAGCTTGGCTTTCCGTTTTGAAAGACTTCTTTCCAATCGGCAGTCCTACCATAGCCTACCAGTCCTCACCACTGCCATGACCATGGGATTAGTGCTTCCCATCCGCGATTCCAACTCGCTTAGTGCCCCCACATGCTGTCGATCATCCGCCATCGGCGCTTTGGGCAAACTTTCTTTCTCCCACAAGCAAACCAGCGAACGCAGAGATCTACAAACGTTAATGTTTCATGCTTGCGCGTACGGCTTTTGGAGGCCTGCCGACCGAGTAACATGCCGCACATTCGGGCTCATGGAGACCGATGACATGGTAAGAGGATAGCTAGCCCCTGGTCCGGTCACCTGAGTCTCGACGACGGCTGTTGACCCCTTTTTCACTTGGTTTGCTTGGTCTGGTAAGGGGGCAACCTTCGCGATGAACTTCTCGGCTCTTCGAAGTAGATGCCCAGTATGTCTCCTCTGGAAGGATCGACGATCTAGAATGGAATGCGAGATGTGTCGTGAGGATGGCTGATCAGGGAGTAACATGCAAATATGGGGTAACACGAGGAGGCTCATGACAGGGGCGGTTTTTGAAAATGCACATCCTGATCCCACCCCAAACGTTAATATTCGGGGACCTACATCAAGGAACATGACTTTAGCACTAACAAAATGACCGGGACATTGGAGAACTACTTCCAAGACTGTAAGAAGGCACAATAGAAGCAAAAGCGGCAAGAAAAGAGCCATTCCAATCTAATACACCCTCATATCTGCAGATGGTATGCCAAAAGCTCTCATTCTTCGAATGAGGCAGCTCATAGCCCGTCTCCTACACGCGAAAAGTCGCCTTCTACCTCACTTCATTCTCGCATCAAAGACCGTTATCATCGAGATGTCATCTATCCACCCCATGCACTTCACGCCGGTATCTTCGGCAGCCCCGGATCCTTCACCTCCCCATCATCCCTCGCCCCCCTACACTCTCCATCATTGAACCACGTATCCGCCTGCGCTGTCTTCTCATCCACAACATGCATATCCGCCCTACCACTCCTACTCAACTTCGGAAAATGTACATTCGCGCCCTTCCCTTTGCCTGGCGTCCAGAAACCCAAGCGCTTCTCCCACAGCATACCGCTTGTCAGCGATGGCACCATGCCGCAATTGATCCACAAAATCACGTTGCCGGACTCGGCTTCGACGGCGAGGAAATCTACGAGCCCGTCGCCATTGACGTCGGCCCAACGGTGCTCGGAGCAGGAGAAGCCTTCGGCGATTTTTATCTGCGCGCGGTTGGTGGAGGGGAGGGTCTCGAGGCCTGAGGGGCGGTTCAGCCAGCCTAGACTGAGGCCTTTGGGAGACATGCAGATATACCAGACGAAGTTAGGCAGATCCGAAGTAAGGTAGTGCTGGAATGCTTACGTCGACTCGCAAGTCACCATCCAAGTCACCAAAGCGGACCGCAGGGTCATTTTGGTTGCTGGGAGGGATAGTCTGGGGACAGAGATTGCGGTCGACCACACGGACCGGTGCGCCAAATGTAGGTGAGGCGTCGCCCTTCTTGTATGTGTTGCGCCACATGTCGACGTTGCCTGTAGCGCGGTCGACAGTCAGGATGTCGCAGAGCCCATCGCCATCCCATTCGCCGACATCTACGAACTTGCTGTCGAGTTGGGTGTCGAGGACATGTGGATGACCGTTCCAATATGGTGGACTCTGAGTGTTTCTTTGAGAGTTCACGTCAGTATAGCATCGAGATTATCTGGATACTGAAACTCGATAGCACCACTGTGGCTTACCCATAGATAGCTATGAGAAGTCAGTACACAACTTCGTATGATCAATGTTGTACTCACTCATCGTTTCCTCGACCGAATATGTCGCAATATCGTACGCCATCGCCCCTGAGATCCCCGCCATCACTACCAAGCTGAGTTCGAACAGGTCCGTGGAATCCGTTTGGGCTAGGATAGCACCCAGCACTATCTCCAATACCTGTGTCGATGGGCGCAGTGAGCCAGCCTTTCTTCTCAGCTCGAGAGAAGCCATCTACGAAGAGAGCAGCCAACTTGGCGTAGCCCTGCGGCTTAAAGTGTATCGAGTCACTGTAATCTTCGGGTTTTAGCCATGTAGTATACATATCCACGAGCTCAATCTTCCGACCGCGTCCCTGCAACTCGCTTGCCAGCTCTTTGTATTCCGCATTGGCCGTCTGGATGTACGGCTCATTGCCAGCATCTGTTGTCGGCGGAATAGTCGCAAGGATGATCGTGACATCCGAACTTGTCGAGTATACCCTCTCAATCAAAGTCCGCATGCGATCTTTCATGGTCCTCGCATAGTCCATATTGTTCTCGCGCCGCCCCTGGAAACAATCGTTGGAGCCGAGCAGTATGAGCACGAGGTTCGGCTTTTGTGATGTCATGACAGGCAGCATCTTGAGCGCCACATCGTCAATTTTCAAGCCGGACCATCCTTCGTGTTGGCGATCAGAGAAGTCGCCGTGGGCACGACTACCGACCATGTTGACTGCGTAGCCGCGATGTCTCAGTTCCTGGCGGAGAGGCTTGCAGTATCCGTTTTGCAGGCTCTCGACGGTGCCGATGTCCCATCCTTGGGTGATTGAAGCACCAAGAGGCACTAAATTGCGCGGTTAGAATTGATGTTGGAAGATGTGATCGGAAGAATCGCTTACTCAGGCGCAGGAGCGGCTTCTCGTCGACTCGACGGGACTTGTCAGTGATGCCACGGTCATGGAAGTAGCAGTGGGTATGCAAGTCTGCAGGAACACTGGTCACGAACAGGCTCTGTACAGTCAGGAGTAGAAGAAGCACAATGTGTACACCCATTCTCGAGTGACCGGATGGTCGATGGTTGAGCATAATTGATGTCTATGGTATGTAGAACAGTACATTGATCACGAAAGCTGGATGCTTAAATAGCTAGCGGTAGCAAAACAAACAACCATAGCGGCCGACAGTGAGAAATGAAAGACCCGGGTGCACGGTCTTCTCGAGTAATAGCTCTACTGGTAAAGTGATTGACGAGTTTGAGTCCTTGTATCTGTGGCCTTGACGCGAGAGCAGCGGGTCAATATTCTCGGGCCCGGACCGCTTAAAAGACCAGGGCGAATTTCCATTACATGGCTCGTGCCGAGTCTTTTGTGTAAGCACGTGAAGTATCGGGGCGACCCATTTCAATCGTCAAACTGTAAACTGATACTCGAAGTTGGAGAATTAATGACAGACACGTTGTCCTTTATAGTAGAATTGCTCGGCAAAGTAGAGGCCGGAGTAGGTTTCAGACTGAGCAAGCGTAACTGGGTCGTAAAAATAATTCTATTGATCAAAGGAGTGCAGTCAAAGTTAATCTCACCTGTGCGTAGTGCAGCGACGAAGTCTTCACATATCTCCATGAGAAGTCGGACAGAAAACTTTTCTTGACACATTTTGAAAAGCTTTCGACCGGTGGCATTCTTTGATGGACTCAAAGTAATGCTTTCGGGCTGTCAGCCATGAGGTTGGCCACTAAGTTGTATTCGATAGCTGGTCGTGCTCGAGGGTAAGATGCACTCTGATCTATCGACTGCCAAACAAGGAGGATATGTAGCTGTTTGATCTATCAACCAGAAAGCCTGTGTATCGTACCCAATCATCCTGTCTATCGGGACAAATCTGCTATGCAATGGCGGCAAAGTTGTTATTGTAGAGCACTTAGTCGAGAGTTCAGCGCTAGTCTTCGACACTTGCAGCGAAGCGCAACTGCGGAAGTGCTCCGGCATCTTACTGCGTGAGTGCAACACCACTTCCACGTACACTAGAACATCAGTCTCCCGTTCTCAATGTCGCATCGCGTAGACGCGTCAGGAGCCCACGTGTAAACGTAAAATAGTGAGTGGAACATTGTGGGAGTAGTGTTCTATCATCGCAACTGCCGCGACCCACAGCAAACATGAGGTCATCGGACAGACTTGAGCCTTACATTTATTAGCATTAACAGTGTATCCAAGCACAGCACAGCACAGCACAGCAAAACAACTAACACTCTCAATTTACACGGCAACCCTCCAAATACCGACACAATGGGCAAACTAGCCCTCACCAGCGCAACAGGCAAACTTGGCTCTGCCGTCATCCACGCCATCCTCGACAACAACCTCATCTCCCCCGAAGACCTCGTCGTATGCGTACGTTCCTCCCCGACCAAATCACTCTCTCAAAACCCCAACTAACGCATCACAGACCTCATCTGACCCTTCCTCCCCCAAACTGCAATACCTCCAAGCCCACCCCATCACCGTCCGCCATGCCACCTTCGACTCCCCCTCCTCCCTCTCATCCGCCTACGCAGGATGCACAGCGCTCTTCCTCGTCTCCACCCCGCGCATCGAAATGGACTACAACAACGCATCCCTCTGGCGCGGGCGCGAAGCGCACCACCGTGCGGCCATCGACGCGGCCGTAAAAGCCGGCGTCAAGCACATATACTACACGTCGCTTGCGTTTGCGGATCCGAGTAAAGCCGGTGTCATGCGCGCGCATATACGTACGGAGGAGTATTTGAGGGGACTGGAGGGCGTGGGGGTGACGGTGCTGCGCGAGGGGCTGTATTGCGAGAGTTGGCCGTTGTATTTTGGGTATTATTTTGGGTTGAAGGGAGAGAAGAGGAGGGAGGTTGTTGTTGCGGGCGATGGGAAGGTTAGTTGGACGAGTATAGATGATATGGCGTTTTGCACGGCCAAGGTGCTGGCGGAGCCGGGGGAGAAGTGGGCAGGTAGGACGGTATATCTTTCGCAGAAGAAGACGCGGACGTTGGAGGATGTGGCAGGGATTGTGAGTAGGGTCAGGGGTGAGGAAGTGGGATTGAAGGTTGTGGAGAGGAAGGAGTATGAGGATTACTACGTGGGGAGGGGTATGGAGAGGGCGAGTGTGGAGTGGTGGAGTAGCACGTATGATGCGTTAAGGGATGGAGAGTGTGCTATTGATGATGATACGCTGGAGACGATACTAAAAGAGGCGGGGAGGACGCCGAAGTCTTTAGATGAGACGATTGAAGAGATGATGCAGTAGGCACTGAAGGATCAACATCAAGCATATATCAATTGAAGCGACAACGTACATATACCATTGCGGTATCCCCCTAACCCCACCTGTTCACTTCTCCAACTCCTCCATCTCAACACACCCACACCATTCCTTCTTCCCCTTCCCCTTCCCTTCTGCCTCATCACAGCATCCTACCCTCTCCTCCTTCTCCTTGACCATCTCCCTGATCACCACCTTCACCCCATCTTTGCCCTTAATCTCGCCCTCCTTCGGCGTCGTAGTCCCCGACGAAGCCCTCGAAGCTGGCTTCTTCACAACGACGGCATCGCGATCGATCGTGACAGCCGAAAAGTTTGGCTGCGAGTTGTTGTGCAACACGCGGGCGGTGCGTGCGAATGTTGACATTGTGGGCTGGAAAGTGTTCACCAAGAGGCGTTTGCCGTTTTGTCTAATTTTTGTGCCGTGAAGAGATGACGTCTTAAGGCGGGAGCTCGAAGTAGAGGTTCATCAGCCTAGTTGGCGTCGTGGGGATGTGCGATGCCAGTGTTCTGTGTGTTCTGTGTTTGTGGAAGTGTTTCTCAGGCCTCGTACCTGGGCAAAAGCGGAAAGGTGTGTGGAAAGAATGCGACGTGCATATTCTTCAGGCGCAAGAATATACAAGGGATGAAAATGGATCGAGAATTTCCCATGGGTCGGATTTGGATTGTGTTGAGGATAGAGAGTCTGGTTTACTACGATATTGGTGGTCTACTATGTGCGGAATGCGGTTCGGGCAAAGGGGCATGGGGTCCCGCAATATTCACGAGTACGATAAGAACATATGTGGCCCTGTTATGGTAGAAGTAATTCAGCTCGCATACTTAATGCGATATGTGAAGCTATCCGCACTGCTGTCTTGCGGTCAGATTGCAGAGCGGGCATTCTTCAATACCACAATCAAAAGGACTTTTGATACCAGAATATATTCTCCACATATTATACATTGCCAGAAACATTCTACAACCTCACCCTCGCCGCACTTTCACTCCTTTCCGGTGCAACTCCAAACCCAAAGTCCTTTCTCCTCTTCTTGCCCTTCCGATCTCCGTATTGCTCGTCAAACTTCTTGATTGCATTCAGACTCGACATATCCTCGGAGATACTGGCGCTGATTTCTTGCAGCGCTTTGTCGAAATGGCGGACGTGGAGTGTGCGCTTCTCGGGAAAGGTGTAGGATTGGCCGCGGACAAGGTGGAGGACCTTCGGCGGTGTTGGAACGGCAGTCGATTCAGGCGAGGCTGTGGGCGGAGTGGGCGCACTAAGAGAGTCCTTATTGGGTTCCGTCTCGGGTTGATTGGGTGCCTCGATTTCAAGTGTGGCTTTTGTGGCGGCTTGTGCGGCTTGTGCGGCTTGTTCGTTTTCTTCTTTGACGCAAGCCAGCGCGGCGGAGACGACGATGTTCTTCAGGTCGCTTCCACTGTAAAACGGGGTGCGCTTTGCAAGATTGTCCAGGTCCACAGACTCATCTAGTTGTTCGCCGTTGAGATGAATACGTAGAATCTCTTTTCGATCAGCTTGTGTGGGAAGATCGACTAGTAGTCGCCTGGGCAAGCGTCGTATAACCGCATCGTCCAAGTCGAAGGGTCGGTTAGTCGCTACCATGACAAATACTTGGGAGTTGCTGAGTCCATCCCATTCCTTGAGGAACTGGTTCAGAGTCTGCCGATGCGAACCATTGCGATCTGCGAAAGCGTCTCTTGACCCGAAGATTGAGTCAGCCTCGTCGAGGAACACAATGCAAGGAGACAGTTTCTGCGCGAGAGAGAAAATTGCCGCGACATTCTTCTCGCTCTCGCCGACGAACTTGCCCATGATCTGGGCTCCAGAAACTTCGAGCACTGTGCTGCCGCTCTCTTTAGCAACCGCCTTGGCGAGCAGCGTTTTGCCTGTCCCTGGTGGACCGTATAAGAGTGCACCACTGATCTTTTCGGTGGCCAGAATACCATAGCTGAAAGCATCAGGTCGCAGCATTGACAGCGAGGTTATTGTACGTATCGAGTCAATGGTCTCTGGTGGTACGTGCACCTGATCAAAAGTAGTCTTGATCTGATCGGCATCTGCAATACCAGGCATCAGCCACTTCTCATGCTTCGTTGCAGTTTGTGCAATTAGTCGCAGTTCTCGTTGGCGCTGCATGCTCTTTGCGTCTTGCCTCTTCTTGACCTTCAGCTTAGCACCAGGCTCCGAGTTGTCGACTTGCTCATCAAGGGTCTGAGGCCTCCTGGCAAGCTCTCCAAGCTTGTCGAAGTACGCGTATTTGACAGCGTCGCTCGCTCGGATCAGGCCCATGGCAAGAATGACATGTCCCCAGCTCATCTGACCTGCGGAGTCTCCTGTACCTTCTAACTTGCTCGCGGGGCTAGTGACATAGAGTCCAAGGGCTGTCAAAGCTATCCGATGTACCTCGTCATACGTCAATACGCTATTGAAGTATGATGGAGGGAATATGGTCGCCCATCTGCTGAAGAGCTGTGGTGATTTCTCTACGTCTGCGAGCTCGGTGACAGCAGCGGGATCCAGTGACCTCAGCATCTCACGGATGTGAGAGAGATTGATGCTCCGGTATTTAAGCATCTCATGGTGCGACATATCGGTACTTGCGCTTGCGACAGTCATTGCTGCGACAGTATCGTCAAGAGTGGACTGTTCGATCCCTGGGTCTCCTTCAATAACGATGGTTCTGAAGAGACTAGTTACGAATGCGGCTTGAATTGAACGAACACCGCTGCACATCGTTAGCCTCATCTCATGAAGACGACAGGAATGGCATACTCAGCTGACAGCTCTGGGATTAGATCCCGCGAGCAGCTACTTCCGATGATCATGATGCTCTCGCCAGCGACGCGACGCTTTCGAACCAGTTCTTCTAGCTTTTGCACGATTCGACCTCCATATTGAGTAGCATTGAGCTCTTTAAAGTCCTTCACATATACTATCTTTGGTCGCTTAGGCATCCGTGAGTTTTGCATAGAAGGCCCTATCCCAACATTCATACTGATCCCAGTACTTGCTCCTACCATAGGGAGTGCAGAATTCAGTTCGAGTTCATTGCCATCGGTACCAACGGAGTAATCGAAAAATCCAGGAGCTGGAGCGTACGTGGTAGCACCAGAGCTTTGAGATGGTACGCCCTGTGCTCCGCCCCCACGCAGCTCGCGACGCTTCTTTACCTCATCCGCGTCGAGCAAGGTATCAATTAGCGCCGCCAGCTTGATGTCCTCCAGTTGAGTCTCGCTTTGACTAGGCGTGCGGCTGGGGTCTAGCAGAACGTCGACTTTGGCATTAGCGTTTCCGTTTCCATTTGTGTCATATGAAGCAGACCTAGAGGATTCGAGTCTTGCAAAGGGAGACAAGGGAAAGGTTTTGAGGGCGTCTAGCAAAGGGAGAGCAAAACCACGGACGTTGAAAGCTCCAGGTGTATCCATCGATGAAGTATAGTCGAATCCTGAGGAGTCTTCAGTAGACTCTTGTACATCGACCACAGCGCGACCGAAGTCTCTGTTCCAGCGATACGTCTCGTATCCAAGTGAGCGTATCGAATGTGGCGTCGGTTCAGAACCCTCTCCCAGATAGTCGCCCCCTAGTTGTGCAAGATCTTGAGCAGTCAGAACGATCAAGTCGGACTGCAATTCGTCTGCAAGTCTGCCTATGTAATCATCTATCACCAGCTCTTGCTCGCTTGCAGGCGATTGCAGGATCAGATTTGTCTTTGCGGCTGGGAAGGGGTCACCAGATGGTTTCAGAGCAGAAAGTGATGCTGCCACGGTAGCTCGAATCTCGGCGAGCACCAACGGCGAGATGGACTTGGGCATGCCCACACGCGCTGTTCTCCTGGAGGCCATGGACTTCTTGAACCACTTTTGAAGCCTGGCATCTTTCTTCTCTAGCATGGCTTCCCGTTTCTGCTGAGTTGTCCATGTGGGGTCGTGCTGTACAGTCTCGGGTCTGTTGATCTGCTTCTCGAGGTCAAGCAGGCGTCGCGCGAACATGTCGCGGCGCTCTGTCTGCTCCGACTCATTGTACGTGGCAGCCCACGAGTCCGTAAAGATTGTTTTCCATAGGCGCCCTATAGCGGAATAATCTATGTCTTCTGCAGCAGGTGACTGCGCATCGGGAGCGGGGGGCAGAGCAGTGCTGTCATTATTCATCTCATTCTTGTCCTGCACGTCCGCGCTCGCACTCGTCTCTTTAAGAGCCGTCTTTTCGACAAGCGTCCTTCTCTCGCTAAGGTATTTTTCAAGCTTGCGCTTCTCCTGGTCATCCAAGCGTCTCATCCACAAGCCGCGCACAAGCCGCGACAAGACCTGCGCAGCGTCCAGATCCCCAGAAGCCGGGATGGAGCATGTTGCTTGCTCGCTTGACTGTGTATCAGAGATGGTGACGGCAAGACAGGCGGGTTTGGGACGCTGTGTGGCATCTTCCAGTACGTCTTCGCGTCGTGTGACTCTTCGCTTCAGAAACCAATCTGGTACGTGGACAGGCGGCAGCCCTTGCGCCTTCTTGGACCTCGATTGCCGTCGCAAAGCGGCCGAGTATCTGCGTGACGTTTCTCTCGACCGCTGGAGCTTCTGCGCTAGAAGCTCGGGGTCCTCTGATGCTACCGTGGTGTCGTCTTGCTCCTCCGCTGCTGCCTTGTTCGAGTCTGGGTTGCTGGCGTCATTCTGTCCAATTGGAGTGTTGTTTGAGCCCGACGGTGGCTGCCCAGTCTGCGCGAGGGTGCGTGTCGTATGAAAGGCTCGAAATCGTGGTGGTGAAGGGTAGCGGCGGCCGCGGATGAATCGTGCTGGAGGTCTTCCCGTGGACGCTCGCAGTGCTAATCGTAGCACGTACATACGGACGTCTAGAGCACTGTCCAAGTGTGGGTGGGAGCCTACAGGTTATGGCGTAGGCTTGGGGAGAGGTGATGCGCCGCAAGCTGATGGCGTCGCCTTCATCAACTTTTTGGAATCTTGGCTAGGACGCTTCGAGCGCGCTTGTCGCTTATGGCGGCTGATCCTAGCCACCGCCGCTGTCAAGGGAACACCCAGACATCGCGCGGAGATCACGTCTGATGTGTTTGTAAAACATTATGATTTAGAAATGCATCAAGTCTTCGTCTTTCTTCAATAGGCGTCACACATCCCTTTATGCTCCTAGATGACCTCCGCAGCGGATCGGACTCTGAACCGTGTAGCTCACAGATCTGAACTGGTACGAGCTAGTGAAGAGCAGCGGCCCGGAGAGTTAAGCGAACTTCACTAGTCTATCAGGGCATCTCACATGCTGGGCATGTATTGTCATTCAGTGGTAGCATCTGCCTCTCCAATATGGTTCCATCAAGTATTGGAGCATTCTGCTTCCTAAGTTTCAGGCAGTGACGGTCGAGACTTGAGAAAGACATGTGAAAATAGTCATGTTGAGATGTCCGACAGAGGAACCACGAGAAAGGGTGCACTTGTACACATACAGACAGGTGAACCACGGTTCCACGGGGCCCTGCCTGCGTAATGTCGCATATGAATTTTCAGCGCACAGTTGAGATCTTAGACGACAAAAGACTTAAAGTGTTGTGCCCTTGTTCACAGTGAACACTACTATCACAAACTTACTCCCGCCTTTTGCACCCAGAATGAGCTACCAAGATCTTGAGAAGCGTGGTAAGTTCACTCTTACCTTGACCCACCACCGTCTCAGCATCCGGTTCTCCTCGACGATTATGTCCGATTGCGTCAAACCCCAACAACATACGATACTGACAGACAAAGATTGCAAGAACCTCAAGTCGAACAATGTCGGAGCACGAGTCACGCGCTCGCAACAAGTCAAGATCCTGCTCTCTAACTCCCTGGCCGCTTTCACCGTTGTTGGTAAGTCTGTTCAATCTGAAGCTATACGCCATGTATGAGCAACGAGCTGACGACTGCAGGTCTGACCCAGGCGTTCGGTGTGTTTCAAGCAGAGTATGCGCGAATACAAGCCGTACAGGATGGCATTGTCCGGGCTGAGGAGATGGATGATCGGGCGCTGATATCTGCCATCGGATCGCTTGGAAATGGCGGCATTGTAGCAGTATTCGCGGTGCTCTACTACCCTCATCTGCCACAGCTCGGCATACATGTCAGATACTTGTGTTCGTTCGGGACAGCATGTATAGTTCTAGGACTGGCCGCCGCCGCCGCGAGTCACAGTGTAAGTATACAGTGTTCCAACGACGAGTTCTGAGCTGACAAGAAGCTAGGTCTGGCACCTGTTTGTTACCCAGGGCCTCCTGGTTGGTATAGGAGCAGGCGTCTTACTCTACGTCCTGGCACCGATTCTTCCCGAATACTTCCCGGACAGATCCGGTCTCGCTCAAGGAACGATGTACACAGGTGAGTAGCTCACGACGCCTTTCGGACTCTTGCTGACTGCAATAGCTGCTGCTGTGGGAGGAATGTCGTTTTCCTTCACCATAGCAGCACTCCTCGAGAGAATTGGAGCCCGATGGACCTTGGGTATACTGGCTGCTTTCAGCCTTGTTACTCTGTCAATCGCCAGTCCACTCGCCCTTCCACCACGAAAATTCGAAAAGCGAAGTACGAGTATCATCGGACTAAAAACATTCCGGGAACCGTTGTTTGCATGCCTCTTCCTGGTCAATCTCATACATCCACTGACGTTGGCGGTGCCAATGACTTACGGACCCTTGTTCGCAGAGTCACTAGGACTCGGGTTTGAGCATGCATCCTACCTGCTTGCCATCAACAGCGGCGTCGGAATACCCGCCCGACTAGGCGCCGGAGCCCTTGCGGACAAGATCGGACACCAGAACACGTTGATCATTGCAACCGCTGTATACGCCCTTGCGACCTGGGCTCTGTGGCTCCCTTCAGCGCAGACCAACAATGTCGGACTATTCATCGGCATGAGCACATGCCACGGCCTCATCAATGGCGTATTCAACATTGTCATGAACTCAGCGCAGAAGCAACTCTTTGGCGACGAGATGTACTATCCCAAGAATGGCGCCATGACATCAATTCGAGGCGTTGGGTACGTGGTGGGCGTCCCTCTTGCCGGGGCTATGGTGAACAGGGTGACTGGTGCAGACCTACGCGGAACCGACTTCACCAAGGTCATAGTATACGTCGGGTCGTTGCTGACGCTATCGCTGTTGTGTCTGTTGAACGTGCGTCGGCTAGACGCAAAGCAAAACGGATGGAAATGGGCAAGATGAGGATCGGTGTTGAGCCAGAGTAGCAGAGCGATTGTCGTGGCCTGGAGCAGGTTCCGTCTAGAAGCGCTGGTGGTCAGTAGGTCAGTAGGTCAGCCAAAAGTTTTTGGAGGTGGGCGCCCCGTTCGTAGCAATAGATTGCCGTGAAACATGTTGAAAGCGTGTCCCAATCGGAGGTTTTCCGGTGGGGTCCGCCCATCTGGCTCAAGAACTGTAGCTCCGTGCGACACAACAGACGGGCACCTGCATCGTCGAGGCCGCAGAAGGCATGCTGTACCAGGTGTTCGCATGTGCAGTTGCAATTGCAATCGCAATCAACGCAGGGCCGAGCCTACAACAGAGCCGGGAATGGCAGATTGGCGTGGGCTGGGGAGCGCGAGATGTGATTGTTTGTTGTGACGATGCATGGTGACAGGCTCCGGGCTGCTTAGCGAAGGGCTGTGAATGGTTGCCACGCTACGGATGGCAACATGGCACCTGCCGCTGGCGTGTTCCTGAGGCTCGTGCTGCCGATCGTCGCTTCTGCATGCGCGAGGGTGAAAACATGCGCTGCACAAGCTCGTGCCGCGTCCTTCACTCTCAATGCACGTTCATCCTCACTGCACGGCCTGGTGAAGCTGCAGATGCCCTCACCCGTCTTCCTCGCCATCTCAGTCCTGCCCTACGCTCACGTTGCGCCATTGCCTGTACTTAATGTTTGTTCTATAGAGCTTCACCGCTGGACTGTTCTACCTTACCTAGCTGCCGCGTGCCGCAATCCCCTCATCAACCACATTCCTCCTCACCGGCAGGCTCTTGCCATGACGTCTTGAGATGTCTGCTTGCTGGCGCGATCTACCTCCACGACTATCTTGGAGGAAGCGATGTCGCTTACTCCAAACAACTCCAGGATGATGTCCCCGACCCTGGGCGCGGGTATCAAACTAAACCCGTCACCGTCGCCATTCTTCAAAACAACACCATTGCGCTCCCCAATTAAGCCCGCCCGTGGCGACGTCAGCCTCGCATTGCGCCAGGTCGTCGGCACTACCGCCAACTCGGCCAATGCCTTCGACAGTCTTCCCAGCGGCTGCTCTTTTGCATACACAGCTGGCGCTGCCGCCGTCATTGCAACCGTAGACGGCCAGCTCCAAGTCTCACAGCGCTTCTACCGCGCACGCCCAACTACGAACCCAATCAATCCCTCTGCCTCAATCTATGGAGGGCCCTCGACACCCACCCAGAACGAAAGTCGCAATCGCACAGCGGCGTCTCTGCGCGATGCTGGCTTCGGCGCGTCTCCACTCGCCTCACCAGCCGCCACTGAATGGGCAGATTCCCCAAGCAACAAGGCTTGGACGATGAAGGAGAAGATCAAGGCCGCCACATGTGTGAGCTTCAGCCACGACGGGAAGTTCCTTGCCGTCGGAGAGGTAAGGCATGCAGCCAGTGCAAAACGAAGCGCAACTGACGTCTGCTAGACTGGCTACAAACCTCGAGTCTTAATCTTCTCGACTTCCTCAGACGTACCTTCGGATACGCCCTTGACGTCCCTGCCAGAACACACCATCGGTGTCAATTGCCTAGCCTTCAGCCCCGACTCGCGGTATTTGGCAAGCTTGGGCTACTCCACTGACGGCTTCCTATACATATGGAGCATCGACCCTCGAACGGGCGCCGCATCGCTTTATGCCAGCAACAAGTGCGTCAGCAATGTTAATCGTATGGCCTGGATGGGCAACAAGTTGATCACCGTTGGCACTCGGCACGTCAGGATCTGGAAGGTCGACGATCCAAAATCCTCAATGCGCATCTCCAAAGCCCGTGCGAGCGACATATCCTTCCTGACAGGCTCATTCCATAAACCCCTCCAAGGCAGAAACTGTGTTCTGGACAGTTTGAAGGAGGCCACGTTCACGAGTGTCGTCGCTGTGGCGCCGAACAGGGCCATTGTGGCATCGGACAGGGGCGACATATGCTTAATCGACGACTCCAACTCCGAACAACGGTTTGTGAAGCTCTTTGATGCTGGCTTTGCAGTCAGCTCCCTAGCCGTGGACACCAAAGGAAGGCTTCACATAGCAAGCTCCCAGGGAGGCCTCAAGACGGTAATTGTCCGCGATGTGACAAGCAGTCTGACACCACCACCTTCTCCGCCTCCTCGTGTCGAATCTCCAACCGTCTGTGTAACAGAAAGTAATCAGATTGGCGCCATCGCTTGCTTGGCTGACTATATCGTTACCGTGGATTCCCAACGCGCCATTCGCCTGTCGCATCTGTGTGCAGTCGACGATGACACTACCGTCGGCGACGTTGCCCATACTTTGCCTGCCCATGGTAACTCTGTGCTTGGTGTCGCAGCGCTTGCTACACAGCCCAATGCGCTGAATGCCTCTTACTACACCTGGGCAGCTGATGGTACAATTCTCTTCTGGAACGTCGATGGCAGCTTTAAGGACTCAGTCAATGTGGCATTAGAGCAACTTGATGGTCCGGATCCTCTGCAAAATGAGCTGCGAACCGTACGTGCGTCTGCTGACGCCAGTTTTCTCATCACCGGAGATAAATACGGCGTGTTGAGGATTATCGATACAATAAGCAAGACAAGCGTGTACGACTTCAAAGCGCACGCTGGAGAGATCACGAGCATATCTGTCCACGAGGAAGACCAATTGGTCCTTGTTGCATGTGCTAGTCGGGATCGCACAGTGCAAATATTCTCACGCACGAGCGAGACATGGGATCTTTTACAAACGCTCGACGAACACGTTGGTGCAGTCAATGGCATCCAATTCTCGCGAAATGGAAAGCGACTCGTCTCTTCGTCCAGCGATCGAAGCATTGTGGTCCGAGACCTCCTCACTCGCGAAGACGGTCCAGGCGATACCATCCGCGCATTTATCATGTTGCGAGCCATAATGTTGAAGTCTTCACCTGTTTCAATGACCTGGGATATCGACCACGACGACGTCTTACTCGTGTCCTCAATAGATCGCCAGGTCCATCGATACGACAGCCGCAACGGACAATGCCTGAACAGCTTCCGTGCCTGTGATACAGAGGGTGGCGACGCCGTGGTCTTGTCTTCCCTGGTCCATATTCCTCGAGGGTGGAGCTCTTCACTCATCGCAGGAGTCTCCAGCACCGACAAGTCGATACGGATCTATGAAGAGAATGGAACCCTCATCGCCCGTGATTGGGGTCACACGGAAGGAGTCTCTGACATCTCTCTTATCCAAAAAGTGGGAGAGGAGGATAGTGGCAAGTCTCTTGTGACTGTCGCAGTAGACGGCACCATATTCATCTGGGACTTGGCTTTACAGCTACCAAACCGCCACGATCTATCTAGATCCATGGACCTGCTCGGGCCGAGTACACCTACCAACACCGATCTCCTTGCGAGCAGACCCCCTCTACGCCGAGTCTTCTCCCAATCTGAATTAGCACGTTTTCAGCGCTCACCCGAGGAGGATAACACTACGCCTACTGGCAACAAGTCGCCGAAGCTGCGAAAGCGACTGTCCAAATTCACATTGGCACAGACACCCAAGTTGGAGCCTTCGCCGTTGCCAAGCAGCGCAAGAGAAGGTCGTGCAACTGGCTGGCAAGGGCAAGGCTCAATTCGGCGGAACAAGAACCGCTCGCCTTCGCCACCTAGCCCTCGCAATCCCCAGAACGTAAAGAGACGTACTTCAATGGATGTGCGACCCCGGACCAAACCGCCTACGAATGAGTTTGGGAGTCTGGGTGCATCGACAGAAAGTTTGTGTAGGACACTCCGCGCATTCCGCAAACGACTTGCTACTAGCAGCGATACAATGACCTCTGAATTGGCAAGAGAGGTCGAGAGAGAGCTTGCAACCACTGCAAGGGCAATTGGCGACCGGGTGAAGCCAAAGGAATTTGACGAAACTGTCATGGTCAAGCTGCTGGATCAATACTCAGAGCGACTTGTGAACATGCTCGACGAGAAAATAGCTGCAAGCGTGGCCCAACGCGTCCGAGAGAACAGTGTCATATCTGAAGGTACTGAATCCCCTGTTGCCCAGAGCCCGCGACGAGAAAGAGATGGCAGCGATCGGACGGAGCGCGTCGTGAACGAGCCGCTTCCCGAAGAAGTCGTTGTGCAGAGCATAGAAACAAGTGCTACCTGCACAGAAAATGTGTCAAACACCACGGGATCTTGAAACCCCCGGTATTTCACGATGTTTATGAACCACGATCAAAAGGCGTTTTGGATGGGATATCTACCATTCAAGGATTTCTAGTATTCGAGCCCGTAGAGAGGCATATTTGGTACAACAGCATTGGGCGTTCCGGATCTGCATGAGCGAACCTGCTGCGTCGGAGCCGCCTACACGTAATCGTAGTCTTCTTTCATTTCTCGTTTCAGTAATAGACAAAAGTCGTCTACCTTCATATCGCGACCCATCTCGTGCACTTCCTCTCCCCTTCTAACACAAACAAGGCAAATGGATCGTCTGATAATTACTGCAACTGCGTCCACTCGGCGTGTCACTCCCCAACTGCAGATACAAATCATAATACGCCGCCTCCGCAGATTTACACACGAGCCAATTTAACTCTTCACATCGCGGTCAGCAAATACACTACATTCTTCACTTATTGCACAAAACTCACGTCTCCCATAACTACTCCCCTGCACAGTGATAATCGTATCCCCTTCGAGTCCCCACGCCGTCGTCGTCGCCGTGCTCTCCCACTTCAGCGGCTTGTACGACGTCGTCGCATTCTGCACGTTCAGGTATAGCGACGTGCTGCGCGACTGTATCGTGCCGCCGATGGTGAATTCTGCCGCGGAGGACTCGGGGCCCAGGACCGGCGTGCTTGGGGAGGACGTGGACGCTTGCAGGTAGAGGTGGTAGATGGGGTCGCGCACGCCGCGGATTTTGCCGATTGTGGCTGCGCTAGTGGAAGTGGTGCTGGTTGTGGGGAGGGAGAGGGCGCTGGGGAGGAGCAGGAGGAGGGGGAGGAGGGAGGGCATGGTGGGTGGGTTTAGAGGGAGTGCGAAATGCGAAATGCAGAATGCGATCAAAGAATGTACGGGGTAGCATGGGGTTATATGGGGTCGCGAATATTTGAGGTCTCGTTTATATTATATGGGGTCGCGAAGTGCGATTAGAGTAGATTTATATGAATAGTCGCGTTGTGTACTAGTTCAGGCCGCGGATATATTAGGCTCGAGTACGGCGTGATGTAGGATCCCTGCATGGCATGGTGTAATAACTTCGGCGTTATTACACTGGGCTAGTCACGATCATGGTTGTTGTGTTGGACGGTTGTTTGGTAAGGAGCGACTTGGTTTTGACATTGATATTTAGTGTTAGGAAATGTGGTGATACACATACACGCGACTTTCGCGCTTGATTCTGTCCTGCTCCACCTATACTGCAAATCGTCAACTACGACAGAAAGTAAGCGAAGATATTTGACATCCTGAAGCTATACACAGTATCGCACGGCTTCAATCGTAACGCTGACCTGGTGAATAGCTTTGACCCAATATTCGCTTTCCATCCATAAATGATAACATATAGTAGTACTTCCAAAATGACATGCTCCATCTCTTGTGCGTCTAGTTCGAAGCCCTCCAATTACCGCCAGGCGTCATTCTGACACGCAAGTTATTGCCCTGACCAGCTGCTTCCGCACCATCCTCTGGCGTCGTGAGGGTCATGTCGCTACCCGCAGAAACGCCAGAAATCGTCGCGAGCAAATCGTTAATCAAGCCGATGACTTTTAGAACATGGTCAAGCTGCGTCTGAGAATCTGCGTTGTTGGATGGTCGTGTAGGTATGTCTTTTCCCTTGAAACCTTCCGCTGGATTGGGCTTTTGGAGGAAGTCAGAGGCGGCTTGTTGACGAGTCCAGACGGTGCCTCCTCTGCCGAAGCCTGCCGGGTTGTACTCTCCTCCAGACGATTGGAGTTTCTCCAGCTGTGCTTCGTCGAATGAGGTGGCTTGTTGTGCACCAATGACTTGAGGTCGAACTACGCCTTGGATCACCTGGTGAAGCTGGTCGGGACTGAGACCTCCTAGTTGAGATAGTATGTTTGGAGCACCTCCTTGCGCTTGAATCTTTGGAAGGATCAGGAGGAGAGTGAAGAAAAGCGAAGCTGCACTGAATTGCTTTGAGGCGAACATGTTGATTCGTGCAAATGATCTTGGTATGATTGATAGGGTAGAGGAGTTGTTTGAGAAGCATCGAAAGCGAGTATTTGTGTGCTTTATATACACTCCATACTGCGTTCAGCTTTGATGTCGACTTCCTGAGTCTAGGTAGGAACCGGAAGGTAGTGGAAGGTGTCTCATTTCTCGAAGCTTGACTACAGTGTTCCCAAAAAAGCCTCAATAACAGCTTTAGGAAGCCTAGCTATGTGGTTTTGATAGCGTGAGGCTACGGGCCGCTGAGCATCGGTGACACAACACTCTCACGGTTAGCGGTACGCTCGCCACCAGCCACCAAAGTAACAATGTACACCTTGTACCAGTATAAATCTTCAACCCCTTTTCTTCTTCGTTGATTGGCGTGTACTAAAGTGATTGGGCGAGGTGGCAATCATCTCTAAGGGGACCAGACGACTGCCTTCGTGTCGCTTCAAAAGCCATCCTGTCTGCCTTCGTGCCATTTGTTTCATAAGGACTGCACCTCGAAAAGCCTTCCTCTCTAAAGTCAGTTCATGTTCATCAGCCGCAAGCCAGAAGTGACATTTCTGAATAGCGCCTGGATACACTATCACTGCACCGACTCATCAACCACCGCCACATGAGACGCCTCATACCAAATCTCATCACCCGACATGATACTTGCTCTATCATCACCAGGCGTAAGCGGCCTTCTTGCCGCGCTCGGGTTCCTCTTAATATTAGCAATCCGCCTCGATATCTCTTCCTCGCGGGACATCGCAGGCGTCAGAACCGGACCTTCGCTCTCTGCACTGCTCGTAACCCCTTCATCTACCACCACCGGCTGGAGAAGTCTGGCGCGACTTGGTCCGCCAAACTGCGGGATGCGCGAAGGCTCATGCGTGACTGAACGTCCGACCGCTAGTAGGTCAGACACGCGGTCCTGTGGAATCGTCCTCGAAAATCTGGAACGACCAGCATGTGTGTTGACACCCTGACGTACCGGAATCGCCGTCTGCGGTCTGGGAACAGCAATTTCGCTGTCGTCCTCAGGAAGTCGGCGTCGCTTTCTGGGCTCGCCGGTCCAGAACTCGCTCTCGAAACTCCCTCGGGGGACAGGGAGGCTGATGGCTAGTCTCCTGCCCGGATTTCTGGCGGGAAGAGGAGGACTGGGGACGGCGCTGCCGGTTAGTTCTGCCGGGTTTAGAGCACTACCTGGACGTGCGCTTTCGTAGTCTGATTCCGGTACCGTAGTGTTGTGAGCTTCTTGCTCACTACTAGATTCGGTAAAACCGGTAGAAAAGCGCATCGCATGACGCGCAACGATATCTCGCAGTGTCGAGACGGCTTCAGGGGTAGTTGTGCTAGTTCGTGGGCTCGGAGTTCGTCTCGATGGCTCCGTTGCGAATATCGTGTTCGCAGACAAAGCAGTTGTGCTAGAACTGGAACTTGTCACTGGAGCTGTTACCACATTGCGATACGGCGACGATGGGCCACGGAACAAGTACACCCGCGAGGTGTTCGAGCGCCATGCAGTGGGTATTGGGATGCGAGTTGCATGTTGCCGGAAGAATACACGGACAATGCGATCGTATTCTGCACGCTCTGAGGGAGTGACCCTGTGCTGTACGGCTGGCGGCTGAATGCTGGAGACAGAGGAAGAGACCGAATCTTGATGATAGTTGGCTCTAGGAGAGCTTTCTGGTAGAGTTCTGGTGGCTTCATGTCTGGCGACTATCGGCATGTCTGATGAGACTGCACGTTGCTCCTGAAGCAAAGGCTCGATTTCGACGAAAGTGGGCTTTTGTGGGGGATTCAGTGGCGGCGACAAGACAGCTCGTAGTACAGCATCAGAAGTGGTGATCGTGGACGGCGACTCTACCTGGTCACGCATTGGTACGGGTGTAGAGTGGTCCACGGAGGGTGAAACCGAAAGTTTTGGAAGCTCTTTGTGTATTCCTTGCCGCTTAACCGGTGAGCTTTCTCCAACAGTCGCAGTCATGGAGAGGGCCGCGGGGGAACGGGTGCGTACGAAGAGATCGCTTTGAGGCAGCTCTGATGGTCCAGTAAATAGCTCGAAATTTTGTGGAAGTAGTGAAGTCTGGGACTCTGTTGGCTTCGATTCTTCCGAACAGCGCGGGTCGTCTTCTTCCTCTGCGATGGTCACCCTCGGCGCCATTTCCATGCGACCACGGCCATTCGATTTCTGGCTATATTGCGATATCTTTCTGTAGAGCGGTCGACCTTTGTTGGTTCTTTTGCTATTCTTTTGCCAGATGCGCTTCAGTGGCTGCCACAGCTGACGTCTACGTGGCGCTTCGGTCTGCTCCAAAGGCGCTGGCTTGGAGTGCCCTAGCTGATTGTCAGTTCCTTGATTCAAGGTGAATTCGTGCAAATAGTCACCAGTCATGAGCCCTTTCAAGCCCTTATACGCGCGCCGCATGCTTAAGTTCTCTGTTGCGTCGTTATCCACGCGGCGGGTTAGTTTCGTCCAAATCGTCGACTTCTTAGGCCGCTGTTCCTGTAATTTCTTGATAGCATGCGCATACTCTGTTGCATGTATTTCGCACATATTCGCGTGATGGGTCATGCTTTTCGTCGGGGATGGACTGTTGGTGCGAGGTTTTTGCCCTGAAGATTATGAAGAGCATGGAATGGAAAGTGCGAAAGTGGGCAGACTGCAAGTCAAGATGATTTTTAATGCACAAATTTTGCTTTGATATTACCGTGGGACTTAACTGACGTCCCTGAAAGTATTGCGCCAATGACCACTGGGCATTGAGTGGTGCGGCATCGTATGTAGGGTACCGAGCGCCCACACACCCATGAAAAGATCCGACAAAAACCACTCAGGACGGAACCATCATTTCGAAATATTGTAAATTCTTCCTCTTGGAAGTGTGATCGTACTAAGAGCCACTACGAGGCTGAATGACATAACCCAATAACGCCCGATGCTCGTAATAGTGCTTGGTTCGGAAAATGACAACGGAAGGCTCCAACGCGCGACAACAGGTATCGATCTGCCGAAGAAGGGTCGAAGGCTTCAAAGCTACTATGCACTATTCGCTGTTAAGCCCCGTTATTATCACTGACTTGAAGGAAATCAGAAACTCGCACGCGAATGCCAATTAGTGATTGAAAAGAAACGGGCCGACTTACTATAAACTCAACGTCAGGTCACCACGGATACTCGCCTTCAGCTCAATCTCAATCTCGAGGTTGGCCTCCAGCGTCAGTTTCAATCCATCTTGATCCTTCAGTTCACTGCCTTTGTCTTGTTTTGGCATCTGTTGTGGTTCGTTGGGGTTGGTGCCGCGCATCGGGATCTCTCCTCGCATCGCACGCGCGTGGGTGACAGGACCATCCATCGATGTGCTGTCTGGACCGATGCGATCAAACATGCCCATCTTCTGCAAATCGCCATTTGCATCGGCTTCCTCGAGTACCTCCAGCGATGTTGTGTGCATGTATTTGCCATCTTTGAGGTCTTTCTCCAGGCGGCTGCGACGGGCTCGGCGCGATGAAGACCGTGAGCGGGCAGATTGGAGGCCTGCTTCACGCTTCTCCTGCTTCTTCTTGTTGATGGCCTTCTGTTGTGCCATCGTTGATCTCTCCTGGATCTCGGACTCTGATCCGGAGTTTTGTTCTTTGTCGGCCATGTCGGGCGGTAGTTTTGCTATCATTCAATGATTGAGTGAAATGTACGTGGATGAATCTCAAGTTTCAGGAGTAAAGCGATAGACGAGTGAGTACAAAACACAAGCTGAGCAACGGGGCTTAGGGCGAATGTACAGGCGACACTGTCTGGCCACTCCAAAAACAAGATTGACGCATGAGCACTGGGATCTCCTGAAGGGAGTTTGCTGCCGCGTACAGCGCGCCACTACAAGCTCGTTTGCGATCTCATCCCAGATGTTTTACGTCATTGCGGGTATGATGGGACAACCACAGTTGTCAGATGCAGATGCTGACTGCGTGGGTGTGGGACGGAAAGTGGCTGCAGGGGGGGCGTTGCATGCTTAGTTCCCGGCTGACGACAAATTCGCATCAAAAAGTTGGCAACGCGTGTTTCGTGTTACGCTTTAGGGTGATGCGCGGCGGTCGAGACCTTTGGCTATGGCTCTTGCATGCATACGCTTGGTGGCGCGGAGCTAGAATCCGTAGCTTCCCCACTTTTGTGTAATTTGGCGGTTCCCCGAAGTGACAAACTTGTTACATGGTATAGAAGATGGAAAAAACGTGAATATGAGGGAAAATGATGTAATTGTCGAAGTGGTGTGTAGGCGATCTCCAGTGTTTCCAATTTTTGTAGCCGACGTGATTGGGCTATGTGGAACTTCTAAGAGACGCCATGAACGCCACCCTTGGCAGATCCTAGATCAACGGCCTCACTTTGTGGTACGTATGCGAACTGAATAATGGCATTTAAAAAAGAGGATACGGGATGAAAGAAAACATGTCATGGTTATGATGCATAGGGCTGTTCATGCAATCTATATTCGTAGCAATTATCACTACTCAAAGCAGACGGCTAATGAGCATTGTCCTTGGCACTTCTTGAGTAAGGAGGTTGCTCGACTGCGCAGAAAATGGAAAAGAAGGTGAACATGGAGAAGGGGGCACGACAGCTATAGTTGATAGAATGCAAAGAAGTTCTACGCATTTGATATTTGCAGCAGATGTGATTACACTATGTAGAATCCCTCGTGAACGCCATCCTGAATACTAAAGGACAAAAAATGCTTCGCGCACGCATGTTAGACAAAGCCGTTCGTGGTAAATCGTGAAACGCTTAATTGCTGCAACGCGTCAGTACGGGTGTCAAAATTTCGGCTTGAGAGACTTACAGCAATCCTAGCGTCAAGTCGCCGTGAATCTTCGCCTTCAATTGAATCTCAATGTCAAGGTTGAGTTCAAGTCGCAGACGAAGCTGTTCACCTCCATCCTTTCCGCCCTCCTCCTCACCGCCACCACCGCCAGTCAAACCGCCAAGTGCTTTTCCGGCGGTGTCGCCGACTTGGTTTACAGCGTTACCAGCGGTGTTCTGGACCATGTCGCCAGCACCACCGACTAGCTCGCCTCCAGGAACGTTCTCTGTGATGTCGTCAAGGGGACCTCCTCCCTTTCCGCCCTTCTTCTGGCGTTGGCGGTTGCGACGGCCTCCAGATGCGGAAACATCAGATCGCGCACCAGACTCGGCATCGGATTCACCGCCTCGTCGACCACGGCCGCGAGATTGCCTGCGCCTTGATTGCGATTTGGACTTTTGTTGTTGGGGCTCGGGTTCCGAGTCATCGGCATCGCCGGTCGTGGTTTGCTTGCGCCCTGCGTCCGCTTGCTCAGCCTCTCCTTCACCTTCGCTATCGGGGGCAGGAGTGGCTTCAGGAGTGGGCTGCTGTTGAGGCTTTTTTCCACCCAACTTCTTCGGCGTCTTCTTTTCGGTTTTCTTACTCGATGATTCCGCGTTGCCCTTTGCTCCAAGAGAAGCATTGGCATCGGCTTGTCCCTCTCCAGAAACGGAGTTCTTGGTCTCCTCTACCGTGTCGGCCATGGTGATTGATGTTTAGTTGTGTGGGAGGATGATGGCTGTAGGTGCAAAAATGCAATGCGCTCAAGATGCTTGGAAACTGCTGAAGAGAATCAAGACGGTGTATATTGTTAAAAGGCAAGCGACATTGCGACAGGAACCGGTTTGAAGATGCAGAGGTGCTTGTAACCCTTGCACAGACGAGCCACCCGTCATGCAGCCTGACGCAACAGTGGCACCTCGTCTGGGGACCCACCAAGCCATGATCTCAACCCGTCGCTAAAACCTGTCGCGAACCTTGCAGGAGTTGTTTCGTGTGCAGGATGGGAAGGCTGGGATGTTTATCAAGGCTTATGCTTGCGTGGACGTTCCCACTTTGCCGCCCGCCTTCCAGCATTCATCCCGACATCCGCCATTGGAGCGCGCATCGCGTGCCGTCGTACTTAAAATGGCCCCCAGTATGTGCGCCGGCTAGGGTTGACATGGCCGTTTCGGGACCGACTGCAACGCGCATTCGGTGGCGATTCCACTGACCGGGATGACAGGTCGGCTGAGTTGTCGATGCAGATTCTGGGGCCGCCACTTTTCCTCATCGGTGCGATTCGCATCGCTCGCTTTCGAGGCCCGATTCTCAACTTTCCGATGCAGAGAAGAGTGATGCAAAACTCAAGTGAACCGAACGTTTTTTGACATCCAAGAGGCGTTGTGCTAACTGACGTTGGGCTAACACCGACCGAGCTGGAAATAAGTTGCGGAGGACGTTTCTCCGTACCTCCGAGCTAGAGAACGCCATGTGACGACAGCACTTCCCACAGCGTGCATCAAACCGACGTGCAGGTCAACACGAAGAAGAACCAACACGTTCAGTCAGGGGCAGCATGTCGAAGCCAGACGCTCAGGAAGATGCTGCTCGTCAGCGCATCATCAAGCACATGAACGCCGATCACCAGGACTCAGTGAGACGTCAGTGACAACCATTAGTGCGCCCTCTAATGAGCCATGTCAGATCCGTCGATACCTCGAGGCCTACAGCAACAAATCGGTGTTTCAAACTCGCAATGCGCAAATGACGGATATCAGCCTCAATGAGATGAAATTCGTGTGCAACGGCCAGCACCACACCATCGCGTTCGACCCTCCGATGGAATCGCTTCGCGAGGCGCGAGAACGGGTAGTGCAGCTCGACAAACAAGCTTTGCAGATACTAGATCGCAGCGACATTACCATCGACAGATATGTACCGCCAACTGCGAAACTTGGCCATTTCTTGAACTTCTCTCAATGTCTTCTATGCTATCTTCTTCTTCCGCATCAGTGGATCTGGCAGCCTGGCTCACCTCTCTATGACACGCTTTTCTACCGCATCCCAGCGTTTGCGAAACTCAATGCGCTAGTCGGTTGGTGGGTTGTGTTCATCATCATGATCCCTGTCCATACATTCGAGGCTGGAATCATGGGGCGCAGGTTGAGGAAGAAGCACGGCCTGACACCACTAGATTGGGTGTGGTGGGCCTGGACAGCGAGTTGCTTCGTGGAAGGTATTTCCTCTAAGTGGAGGCTGGATGCGTTAGTCGAAGAGAAGAGGAAAGAGAAGGATGCAAAGAAGCACTGAGATAACGTTGCTTGTGATTCTGAGGCGCAACTTTGTACACATCAGTAGAATAAACCGCATCACGTTGTATTTAGAAAGGCTGAATGAAGGCTTTTGCGCTCTTGTTCGAAAGAGTAGTAGGTTAATGTCAAACACGGGAGCATCAAGGTCAATGAAGTGTATGTACAGTCTGATTTGTTGTAAAGGGAGCGAAGCTCAAGTCTATCTAAGGGGCGCCGAGCGTGGACAAGTGTCAAGCTCGACGGGGATCCTGCGATGCTCCGCTTGTAAACTAAGTTGAGAAACGTCGAAAGGCTGCTGCCTGCCCAAGATCTTTGACGCAATATTAGTCCTCCCCGTGATGCTTCTCGAGATGTTAGATCTTCGTGTTCAATGTCTCAATGCTGGCAGTGTCTCTGCTGGCTTTTGATGCAGCTGACGCAGAAGATGCAGCAGCATTGGATCGAGCGGCCGCTGGTGCAAGTCTTTGTTGTGCATCCTGGACTTTTAGCCCATGCCGCCGAAGATGGTCGAAGAATACGAAGAATAGTCGAAAGGATATTTAGGTAAGCTCAATTTAGCCAGACGCATAGGGCTACTATAAGACGCTGCTTGCGTAGGCTTGAGTTTTATATTGTGGACTGTAGTTGAGGCCGTTGAAGATCCGGCAATGCTGGCCTTACAGATAGGAGCGCAGATGGGCTAAGGGGATGAGGAGGTTGCGATCGGTTGCCGCTTTGCAACAACGGAAGTCTGTATTGTAGACGTCGTGGTGATCACGCTTGAAGGACATGATTTTGTCGTTTTTGTCGTTGCGGCTGGTGCAGCAGCCTTTGCTGCGCTTGATCGCGTGGCTGGCTGCGAGAGAACACGTGTTATATTGTTCTCTCTGATAGACAGCTCATGTCCTCGCGGACAGGTAAAATACCGCTCGCCGCGGACTGATCCGTCGTTCTTGCCTGTCGGGGTCGGGATGTCGAAAAATAGTCGAAAAATAGCGAAGAGAACTGATGGAAAGATAGTCGGGTAGCGATAACTATACGATAGTTTGGCCTGAGTATCTTGTAAGCGTGTGTATATTGGTAAAGAATGTGGGGTCAGCTTACAGGTCGTGAGAAGAGGAACAGTGACACCTGCAGTAGAAATGTTCGCGATGGCGAGTGGCCATGGTGTTCGTGAGGTGAAAATATGTATTGGCCAGACAGGTGAGGTAATGAGGTTGCATCATACAGAGGAGTTGGGCGTGGTAGTCAACTGCTGCACTGCGTGAAGATTGTATGTGAGAGGCGGAATAGAAAGAGGTGTTCTCGCTGCATAACATTACAAACAAGAAACTAAGGTATCCTAGCAACGCAATGAAGGAAAGGACATGGCAGTAGCAAGAGAGGAATGATACCAGAACATCGCCGGTCGCTATCAGTCGCCCTTTATGTATGCGAACATGAGCCTACACTTCATAACTCATATTCAAAAACATAACATCATTTCACCTTCAGGAATCTCGATTATGCGAAATGCTTCTGGATAATTCATTTCTCATGATAACAATATCAAACTACTACTACAAAACGAGGGGGTATCGTGCGAGAAGACGCTAAAACGCCATACAAAAAGCCAAAAACTCATACCAAACCGCTTCAAATGCCCATTTCGCCACTCAGACTCTCAAAAACCGACGAAGCGCCATCGTCCCATAGCTCTAACATGTCCTCATCCCCCTTAGGGATAGTGCAAAGTCTAAACCCCATTGGCCCAACCACGTTTGACTCTAGAAAGGCGTAATACTGTTCTGGTGTTCCATTGGAAGTCTGCCAAGCTGTCTGAACAGGCCCAACACCCATTGGCAACATCTTAGGTCGCGAGATTAACGACTGCGCAGCGGCATGGTCCTCGGCGTCTTCGTGGAGACTGGAGTCATCATCGGATTCTTCCATCTCAAGCAGGACATCCGTCAATGCACGATCAATGGTTTGGGCGTACGTCTTCTGCTGGGCGTGGCGCATCTTCCCAAATACGTGCTTCAGATTGCGATCAAACATGTCGGTATGTTCACGTCGACGTAGCCAGTGATTTTCGGTTTGAAGAGCCGACAACAGGCAATTGACTTGAGCTGGTATAGTGCGCGAGGCGGAAGGCTGTTCGACAGGTTCTGTCACCATCTTTGTAGCGTCTGGCAGATTGATCGCGTGTTCAGAGCGATCCGACCTGGCAATGTTTTGCTCAAGGGCCTCGATCTGACTATGCTGATCGGTGATCTTGGTTCGAAGATCTGTCATCTCCTGCTCAGTTTTGATGAGCTTTTCTCTCAGATGCTGCGCATCTGTGACTTTGTTGCTGGCATCCCGATATTTCGCGTCGAGATGCTCGATCTCGAGACTCTTAGTCTCAATTACCTGCTCTCGCTCATGAAGGCTCAGCAGAGTGGCTTTGTGCTCGACCTTGAGCTTCTCGAGCAGCACAGAGGCCTCTGAGTTCTTCTTTCGTGCAGCCTCCATCTCTTTTGCCTTTTGGGCCCAGGGTGTCGGACCGTGGACAATCTCGCTGGTGTTCAACAACAAAGATGCCTCTTCTGTCCAGGCGTCCAGCCGTTGGGCGGTGGTGTCAAGGCGCAGCAGCTCTGGACTCCAATAGAAAGCGAACATGTCCTCTATCTTAAGCTCCGACCAAGACGGCGACGGCTCTGGCTGGAAGGAGGCGTTGATAATGCTCAACGTGTTGCGGCCCCATTGAGCAGCGTCGCGCGCGAGCTTCGCCAAATAGGCCTCTTGCTCCATGATGTCCTCGGAACCTTTGAAGATATGAGGATATAGTGAATCACTACGCAATGCGTCCACTGTGCGCAGCAACTTTTGACCGGCAGCAACCGCCTTGTTGCAAATCACTGATGGACCGGCGAACAGCTCTAGAACCCGCTGTGCCGCAGCAGTAACGTCATCGGGGTTGATGTCTTGAGCCGCAGTTTTCACCAGCAGCTCAGTGGCGTTGCTGGCAAGGAACGACATCATTGTGGTGATGACGGCGAAGTTACTACCAAGGTAGTCTAAACGAGCAACGATCCTCTGGATGTGGGCCGTGGACTCATCCTCGGGCATCATTGCCAAAATGTTTTGCTGGTCGACAAGGACCGCATCCTGAATCTTCAGGGATTGTGCTAAGCTGTTGGCCATGTCGGTGAAGTTGATCTCGTCGTTTACAAGAGCCTCGTGGGTGTGGTCGAGGGTCTTCTCTACGACACGTAGCTCCTGGTCGATTGGACCAAAGGCGGCGAAGTCAGCAAGGTCACATGTTTCCATCGCGGAATACAAGCGCTTGCTGCCTGTTTGGAGCAAAGCGAGGCATTGAACAGCTTCCACACAAGATAGCCTTGCCATAGCTTCCTCAAGGCCTCCATTGAAGCTCATTTCGCGGTCGGCTGTCAACAACAAGGACGATGTGAGTGAAGCCTTGGCACCAACACTGATTGCCGTGAAATAAGTCTGGACCGGGAGACTCTTTAGGAATTCAGCCGATTGGGCCTCTGTCGAAATGGCAAGTCGCTTTGATGCGACTTCAGCGTCTAGTCGATAAAGCCCAAGCTGGACTTCTTTGAACGTGGCTTGGCGGTTGGACGCCCTTAAGTGTCGATTGAGATCCATGACCTCGTCGATGCGTCCAGTAGTGTCCCTGATCTGAGCCTCCGTCATGGTCCGCGACGACTCTGCGTCGGCCAATCTGCTCTGTAGATTGTAGACCAGATCTCTGAACTTCGAGACAAGAAGCTGGTTATCGGCGATGGCAACTTCTTGGAGCTCAAGTCTGTGAATGTGCTCGGCGATCTCGAAATCCTTAGCTTCGAGCTCGGCATGGAGGTCTTCCTCTTCGTCCATGTGCACGACCAGAAGCTCATTGTTCAGCTCTGCCTCACTTTCCAGCTCGCGGATAGTGGCTTCCTGTCTCTTGGCCTTCTCCTCCAAATCATGGATTTTATCCGTGAGTTCGTTGGAAAGGTCCTCCCACTCTGCGCTGGCGTCGACTTGGGCGCGCAGATGCTCAATGATCCCCTCATCCTTGTGGACTCTGTCTTGCAGTTCGGTATGTTCTTGGCGAATCGCGTCCAGTGACGCCAGATCCATCTCAAGTTCTGCGAAACGTGCTTTGTTGTCTCGCTCTTTCTCCTCGGTCATCTCCTTCAACGTGATCAAGGCTTGTCGCAGGCGGTCGTTCTCGTGCTGGAGGCGATACCATCCAGCCGCTTCCTTGTCTTCTTCTGACAGTTCTGTGGTGAACATGGCTGCTTCCTCGCGCATGATCTCGATTTCCATGTCTCGTTCCTCCAGCTTCGCGCGGACGGCTTCCAGCTCTGATTCCGCCTGCTCAGCACGCTCTTCTGCCATTTCTTTGTCGAGGAGTGCTATCTCCCAATCGGCCTCGTGCTCCTCTTGTTTCTTGGCGAGGCTGTCGTTGTCCGACTGGAGTTGTTGGAGTTGAGTTTTGAGCTCTGCCGAGTCCAGATGCAGTGTTTGATATTTGCTTTGAAGCTTTTCGATGATAGCTTTGTACCGGTCGCGTTCATCTGCTGCCTGCGCGAGATCTTTGATCCGATCCTGGTCATCTCCATGTTGTTTCTCGAGATGTCGAATCTTGGTGTTGAGTGTCTCGACATTCGTGTCTCTGCTGGCTTTGGACGTAGTAGACGCGGAGGATGCTGTAGCATTTGACCGATGTCGTGCATCCTGAATAGTAGACGATGCCGTTGAAGACCCAGCAATGCTGGGCTTGCGCACTGGCGCGCGTACGGGGGGAGGAGCAGTTGTAGTGGCAATTGATTGCCGCTTCGTTGCAGCAATCGATGCCCTTGGTGTAGGCTTCGGGGCGACAACACTGGACGGGCGCGCCTTCGGTACCACAGGCGCTTTCGGCTTCGGAGTCGGCTTCGCCGCAGGCTGAGAAATGATGCGTACTATGTTGGCCTCTCTTATGAATAGACCGTGTCCTGGGGAACACGTGAAGTAACGCTCCCCGCGTACGGATCCATCATTCTTGCCTGTCGGCGTTGGGAGCTCCAGTCCAAGCCAATCGCCTTCAGCGACGTGAATGGTGCCAATGTACTTGATGATGCCGGTCTGGTTCGTGGAAGTCTCGACCGTCTGACCGATCTTGAGTGACGACATGGCGAAGTCCTACTTGCCAGTCGGGGCTCGAAGTCGTGAAATGGTGGAAGCTGCCGACATGCGTAGAGGAAGTTGTGGTAGAAGTACTGGGAGTTGCAGACGCGTCGCGTGCTGCAGGCGTGAGGGGGTGGAGAGTGCGGTTGCTTCAGAAAAAGCGGTAAAAGTGCAGAGCAGTAGTAGCAGTGCAATGGTAAAGTGGTAACAGCGTCTGGATGCAAGTACAATGGTGTTGTGTTGCGGAGGCAGCATCGGACGTGGTGTGTAGTAGAGAGAGAGGAAGAGAGGGAAAGAACGTCTCTTAACGGACCCGTCGCGCTACCCGCGCTAGCGCGGCGATGGTTCGGTCGCGTCGGGGCGTTATCGGCGATAAGGGCTGCGGTAGCGCGCTGAGGGCTGGCCACACCAAAGCTCCGTCGCTCATTGGCCAGGACGGTTAGATCCGCCGCTAAGGGCTGATAGCGCCTCACGTACCAAAAAAACTACGCGATATCTGCGTACATCACTGCGTACATCGCGCAACTCTGGTTCGCGTCGCCATTGTTGCTAGGCAACGTCGACTCGCCCCCGCCACTTGAACTCGCCGCACAGCCTCTTTTGCCCCGAAATTGTCAACTGTGCGGCGCCATGCAAACAGTTACCAATGCGAATTGCCTCATGTGATAATCTAGTGCAACTAGATCGATTAGCAAATGATACAAGTTTCAGCTGGGCTAACTCAATGCAGCACTTGATGGACTCGCATACATATACCGCGGGTCATCAACCGGACGGAAAGTGAACAGGATGCTACCTTCGTGCTGTGTATAGCTTCAGGCTGCGTGACGGGCTGCTACTTATTACACCCTGATTGCTTTCCAAAGTTGTTGCTCATATCTTATTCGACACCATGCAGGCCACTCCATGTTGTCTTCAGCTGTCCACAGGACCAAGCAAGAGCCACTGTCACAGCTAAAGATCCACAAGACACGCATCCACAAGGTAGTTGGCTGTCATTGCCATACCATATATTGCACAACATGCGCTTCTTATTCTTTCAGCGCTACATGTATAATCTTACATCCCGTCCAACAACAGCCCTCCACATCATTCCTCAAATGACCCCGCTCAACCACTCGTCAACTCCCTGATCCTCTCCTCAATATCCGGCACCGCACGAAGCTGCAGCTCGATGTCTTCCTTCTCACTACACAACAGTTAGCTCGCACACCTCAATCAAATCATAAAAGAGAAACTTACTCTTCCAACACCGCCCGCCTTTCCGCATCGAGTCGACCGAAATAATGTCCTCCCTGGCCATCGAACTGCAATATCCTCGTATGGTACTTCCACAAACTGCGCCTATGCGACACCGTCATGAGCGTAATGCCCAAACGCTTCGCCTCCTCGTACATGATCCTCTCGACCTCAAGCGTAACGCTAGACGTGCATTCATCTAAGATGGCATACCGCGGGCGATGGTAGAAAAGCCTCGCCATGGCAACTCGTTGCTGCAGACCGCCAGAGAGCACATCCGTCCACTCCTGCTCCGCATCCCAGCCGCCCGGGCGGTCGACGATACCCTCAATCTCCAGCGTCGCGAGGATGGATAGTAAATCCGCGTCTGAAACGTTCTTATCGCGCATCTCGTACAAGCTATCCGGGTAGATGATTTGCTGGCGCAGACTACCCCGGGACAAGTATGGGCGCTGGGGAATGTAAAATATGTCTTCGAACGGCGGTTTTCGCACATGTCCGCCATACACCGGCCACAGACCGCCGAGGATACGGAATAACGATGATTTCCCGCACCCGTTAGGCCCGACGATGAGTAAGTGGTCGCCGGGGCGGACGGCGAAGGAGAGTTTGCGAACCAGCACGTCGCCGTTGGGAGATACGATGGGGACGTCGGTGAACTCGATATCTTCGCCCTCAGTCACGGTCCCGCGGCCGGCGAGCACGGCAGCGTTTTCGTCGGTCGATGCGGAGGATACGAGTGCTTTTTCAAAGTGTCCGGCTTGGATGTCGGCGATGACGTCGAGGAGGGTGGAGACGCGCGAAGTGTAGCCGGCAAGCTCGGTGATTTCTTTGTAGGAGAACATGATGCGACCGAAGGCGTCCGAGGACATGAGTAGCATGCGACGGTTGGTGATGAAGTCTGTGTAGTGTTGTTAGTGGGAGACTTGGATGGGAGAGGGATATACGCACTTTCAGTTCGATCTCCCATGCTTCCTTGGCCTGCACCGGGCACTTTGAAGAACACGGGTACACTGCAAAGGAGCAGTCCTAATGCACCCCAGAAGTATTTAATCACAAAGTCCTCCATGATACCGTGGTAGAATCTTCTCCGTAATATGCGGTTGACGTGTTTGATGAGGGTGAAGTATCCCTTGTCCAGTGTGTCTTTCTCCGCCTCGTGTCCACCATACAGTGCCACTTCTTCGCTGTAGTCGATCAGCCTTGAATGCTGGAATCTGAACTCGCCCTCCAGTCTAGCTTCATCCGCAACGTATTTTCCGAACGGAGGTGTAAGAGCACGCATGACGTTTGCTGATATCTGAACGAGCAGTGACATGAAGAAGAGACCTTCGCCGCCAACACTCCTTGAGAGGCTGTAGTTGTATATGATGATATCGAGTATAGGTTTTGCGAGATTCGAGTACAATTCCGCGAGTGAGTTCGAGAACTTGGCAATATCGACAGTAATGAGCTGGTCCGCGTTCTTTATGCGATCGTCGAGCGCAGATAGAGTGTAGAATGTCATCTGACTGAGGTATTTGTTGTGGATGTAGTTCGTCAATCGTGTTCGATACTGCAGTGACAGTTTGCACTGGTGGTAGGACAGCTACGTTCGTCAGCACATGGCCTTCTCTTCATCTTCAGCGCAAATAGATTCAAACTCACCATCGAATTCGTAAACGTCGCTGGCACCGCCACGCACATCCACCACCCCAACCCCACCAAGAACTCCCTCCCCCGTCCCCTAACAAGACTACTCACCAACCTCCCATCCAACTCCGCCACATACAAGCTGATCATCGTCCTGAGTATCAAAAACACACTATGACTAATAATTAACCTGAGCTCCTTGCTCTTCCACCCCGGAATGCATATCCTCAGCAGCCGAATCAAGCTCTTGAAGAACTCGCGGTTGATCTCGACTTTCTTGCGCTTGCTTGCATCTTTCTCGCCCGGCGACGTGGCCTTTGCAGAGCGTCGTGATGCAGCGGCTTTTTGCTCGGCGATGGCGTTGCGCACGCGGTTTATGAGCGCGACGAAGAGGGTGAGGTAGACGGCGCGGGAAATGCGGGTTCGGTTGGACAGGTAGAGCGATGTCAGGTCGTTGATGATTGATTTGACGTTTGCGCTGGACAGCTGCTGCCGCAGGTAGGGCTTGGATAAGACGGCCATGGCTATCGTGGAGGTATGCGCGAGGGCGTCATTGAGCAAGGGACGCGGTCGTGAGGCTCTGTGTCGCGGCGTGTGGGAAGATGGTGGGTGTTTGTGAGCTTGCGAAGCTAATGTAGATCGCGGCACGTTTTCACATGAGGCTCAAATGCGAACGTTGATGTGAGACGGGATGCTGGTGAAGCTCGCGCGACATGTGAATGGACCTCGGTCTTGCGAGATTCGTGGGGGTTAGCGTGGGATTCCCCCGGATTTGCTTGTGATCGCGGACCGAAGAGCATTCGTATTGTGGGGAAGACAACTTCAAGATGGACCATGTTTTAAGAGCACACTTCTAAACATCTCATAGCGCAATGTCAGAATATCAAAGGGTTTGAGAGGATTTGCCTCATCAGGGCTTATAGGGTTCAAGCTTAGCATATATCACAAACACATTAGCTTTACTCTTTCGCAAGCACAGGACCTTTCAAAATGAATATATCTCGCAACACCGTTCTTCTATTAATGCGAAAATGCCCTGATGTTCAAACTCCCATTCTCCTCCGGCCTCGGCGCCACCGGCCTATCCACAAACTCGGGATACAAATACCACGCCAAATCCCTCTCCTCGCGCTGATTCACACTCCATCCATTCCCCAACCAAGCCAATTGATTCACTCTTTCCCTACCGCCCTCCCTCTCCCCAACATACACATAGTCATAATCCTCCCACCTCGGACTACGCATCGCTTCAATACAATGCAGCGTGGACCCCGGCCACAACCCAACCACCTCGCCCGTTCCCTTATTCTTATACCAGCTCCTGCACTCGTCCGCAAACACCGTGCCCTGGAAATACGCATCAACATACGCCGTGAAATCCTCTTCACGCGCCTTTTTCACAACCATGGCAGCGATGTTTTCTTTTTGTATCTTACGCACGCACTTAATGATGTAGTCACCCACGGTTTCAATCATCTTAGTCAGCGACCCTGAGCCAATGGCCGCGTTGGGACCGAGCATGGTGAAGAGATTGGGGAAGCTGGAGATGCTATGCGAGAGGTAGGTTGTGGCGCGGTGGGCCCATTTTTCGGTTAGGGGCAGGCCGTTGAGGCCGATTAAGGGAAAGGGCGGGGGTGCAGAGGATTTGAAACCCGTTGCGCAGATGAGTGCTTCGATGGTGTGGGTTTGGCCGTCGGCGGTGTGGATTGATGTTGGGGAGATGCGGGTTATGGGGGATGTGATGAAGGAGACGTTTGGCTGGGTCAGGGATTCTAGATAGCCTGGTCCGGGCGTAAGGCGTCGACATCCAGGTGAGAAGGATGGGACTAGGGCTTCAAAGATTTCTGGCTTGCTTGCGAGTCGCTTCTTCATATGTTCATAGAACAGGTCTTTCGCACCCTTTTGGAGCTCGGTGCCCTTCATCGTCACGGCGTGGATACCATTTCCATCTTCCTCGACGGACAGCCGGAATTGCTGGTAGAATTCTGGATCGCTGAGGAGACGCTTGCGAAGCTCTTCAGGAATCGCTGAACCTTTCAACCCGTAGCTCTCGAAGATTTGCTCGCCGAATGGAGGGGATATCCAGGTTTTGCTGCGAACAAAGGTACTGATATGAGTTCCGGTGATGCGTTGTAAAGAAGGCACAATCTGTATAGAGCTGGAGCCGGAACCGATGACGCCAATGCGCTTATTCTTGAAGTCATAGCTGTGCTGTCGTTAGTCGAGGTTTCGTCAAAGATATGGCATTGTGCGCCGCGTACCCCTCATTCCATTTCGCAGAATGCATCACCTCTCCCTTGAACGACCCGAAACCCTCGATTTCTGGCCAAGAAGGAGTATTAAGGTTTCCTCGGGCACTGATCAGGACATCAGACTGATCGGTGATCGTTTCTCCAGTCGAGAGATTCTGCACTTTGACGTTCCATTTCGCCGCCTTCTCGTCCCACGAGCACTCCTTGATCTCATGCTGTAATTTGATGAACCTGTCAGCCGAAAACTTCTTCGCGACACCTTCCAGATAGGCTTGAATTTCAGCCGCCGGAGCATAAAGCGAGGACCAGTTCGGATTTGGTTCAAACGAATACTGGTAAGAGTGGGCTGGTCCTAGTTGTCAGCCGGAGAAGCAGCATACAGTGATTGTGCTACTAACAAGGAACGTCACAAGCACAACCGAGATATCTAGTGAGTGGTCAGCCCAAGTCCATCTTTTCGTCAAAGGTATGGTCATTCTGCTTTTGTGCCTTACCTGTTTTCATACCATGTCCCGCCTACCCCTGCGTTCTTCTCATATAGTACCAGCTCAACATTTCGTAGTCTTTCAGGGATCCGGATACCACAATAGATCCCTGAATAGCCTGCACCGATTACGATGACTTTGAGTCGTCGTTGATTCTCCACGGGGGCATCGCTTATCTTGAATGGTGTTTTCGCGGTACCATTTGTGATGCCATTAGCGTGGTACCCTGGCGTATCGGTGGGCAGATTAGGAATCGCAGACATTATGCAGGGGAACAACGGGTGGATGATCTATGATCCAAAAATGCAAACAACTGATTCCAATTCCTTGATGCGCTTTTCTGATCCTAATTGTACACCTGGGTATCGTATGACAAAGACTAAAAGAAGAGTTACAGAGCGAGCCTAACAGCGCGGTGGCATCGCGGTTTATAAGGCCCGTTGCAGGTGATGGCGATAGGCGTTCGACCCCTCTCTTTGGAAGGGTCGACGATGCCATAACAATTGCCGAAGCTTTGGCGTTCGGGAGGCGGAACGTCGATGACTTGTACCGGCTGTGCGCGAGACCGGGTCTACCTGCGGAAGAAGAGCAAGCATCGGGCCTATCAAGAGTGGCTGCACTCCACAACCCAACGAACGGCGGCCCCAGACCTCCACATGCGCCCCGCCTCACGTGCCTTGCAAGCTCGCGCCCGCGGAGTGTGGATCTAGTACGCCACTGCTCAATTTGCGTGTCTTGATGTTTTGCGCTTTAGGCTTTCGATTTTTTTTTGCGCCGCGCAGTGAGCTTCTCTAATGCAATGGGAACTTTGCTCCATTGAGCTACGCACTACCTAGCGATGGTGATGACAGCGATCTGCGTCTTGTTAGTTTTGAAAAAGTCTTGAAGATCGAGCTACGCACCTGATTTCCGAGAGCAATCGACAACCTGGAGCTATCAGGGTCCCACCCAAGACTAAACTCGCCATTAACACTGGGATCCCACTTATCAGCGGTCCAGTCTTTGGCGCGCCAGCAAGCTACGGGTACATCCCTCCGTTCAACGTCCCACACAGTAACTGCATCTGGCCCAGCAGCTGCTAGCAAGGAGCCATTGGGAGAAAAGGCAATTTTGAGTGCCTGCGTGTCATCGGTTGTGGGCATCCGTTTGACAGATTTGAATGGTTCGTTGGCATCCCATATGCGGACGGCGCCTGACATAGAGCAGGTCGCTAGAAGGGTGGATGGGACGGAAGATCCATTCGTGAGGGTGTTTGCCGTGGTACGCACGCGGAAATCAAGATCGGTGGGATATTGATCGGGGTAGTCATGCGTCTGTAGGTTGATCGAGTCGTTGGGGTGTAGGATGCCAAGGTAGGTTGCCTGCCCATCGACACCAAGAGCAGCTACAATTCCTGACGAGGGGTCGAACTTGACATTTTCCCATGTCACATGTGTGTCGAGAGTGCGTTGGGTGGTCAATGTGTCGCCAACCTCGTATATTTTGAAGAGCTCGATGCCACAGACGACGAATGCTGTTTCGCTTATCCACAGCGCGTCGAAAATGACCGTATCGGTGAACTCTGTCCAGGTAGGTATCGAGTCGCTGTCATTCTTCCACACTTTGATGGAGCCCTTTTCACCGTCGGTTGAGATGGATAGCAATAGCTCTTTGTCGGGATTCCAGCGCAGAGTGTTGACCAGGCCAGCAGTAGACGATATGACGTGTGAGTTTGAGCCGCCATCAATGAGCTTAATAAGCTTGTCGACCAGCATCTTTTCGCCTATTTCGTTCGAACACTCTTCGCGCGCGGACACGGTAATTTCGGCGGGCGATTGCCAGCACAAGGCCGTGATGGCGAAGTTGTCGACGGGTAAGAATACATCCCCTGTTCTGACAGGCGAACTGCTCTCATGCACGGCATCTTTGGTCACGAAATGTATCTGAAGCACTGATTTGCCAGCTGCAAGTAGGACTGGCGCACCGGGGGGTCCCCATGACGTGTGTTGAACAACCTTGGCGAGCTCTTTAGATTGGGGGATGAAGATGGTTCCTTGCGCGAGGTCGGCGACAACTTCTGTCTGGATCTCGGCGTCCTGGCCAATGCTGAGGGTCGAAATAGGGATGTCAGCAACTGTTGGCGACTCGGCTTCTGAGATTGGCGCTTCAGACTCGGCGCGAACGCTGTTTGTCGCGTGATTGACGCCATTCTGCTCAACCTCCATTGCCTCGCCGTTGGTCTCGGGCTCTGGCCGCTGCTCGATGCCATTGGGCTGCTTGGCCTTCTTGCGCTTCACGCCCTTCTTGGGCGGCGGTTCTTGCACGGCGCCGTTGGCCTCGGACGCCAGCTCGTGGGCGGGAATGCCCTTGTCGAGGGTCAGATGTGCGCCGTTGCGCGCCGAGTATGGCTGTCCATGGTTTGGACCGAATCGGTATCGCGGCTCAGTCTATACCAGTCAACGCGCGCGCCAATGAAGATGTATGTAGACGCACATTTGTCGCCTCTGCCTGCAGATCGTCAAAGCACATGCCATCCTGGAGGATCCGGATGAGCGTGTGCGGTTCCACGTTCCGCGCAAAAGGCAGAGTTTCGGGGTCGCGGATCCAGCATCGTGACAGCTGCAGGGCGGCGTTGCCGAAGCCGGCTTCCTGGAGGTATCGCCAAACTGCGCGCAGGGTTAGAGAAGCGTGGCATGGCGCATGGTGGATGCGTGTGCGGCTGTGGGGAAAGGTACCGAGATAGTTCACCACATTGCTGCTGAGCAACGACATGACATAATCAGAGAGGGCCGGTGATGCAATGCGATGTACGAAGGTGCGGGTTCGAGGATTCGGCGCGTGTCTGCACGTCGTCGGGGAGCTGGAGGTCGAAGGAGACTGTCAAGGCTGCGGCTTTGGCTCTGGCCTGGAGTCAAGAACGCCAGGATCCGGCGATCGACGGTCGAGGTGCAGAGACCCACGGCCAATCACATGACGTCTGCGCTTGGCTGCCTTCACTCCGCAAGCAGCTGAAGCTCCACCAGCTCGACGCACCGAAGCCGAGCGACTGCGATTCGCGACCAGCACAAGGCCACCCTCCCGCAGAGACATCAGCGCCGCGCACCGCGCACTTCCCCCTGGCACTCCCGCATTTTCCACGAAACCGCCTGTGCCATGGCTCGCATAAATCTCCCCCCGCTGACGCGGAGCCTGCTCGGCGGCCTGGTCGTCTTCACACTGCTCAACTTTGCGCTGAGGCCAAACGCGGACTGGGTAGAAAAGTCGGAGAAGACGCTCATAGGCGTCGGCAATGGCGTGCCCTACCTCACCATCGTGCCAGGCAGATCGGTCATATATCCCTGGGTATTCGCCCTCGCAACCGTAGTCGAGCAGAATCTCCTCGGCCTCATCACCACGGGCCTCACAATATTCTATGGCGGACGCTATCTGGAGCGCGCATGGGGCTCGCAGGAGTTCACCAAGTTCATCATGTTCGTGGCTATGATCCCGAACATTCTGAGCTTCCTCCTCTATATGCTGGGCTACCTGATCTCGGGTTCGGGCGCTGCACTGTACGTAGACATGTCTGCTAGAGAGATGAGGTACTGACACGTCACAGCCACACCACCATTTCCGGCGGCATTGCCATCCAGGCCGGCTTCCTCGTCTCCTTCAAGCAGCTCGTGCCTGAACACACCGTTGCAATCGCAAAAGGCCTTGTGCGCATGCGCGTGAAGCACTTCCCCGCCATATTCCTCCTCGCCAACACGATATCCGGCATCGTCCTGGGCACCGAAACCGCCATGTTCCTCGCATACTTTGGCTTCATGACCGCCTGGGTCTACCTCCGCTTCTTCCGCATCAGCCCATCGCTCGTCTCCTCCGCTACGGGAGACGGATCTGTGACTAGAGGAGACGCCTCAGATACCTTTGCATTCGCGCACTTCTTCCCGGAGCCCATCTATACCCCACTTGCAGCCGTCACAGATGGAGTCTTCAACGCCATTGTAGCGCTTGGAGTGTGCACGCCCTTCTCTGAGCAGGACATCGATGCGGGCAACGAGCAAGCAAGCGCTCGTGCCGAGGGAGGACTTCCGAGCATCATGAATCCGAACAGCCGTGGGGGCAGGGGAGGAGCCACACGCGCTGAGGCAGAGAGGAGGCGAGCTTTGGCACTGAAAGCGCTCGACCAGAGACTGCACGCAGCAGCAGCCCGAGGACCAGCCACTGCTGCTCCAACTGCGCCCGCCTCATCTGGCCCCTCCATACTTGGAGAAACATCCTACGAACCCGAAGCAGATGCACCTGCAAAGCAAGCATCATAACAGTAGCTGGTCCAATAGAGATAGACGTTGTCCCGACAATTAGAGCTTTTCTATTTGTTTATTTGGTTTCCTCGCGTACGCATGATACCCTCGCGTCTCTATGTACCTTACACCAACTTTCGTGTTCTGATAGACCAAGCTCCCAGCAAGGGACTATCCTAATCGGTACCATCCCGTCACATCATCAGCACCTCGCATATCGACCAAACTAGATTGATACCGCGCCGCAATCGAGTGTGACCAACAACAAACAGACCCAATTCAGAAGCGCAGGGCTCCTAGTGAAGTTGGCGATTGGACGGATTTTATCCACAGATCACAATTTAATCCATCCCGAGCAATTCAGGAGCAAGTCTCGAACTCAACGATACGACTGAGGTTGTGATGCATGTGAACAGAGCAACACAGAAGTAACGAATGTTCAGTGACGCCGGACACACGACACCTGTCAGCGCGCGAACCCTACACGCGGCAAGGTCTTGTGCTGCAGGCGGCCGTTGCGATTGTGCTACCTGCAACCCAACCATCCGCACTTTGAGCCGAACATCCCGTGTTGTTGCTACGCGCCTCACAACGCAATATACCCAGGACCAACTGGGCAATCCCTTCCATCTATGCTTGAGATAGGAGCATCGCGCAAACACCATGGGACATATAAAGAGTAAGCTTGGGGCAACAGTTCGCATGCATCAATTTTTGCACGGTCGATTACAGGCCCTGAAAATATACTACTGATATTCAATATACCTTTCCAAGTACATTTAACCTACCATGCACTTCTTCACCCTCCTCCTCTTCCTTCTCCAATTGGCCCATGCCGCCCCTTACCCAACGTACACATGTACCCAGGAAATCACCAACACATCCGCCATCGCCGTATCATCAACCCTCCTCACCATCTCAACCAGCACATCCGCCATCGCCGTCACATCAACCCTAGCCCTCTCAACACCAACACCAACACCAACACCAACATCGATAGCTAGCCTCCCAGCTCCCACTGCCGGTGTAAGTCCCTCCTCCTAACCTTCATCATCCCCTCCCACTAAGAAACTCAGGTCTACATCTGTACCCTTGCAAACTTCACTGGCGCATGCACACACCACCTCTCACCCGCCTCCTCCGCGCCCTCCGCCTGCGTCCAACTCGACGGCACAGCGTCGTCTGTCGGGCCCGATAAGGGTTTTGAGTGCACCTTCTTTACGTACGTATACCTGCTTGCTTGCTTTAGGAGGAAGTATTCTAGAGGAAGGAGGAGATGATGTTAACACGGCAATAGGAATGCATTTTGCGACCGCGTGTTGAGCGATGGGAGTGATGCGTTTAGCGTGGGGTGGCCGGGGTATAAAGATTTAAAGGTGTTGGGGAGGCAGTGGGATGATGGGGTGAGAAGTTATTATTGTTTGGGGGAGGGGGCGGCGTGAGGTGGGTAAGAGGGATGGGGGGTTGCTGGAGAAGAGTGTGCAGAGGAGATGGGGGAGGACATGTATTGTGTTTATCGTGCGACATGTCACTGATCACTTGTCTGTCAGACTTTTCGTAGCTCGTTGTACATATAATGCTAATCGTTTATTGAACTCTCCATTCAGCACGTGAGACGTTCATAATTGAATTAATTCCAGCACAGTAGTGGTCGGTCATAATACCATTGTATCATTGCATACCATCAGGCATCTAACTACTCAACCATTTTTTTCATCCGTCCTCTACGGAACGGAACCGTCTCAGTCGCATAAAGAAATCATCCCACTAAAGTAAAAGTTACAAGTACATATAAAGAAAAGAAGGCAACAGGGGAATATGGGGGAAGAAGAGAAAGGGGGGACCGCATAGCCATCAGATGCACACCACTCACTCTGGGCGCATCATCCAACTCGCAGCATATGTACACTCAAAAGCCGTGTATGTACACGCACAGAGAAACCAGAGCAGACAGGACTATTGAACCGGCGGGCACGAGTCGCGCAGATGCGCTAACTTGTTGTTGCTGAGGTGCGCTGGGCGATTTGGGCTTGTTCATCGTCTGGTTCTGTGGCGACCTGAATCCATGTATTAGCCATTTTGTTCAAACACAACACACACGAATTCCGAGCTCGACTAACCTGAGATCGACTTACGCGTAGATCCAGTACTGAGCCTGGTACTCGACGGTGACGATGTCGCCGACAGCCTTGCCCTCGCAAGACTTGGGCGCAAGGCCGCCGACGGTGTTGAGGCGGTAGATTTCCTTGACGGCGGAGGTCGAACCGTCGGCTTGGGCGGTCAGACGCAGCCACTTGACATCGCCGGTGGGGTTGGGGGCGGCGCACTCCTCCGTCTTCTTTGCGCGCGTGTTGCCGAGGCCGAGGATGTCGAAGTCGGGGGTGGTGTTGTCGACGAAGAAGTGCGCGCCGATGGACTTGGCGTCTTCTTCGATGCTGCCCAGCTGCTGGGTACTGATGGGTGGCGAGTTGACCAGGTCGCAGGAGGCGTCGAAGAGAGTGGCGACGGCGCCGATAGCAGAGGGTGGTGCGGTTAGGTTGGCGCCACAGGTGTAGTTCTGAGTGCCTTCGCCGAGAGCAACCATCATGAGCTTCATGTCGGCGGTAGGGGGCTGGAGGACGCTGTCTGGCTGCTTGAGGCCTGCGAGGTTGCATACAGGGAGTGCAGGGACTGGAGGCTCAGCGGTGCCATTCTCCGTACCAGTCTCGTTGTCGCAGCGGCGGTACAAGTGAGACGGCATGGAGAGGACTGAGGGAGCGAGTGCAAAGGCCGCAAGGATGGTGGAGGCGCGCATACTGGCTGAGTTCTGTGTGGGTAGATTTTCGGCTGAGGGTCGAGGGTTATAGTTGAGTATTAAGTTTGGCAGTCGAATATTTTTTCAAAGAGCGAAATAAATACTAGTGCTGTACACAGTACAGGTGAGAGTGAAGGTGAGTGAACGAACGAAGAGCTACCAGAGCTCAAGAAGCGAATGAAGAATGAAAGATGCAAATGCAAAAACCCAAAGGCTGAGAGTAGGAAACACTGGAAGAGCTGCTGTGGATGGGTCTGGTTGAGGTGAAGTGGGCGCCACCATATATACTTAGTCGCCGGGTGCTGAGCATGCAACCGTTCTCGCCATGCATATGGAAATAGACAGGCCTACCAACGGCGAAGGATGCATCCATGGACATCTCAAACAAGCGAGTATCGGTTTCGCAAGGTAGTACAGCCGTTTGCTCCCAAGACTGCCCACAACTGACAACAGTAGTTCCCGTGTTGAAGGATGTGACTGATAGCTTGGGTGCTGCAAGTGTGTCATCTAGAGTGTGTTCAGTGAACGGTGGTTTTTCGGTTGAAACCTTTGGGATAAACATCGCTGGTGAGACGTGCTAGCGACCGTTCTCGCAGGGTTGCACGGGCGCTATTGTCCCACATTATCCATGTTGAGGTAGGAAGATCTCCTGGTACCAATCCTATGGGATCTTGCAGGGCAGAGAGAGCAGAGAGTCATGCGACATCATCTGTCTCTTGAATCGCAACTGCAATCTTGGTGACTGCGACAGCTGACAGCTGACAGCTGACGGCGATACTTGGAGGCAGTTTATGTTACACGGTGCTGATTCGAGGTGGAGGGACCAAAGACATACACGCGCGGTATACCCAACACTACATGCTTCCAAGATTGACTCGCGCGGTAAGTGAAATTCGTTCTTGTGTGAGGCTTCCAGATGTGGAAGGACTCCAGGGTCTCGCGTATGAAACGATAAACGGCTGTACCTGCAGAAACTGATGCGCGCACTGAAACGCCATGAACGGGACCCGCGAGAATCTACGCTTGAATGTAAGCGCGATGAAACAATCGCATCAACCGCCTCAGTGAGCCTTAGGCACTATTGCGGCGCAGGCAGGACGCCGCAGGAGATGCTTTTGCGGCGTTACTGAAGGAGGCGCAACATCTCGGCTACTTGCTCGCATGCATCTCGGCAGCACCTCAAACGCGAACGTAACAGAGCTTTCATCCATCAGGACGCAGCATGCATTAGTGGACGCGTCCAGAGCCCGCTGGCTGCATGTGCCTGAAGTATCCTGGCCGAGTTATCGTTCACCCGGCAGAGTCTGGCAGCCGTGCGCAATGGTTAGAGGACGTGTTGGCTGTCTGTGCGAGGAGCAGGGTACGGGCACAGATGGGGGATGCGAGTTTCAGCCCGCATCACGGGACTGGCAGTGACATGTCGCGAACAGTATTCGAATTATTTGCCTCAGTAAGTCGAGCTCTGCCGTTGATGTCAAAGGTCTCGGAGGGCCGCGTCGTCCGTCATCCGTCTTCCGGAGAGAAGGAGCTGTGACGTGTGTCGTCCAACTCTGGTCCAGATGCTTTGGGCTAGTGGCCCTTCTCCGCCTCCAGAACCACGCGTTGCGCACGCCCCGGATTCCCTTAACACTGTGGGGAACGCCAGCTCTTCCACCGACATGCTTCTCCTTCACTCTGACAGCCACCATGGAGCACAAAGTCAGTCTGGAAGAGCTCATCCGCAAGGCTGGTGTCACGCGGGACATCATCCGACAGCCATGTCTCCCAGCCCCGACTGAGTCGGCCGTCACAGCCAGCGAAGACGACCTCGCAGAAGCACGGACCCTTTTGCTGAACCGACGGGCGAAGAACCCAGAGCACAAGGATGTTTTGAAACGAATCTTCAGGAGCTCAAAAGATAAGAAGGAATCACAAGATGCTCCACAGTTTACCCAGGAAGAATTGGACCAAGCGCTGTCTGCAGTCCTCCGGGAACCCACCATGAACCCCGGCCTCACCCAAGCCTTTCTCAGTCTTGGAGCCAACGTGAACTTCATCGAAACACCCGAGAAGAAACGGAGACAGAGCAACCAGGCCAATAGCAGCCTGCGCCGGAGGAGCACCGTGTTACAGCAAGCAGCTTCCCTTCGCAGACCAACATGTGTCAGTTTGCTTGCTGGTTCTGGGGCCGACCAGACTACGTTGGATGAGGGCCTGAAGGCAGCTCTTGCCTCAAACGACCAAGAATGCATCCAAGAACTACTGCGACATGGTGGTGACCTGAACAAGTTCCCCACTGCGCTGGCGAACGCTGTGCGCACCAACGACCAGAACTATGTTCGGACATTGCTGCGAGCACCGAAAGCGCTACAAAGCAAGATCATATCATCGTGCCTGCCCGCTGCAGTTCAACAAAACTCTGAACCAATTGTGTCGCTCCTGATAGCTTATGGGGCTGACCCAAATTTCGACTCTTGCAGTGCCCTCAATATGGCCATCGGCAAGCAAGACTACAGATTGACTCTTGCGCTTGTGTCAGGTTCAATCCCCTTGACTCAGTCGACCTTGCAGCGCCTGCTCGATACCACGATGCGACTCCCGACCTGCGAGGCACAGCTTCAATTTCTTCAGGTCCTCCTCTGCTGTGGACTGCACCCCAATAGCATCGGCTTAGCCGACCTTCTAGTCTGCAGGACAAGGAAGAATGATACGGATGGTGTTCTGATGATGCTGAGCTACGGAGTGCCGACAGCGGCGAAGGACGCTGAATGCCTAAGGCTGGCCGTCTCCAACTCGAATTGGACATTGATGGATGCTATCCTTAAGACTCCTATCTCGCCGCAACAGGCTTCTGCTGCCCTAGCTGAATTATCCACAAACACGTTAGCTTCGGAACGACTTCATGTTATCCGCTCGCTCATACACAAGGGTGCAACAGGGCCATCGCTCGAATACTGGCTTACGCGAGCAGTCGAGGATGGTGATACTCCTTTGATGGAGTTCTTGCTAAGTGCCGGTGCACCTGTAGCAGCAAGCGACCGAAGTCCTCTGCTCACTGCTGTAGCAAGAAAAGACAAGAAGAGTTTGCAAATGCTCCTCAACACACGTCCATCACCAGAGATTCTATCAAAGGCCTTCACGCTACTACGAACTGGTCACACGGCAACTGAGCGATTTGCAACGTCGCGACTGTTGCTCGAGCATGGTGCACGAGGCCCTGAAGTCGACCAGGCTCTGGTAGACGCAGTTGCGGACACATCGCCGACAAGGGACCCAGCTTTGATCACCGAGCTCGTCCGACGGGGGGCTGATGTCAATCACGATAATGGGAAAGTGTTGCAGCTGGCTGTGTTACAGGTCGACTTATCTCTGCTGCGCTTGCTGTGTAATTCGAAGCCCACGTCAACCTCAGCCTCAGCAGCCCTCGCTCTAGCCTTTGACTCGAATGGCAACAGACATGGCCGCACGGCAGATATCATAGACCTGTTGCTGGCCTATGGCATTGATGAGAAGTCAGCATTGCAAGCTTTACATATTGCTATCAGTGGTGGGCCCGAGAACATCGATATCATCAAGCAGCTCATCACAGCGCAACATCAGACTTCTAAGCTCGGCCTTCGAATATACCATTGCACTGGAAGATCCCGCACGGAAGACGCCTATACTTGATGTCCTACTGAAGATGGGAGTGGGCCAGGAGACACTCGACGAAGCGCTCGCAGCCGAGTCTCGACACGCCGTTGTCAATCAAAATACCACGAGTACTAAAATGCTCGTGGAAAAGGGCGCTTCTGTGAGTCACAATGATGGCGAAGCTTTGACAATTACAGTAGCAGCAAGAAACACATCGCTAACGGAACTCCTTCTCAGTGGGAGGCATCGGCCGTCTCAATCTAGTGCAACGAAAGCGTTCCGAAGTCTGTTCACCAACCCCCCGCCAGGAGGCGAAAGTGATGGCGATACACGCAGATTGGCACACATGCTACTGCCTCTCCGAGTAGAGCAGTCAGCAGTCGATTCGGCCTTGCGTGTTGCCCTATCGAAGCCATTGTATGACAGTGAGCTCGAATCACTGGTGGACTTGCTACTTCAACACCATGCCAACGTCAACGTAGCGGACGGTGCATGCTTTGTTTTTGCCGCTCAAAAGCATGATCATACTGTCTTCGAAAAGCTTATGCTTCATAAACCTACTTTTGGTGTTGTTGTTCCAGCGTTAATTCGTTCTAAAATGCAAGAAGAGTCGCTTGTGATCGCAGTCAAGTCATGTTTTGCACACGGGTGCTCATCTGAAGACCTCGAAAGGGATTCTTCTGTCAGTTCCAAACTGCCTGTTCTGATCATGGCTATGCAGTCCTATCCACGATGCGAGGCACTAGTCAAAGTCCTTCTCGATCATGGCTGCAATCCCGACGTTTCCGCCCGAGACATTGTAGACGCCACAGTGGGCGAGGAGACGGTGTCTGCGCTTCTGTGGGCGCTGAACCAAGAACAGAAGCGCATCTCGGGTTCGGTCATCACGGCACTTGTAAAAGCCGGGGCTTCTACGACTAGTCTCTCGTCCACTTCAGAAATCTCGCCCATTTCACTAGCTGCTCGGAACGGGCGGAGTGACATCGTCCAAGGCCTACTGGATGCGGGGGCGGACGCCTCTGTGCGGGACAAGTTTAACCGCTCAGCGCTATTCTACGCTAGTGGTGGCTCGAACATCTTTACTGTGGAAGCACTAGCTCCTCATGCGCTCAAGAATGATGGCAGTCTTCATGAAGCAGCGAGGTGTTTGCGGCTTGACGTCGTTGTGATCTTGGTGAAGCATGGACACAGTCCGAACTTCCCATCGCGTCTTCACCAAGGCAGAACTGCCTTAAGTGAACTTTGTCTGAACGGTCATGTAACTGTTGCAAGTCAAAGATCAAAACTACGACAACTGATCAGACTATTCCTCGACAATGGCGCAGACCCGCTCTTCAAAGTCCGCAACGACAAGGCCGCAATCATACTCGCTCTCGACAACGCATACAGTGCCGTAGACATCCTAGAGGCACTCCTTGAAACCGAAATATGGGAAAATATCAACGACGACAAGCACATGTACCGCGACCCCAACGGCCTCTGGTACTCCCCCCTCAGCTACGTCGACCTCATCCCCTCCCCCAGCCGCGCCCAAATCAAGCAAGATCTCATCGACCTCCTTCGCGACAAAGCCTGCATCCCTCGCTTCTACTCGGAAACCGCCCTGCAGCCTCCCTCCGCAACAGGAATTCCGCCCTCCATCCAGCGCCTCGTCGACCTCCAAAAAGAACACGACCTCGCCATCCGACACGAAAAAGAGCGCCACGAACACATCCGCACTCTAGAAGAAACGTCCCACCGTGACGCCATGCGTAGGAAGAAGGAAGCCCAAGACCTCGCCCTGTCGACCCAATCCGCCGCGCACGACCACGCCCAGGCCCTCGAGCAAGCAACCCACGACGCCGCGCTGCGCCGCGTCCACGATGCAGAACGCATGAAGCGCGGCGAGAAGGTTGCGTGGCACAACCTGATCATGGAACAGGAGCACGATGCAAGCGTGCGGCGACTTGCTATGAAGGAGCGCGATGCGGGCGTGGAGAGCCGCGCGATTGAGAACAGGAAAGCCGAGCTGGAGCACCGCGCGGGCGTGGAGCGGAGGTTGCTCAAGGAAAAGGAGGAGGTGTATGAGAGGAATGTCAAGAGGCAGGCGGAGGTGGTGCGGCAGGCGGATGAGAGTGCCAAGTTGCATGCGCGGTTGAGGTTGGATCGGCCGGCAATTGAGGGGGCGCAATGGGGGACTGTGGATTGATAGAGTCCACGTTTTTTCTATTACTCAGGGGTTCACATATCCAAAAGAATAAAAAGTGTACAAGAACAAATAATGGTATCAATTGTCATTAAAAAAAAATTCTACTTCTCATATTCACCAACTCCCACTCCTGCGAGTATAGGCATACTACACCTTCCTCCTCTTCCCACTCGGCGCCTCGTCCTCCTCCACAGTCGGCGTGTCCTCGACCTCCGTCCTGCCAGAACTCCTCTCCACATTACGCCAAGTACTCACGCTCCGCTGCACCGTCTCAAACATCTCCCGCGCATCCTCCACAACGCCATCTTCGCCCGGGTTGAACATGACAGCATTGACAAACATGCGCATGAGTTCCTTCTCTAGCTGGGCGGCGTTGACAATCGACTTGGGCGGGATGTTGTCAGGAATAACGGGGAGTTCGACGACACCGCCCCCGCCGCCAGGACTACCGGCGGGCGTATCGGACGCTGCAGATGCGACTTGTTTTGCGCCGCTGGCGATGGCTTTTTGGATGGTTTTGAGATCGGTCGGGCGCTTGATGATGTCGTAGTAGCCTTCTGCGTCTTTGGCGCGGACGGCGGCGGAGAAGGTCGAGGCGTGCTTGTGGGACTGGATGTCGTTCATGATGGGAGCGCAGGTGCGGGCGAAGTAGCGAGGTGCGATAATGGTGCGTGGTGGGCCGGGGGTGCTGAAGTGGTCTTCGGGCTCCTCAAGAGATGCTTCTCGCGCATTGCGCTTTCGCCGTGTTGCTGCGCCTCGCCTGCGCGTGGTCATCTGAGATGGGGTATCCACAGATTCTTCGTCGATGGCGTCTATAGATGTTGCACGCTCAGACTTGATGCGGTTGCCGGCCTGTGACTCGTTGTCGGCTGCAACAGTCTCGGTGTGTGACAAGATAGACTGACTGCGGCTACGATCGCGCACAGAGCCTCCTGCTCGAGAGGAAGCCAGACTTCCCGGCCTTGCGCGTTTTGGAGGTGCTTTGCGCCGTGATCGACCTGATCGAGTTTCGACTTCAACCACAGTGTCATCCGGCTGGGACTCCGTCTCCGGCGCGGCATCGTCCGCAGGCGCTTGCTCTGAATCTTTCTCTTTGCCCTTGCCTTTTGCTCGCGGTTTACGCTGCGACTTGGGCTTTGCTGGGCTTTGTCGCGGGGTCTCGAGCGGAACAAAGTCGTCGATTGGCTCGGGGACCGGACGCGGGCTGGCGGCAGGTGTTCCGGCAAAGCTCATCGACCTTTTCCACACACTCTTGGCGGACACTGGAGTGCCCATGGCACTGATTGGAGAGCGCGAGTTGATCGGTGTAGAGAGAGAATGCCTGGCCTGAGTGACAAGTGGGTGCATGGGTGGAATGCCCTGCCTGCCATTGCCAGGAGTCTGCACACCCGCCCCTTCCAGACGGCGGGAGTTGTCGATTGCTAACAGGCGTGGACACTTGAGGGTAGTTTGGCGTTGAGGCCGACTGAGGATGCACACGCGACGGGTCTTGCGGGGACACTTGGAACGGCGGTAGCATGAAGCCAGCTTGCGGAGGCGGCTGGGCATACTGTGACGCATGGAGAGGGTGGTGGGGTTGTGCGGGTGGGTACTGTAGTCGTTGCTGCTGGTACGGGCCTTGAGTGCCCGCAGGCTGTGGCCCCGGAGGCTGGTGTGGGAAACGCTGTTGGGATGGAGAGTACGGAGATGGCCCGGCGTGAGGTGGGCCGTACTGCGGTGGGCCATTGGTTCCGTAAGGATGAGGCTGAAGTCCAACGGCTGGGGAACTTGGGTGTTGGCCAGGTTGAAGCGGGACGTTGGGCGGTGCCTGAGGCTGCTGTCCTGGCGGGTAGGGCTGGTTCTGGTATGCGGGTCCGTTGTAGGGCGGGTGCGGGGATGGCTGGAATCGCGGCGGTGGTGGTGCGAGCGGCTGAGCGAGGTTTGGCTGTGGAGACGCCGATGCAGCTGGCTGTGGTGTCGTCGTCGTCGGTCGCTGTTCCAAAGCAGCCTGCTTCCTCCGCGGCGAGGTGGAGTTTTGGGCTGCTCTCGCAGGGTCCACGGCTGGTTGTGCATCTGGGGTGGGTGCTCCATTCGGCGCTGCCTGGGGACTGGCGGGCTGCAGAGGCTTCTGAGCGAGATGAGGCGACTTCCTCGGCAGCGTAGGGCTTCGCGGTGCAGGTGTCCTTCCGTTGGCACGCTCCCGCAGCTGGTCGTCCCACTCTCCACGCTCGATGCTCTTCAGTTCGCGCTGCAGCTTCTCATAGCGGTCCTCCTCGGCGCGGATCTGCTCGACAACTTCGTGGCGGTACGAGGCGTACAGCTTGTTGACCAGCTTGGGGATGAGGTGCTGGTGCTGCAGCGATTCCTGGACCGTGGGCAGCGCGGGACTGGCCTTTTTGCGCTTCCGTGGATTTGCGCCATCGGCGTTGGCGTCGTCGCTGCTGTCGCCCTGCTCGTGCTCAAGCTCGCGCCTCAGGCGCTCTAGGTAGAAGTTGCGCAGGGCATCGGGACTCAGACGGCCGCTCTGGAAGTATTTGTTGCCCGTCACGTCGGGGTTCTTCTTGAGCAGGTCCGAGATGCGGCCGAAGACATTGTTGCCCACGCCATAGGCGCGCAGACATTGGAACAGCAGCAGCGACTCGAGGTTGGTGTAGGCAGAGCCGCTAGTATTCATCCCCCGCGACCAGTGGGCGTCTTTGGCGCGCGGCGGGCGGTGCGAGGGCGAGGGCGAGGGAAGAGGAGCCAGCGCGACTGCGGACGGCGGTTCACGAGGGGCGGGCGGGCATTGCACGGCGCGCGGGAGATGGGCGCGTGGTTTGGGCGGGTGGAAGACGTCGGGGTGTGTCGCAGCGGTGATGAAATGAAAAGAAAAGATGGTTTGCGTGTTTCTGCAGAACAGCGCCCTCCCAGCAGCCGCGCGGGCCCTGATTGGCGATTGGCGATTGGCCGCGCTTGCACAGGACAGGACGCGTCAAGATGCTAGTACCGCAGCACAGTAGCTCCCTTCACGCGAGCGCGGGGCGGCCACTACGCCAATCGAGACTCTGAGCCATGTATCGGAGACGGTCTGGCACGTGAAATCGCCTTTCTCGACCGTCCAGACGTCGCCATGCATCCCTCCCCTCTTGCATGCAGCGCAGGCATCTCCTGGACGAGATTCCGCCGAAGGGGACGTCCCTCAGTTCCGAGCTGAGCTCCACTAGATCGACGCCCAAGCTAAACGGAGCATAGAACCCATCCCCTTTCTCCTGATCAAATGAAATTGCGACCTCAGATCTTAATCATCAGGACATGCATATCATGCCCGCCCACTCTGCCTCCCCCAGATACCCTTTCCTTTCCTGAAACGTGTCTGACTTGCCATCTTGTCTGGCCGTTTGCGTCGTCGCATACCACTTCATAAGCCCATCTCCCCCGCAACCATCTTGATCTGCACCAGCTCCATAGCGTTGCGCATCGCACCGTCTTCTGCCTTGCTTGCTGCTACACCATCTTCGCATACCATCATCATCATCATCATGACTACCGATACCATGGAGAACCCCGAGAATGAGTGGAAGCAGGGCTGGAAGCCAAACAACCGCCCCCAGTCGTAAGCTTCACCCGCGCGCTACAGTAGCTCCCGCATTCTGACAGGACAATGCAGCACCATTGCGAAGAACTTCATGAGCGAGCTGGACAGCCTGTTCAAGCTCGATGGCGACCTCGATAGCCTCGACAAGAACGTCCACCAAAAGTGTGTTCTCCACACACCCCTATCACATGCTCCGCTAATCACCCACCCCAGGAAGCAAGCCGTCACCACACAAACCCAAGAGCTCGAGGCGATAGAACGCCGCCTGCGCGAAGCCGAGGACCGACTGAAGCAAGCTGCCACCAACTCGCCGCCACGACGGAAAGACAGCCAGCGCCGCAGCCCCCTCGAAGGCACCTTTCCCACCCAAGACAAGGCGCGCGCAGACAGCCAGACCATGGCCAACATAGCAGGTGCGCAACCGGCAACGCCATCCTCTCAGAACAGCGCTGACTATGTCCTGGTAGAGAGGCCACACTCGTCCCGAACCGTTGAAGCCGAGAAGGCATAGTTGCGATCGCATTGAACCTTACTACGATACCACGATACCGAGCATCGCATCCTTTCGGAGTATGGAGGGCCCTGGCTTGGTGGAGCTCTTACTATTTTTTTTAATGGACGATTCTTGACACCACTTTTTGGGGGAGTACTATGGCATTGGAACAGCAATGATGGAGGGGAAGGTTGGGTACGCTTTTGTGTATTGCCGGGCCTCTGTTAGCATCAATGCAATGTTCTTACTATAGACGATTGGGCGAATTCGTAGTCTTGCGGCGATGCACTTGGTGGCGTTGCTGCTGTAGGAAAGCCCTGATCACGTCGGGCTGCAAGCAGTGAAGGCACGTGCCCCCTGACATTCATTCCACCCCGAATTTGGAACACCCATGTTTGGTATATTGTGGTTTCATGAAGAGCGTTATGATTCAACGTTAACATTGCCTTGAAATACAGTCCTACACATTGTCGTGGAGCTCGTTTGGATCTGGTGTATAGATATCTAGGTGCTCACGTACCTCAGCGATAATATTATCCCAAGTCGCTTCATGTACAAGACTGTCTTCTGGCTCATCTGGATAAGACATTATAGAAAATTATGAATCACGAAGCGAGCATCTACTCCAGAGATGCAAGTCAACGTGCATAACATGGAAGAAATACGAATCACTTGTACCCACTTGCCTTCCAAGGTTGGAACCCGAACCCCAAGTGCTTGGAACATGCATGTAAAGCACGATTTGCCCATCATGTCGAAATCTAGACTTCACTCGTCGTCACCATTGCCATCATCACATCTCCCGCGCGCCTTCCTCCTTCCATACCCCGCACTAACCCATTTCACTTCGCAACATCAACGTCCAAGCCCCAAGCCCCACCTTTACCTTCCTTCCATTCAGGCTGCACCTTCCCCTACGTCACCGATCACCCGCGTCAGCTATATCATCCATCGCCATGTCGACCTCAGCACCCGGCCCCAACGCTTCCATCGCCAACAAGATCAAGTGGCTCTATCAAGGCACCGAACGACCAAGCACATACCCAACCGAAGCGGACAACCTTGAGAAAGAAGTCAAGAACCTCACCGTCAAGGACGAACAACCCAGTATTGAAGAGCAAATCAAACGTAGCTTCTTCAATACCACAGGATCACAAAGACCTAGTCAAGATGCCCGTCCATCCAGCTGAAGAGAATGCCACTGGCAGTACGTCTTTCCTCTCTTTCTCACATGGTTGATGCGTTGCTGATTGATATAGGCATCACCGACAAAGTTAGCCAAGGAGTCCTCCGACAGCAACGCTTCGACGCACGAGCTGCACGACAGCAAGGAAGCTAACGAGGCTACCTCGGGCGGCGCCGCGCATGCGAACGCACACAAGGCGAACCCGGTATGTGTCCTTGATGGAGTGAGTGCTAGATGGGAGATCAGAGCTAATGCGAGATAGGGACCGGTGCATGCGGATAATCTGCCAACCCCAGAGAGCAAGGCGGATTTGAAGAAGAGGGCAGAAGAGTTGAACAAATAGGGTGAATCATGAAGGATGAAACGAATTAGGGGTTGGGAAGTGAACGGAGTATATGATGATGGAATGAATATGAATCAAGGGAATGGGGTCCCAGACTCATTGTTCTCTTCCTGGTCCAAGTGTGCTTGTGTTCTTCCATCCCTCACCCGTGACTAGTAGTGGAGACGGCGCCGTATAAGTAAGATGAGTGGTTTTTGTCGTCCGTTATGACGCTGTCACTGGGCTACCTGCAGTAACACATCTGCTGCATGTCCAAGGTATCAAAGCAAAAACAACATCACACACTGCTAACGTACAATCAGCATAGGCTCAACACCCCAACTCTCAAAAAAGTCAAATAGATTCATGCTCAGTTTCTTCATCGGCAAATCCCCCAACAATTCTCTCTTACTCAAACTTACCTTCGCCCCCGCCAGACATCAAGTTTGGGAATCAGTCGCTTTATCAGTTATCACATCATCAAAGGCGTTCCGTAGCTCCTATTGAATGCTGATAGTCCGCGAGTTCATGTGAGTAGCAACTTCACGAAGCGGTTGTAGACGCACCTAGGTCGAAGCGTAATAAAGTCGTCAACGTTGGCCAGCTTATCCATCTGCTTCTGCACAGAAATGAGAGGTTAGTGTGTGATCGGGTTGCAAAGCCTCTGAAGAAAAACCACAATGATGCCAGATGCTCAGGTGGCATTCCCAGTACAACTATATCGTATTCGAGGGTTGCACATGTGTTAGACAACCGGCGCATGACAGCATGACGAGGCGCTGTCCGGAGAAACAACGTGGTGGGTAAATCCGCTGACCGCTCCCTGGGAGTCTCGGGCAGGCCGTTGTCTTCGTGGAGATGTCGAGAGATGTGGAGCGTATGGAGGTCACGAACCTCAGCAGTATCTAATGATTTCTCGCCAAGACGCCATCTATACGACTATTCCCACGTCGAAATCTCCCCATGATGCTCCTCTAGACAACATTTGACTGACCATGAATTGTGGATTTCACGAAGAGCTGGACCTAGCCACGTCCATGGGACGCACGTCAGCCATCCACAATACGACCTCACCGCACGATGGCGTGGCTCCTCGCCACGAGAACAACCTATTCGCTACAATTCATAAATTGAAAACGACGATAGGCGGATGTCGTCAGCGGCATGTTCCGGTGTAATGTGACACGACTTTACCCGATGTTGCGGCGCACCCGATATGGCTTCAGATGTCTGCGCACACTTCGCAGCCTCAAGCAATAATGTCATGCAGCGCTGCTGCTCTTGACTCCCATCGGACTAGTACGCCCCGGAGCTTTATCACAGACCAATATCGGTGAAGTTTAATGGTGCCGGGGAACTGTCCGTTCCGAAGACATTCCATGGGCGAGGCTTAAATTTGTATGTCAGAAGTGCGGCAAGGCCTTGACCGAATCAAGCACGCGAAAGCTGACACGCCCTGAGTTAGCATGAAGATCCATGAAGGCGGGTCGTGTACGCATCTAGCTGTTCAACAGAAGGACTCTGGCAACTCGATGCCTTCCTGACTGAGACCTCGATCTCGGATCGATAAATGGACTACTGCTTCCAGACCTCACAGCTGAGACGAACATCCTCACCGTCTCAAAAATCTCGGTGAATTCTGACCGCCAGGCCTTCAAACACATGTCGACCTTGCATAGATCATATGCGCTTTCGAGGAGGTTGTGCAACGCCAACAGAAAGCTCAAAGTCCGCGATCCGACCCGAAGGTGGTCGCATGCAAGGAAGTGACACAACCTTCAGCTCTATCCCGAGATCTACCACTAAGGCAAGCTATTACATAGGACACTCTGTCGGTAGGCTACAGCTCGTTCAAATTCAAGGAGCTCGCCTGCGTCCCGAGCAATTGTACCGCGGGAAACCTCCCTTGCTTCCTGTCCTATCCATTGTACTGGGTACGTTTCAGTGTCCTGAATCTGGAGGGTAGCCATACCTCTGGGAGAACTCCACGTTCAGCTGTACTGTTTCAGGGAATTCTCTATTTCAGAGCACTGCAATACCGCACTTGGCCGACAAGGAGCATCGCTTCTTAGTGGCGAGGATCATTTATCTCAAGTCTGCTGTTCTGTCTGAGAAGGTGTCCAGAGCATCGTACTCCAAGGGACATATCAGGCCATTCCGACAATGCCTTTGCAGAAAATTCCTCAAGGGCGGCCCGCGACTGATCCGCAAATGACCAAACGTCGGCAATTACAAGAACGGCGACGTACGCTGCAGACTATCAGCGAGCTTTCCGCAACCGAACACACTCCTGGCTTCAGAACGTCCATTGGCCATGCGCAAATATCTCCGGATCGACTAGGCTCAACAACCGCTGGCACCCGCAAGTCTTCAAATGTGAGCAAGCGACAAAGTCTACCTCAGTACTGTGCCCGACCCGAATGCATTGAAAGTCGGTCTCCGGTTCCTTCGACAGACATGATGCTTGCACAGCGGGCGCCGCTCGACAGGGAAGGCCACACGAGTCGCACACAACCCGAGGTAGGCTGGAATGCTCGCAGAGCACAAGCAAGAATGCAGGCCGAGCAGACACTTTCAGCAAATACTGTAAGACGAGAAATGTCCAGCACAAGCTTGCAGGCAGGAAGCTTCCATAGCAGGGCGAACACGCCGCAGCTATCGAGAAACAAGACAAGCCAACCGTATCTCAAATCCTACTACAGTCAACAACATCTTATCCATGACAGTCGCTCGATGACAAGCACGCCATCGCGTTCCGACCTGACCTCGAGCGCCGGCCGTCCTTTACGACCCAGTGACTCTCGCGAGCACGATGGCGATTCTTCTGAACATACCAGCACAGACTCGAGTTCGTTTCGCTCCAGTCGCGACAGCACTATGCGCAGGTCTCGTTCCAGCTCTTCCAGTCAGTCTCTCACGGTGCCTGGAGTGCCTCCACTACCAACTGGATGTCCGCAGCCCACACGCTCTTACTACATGGCGGCAACGTCGCACTATCGTAATGGATATCCCGTCCAGCACCCGGGACCAATGTACGCGAAGACACCATCAGAGATGCGCACCTCGTCGCTGCCGTACACGCGCGTTGACCAGTATACCACTCCTCTGCTCGGAACCATGTCACCAGGACCACCGAAGAATATGTCCAGTAGTTATTTCAACGTACCTCAGAAACCACGACCAAAGTCAGTGTCAGCACGCTCATCATCGAGCCAACAGCAGCAAGTGCGCCAAAAGCGCTCTGCCTCCGTTACTCAACCCGCACGCTACAAACACCCCCCATCAGCCCCCCTCCCCGCGCGCCCAGCCTCAATATCAAGCCGCCACCGCGCCTCGAGCCTCAAATCCCCCTCTTCCACAAAGCGCACCGAAACAGTAACCTTCGACCAGCCCCCGTCCGTGCCCGACCGCCAGAGCCTGACGAAGTGGAAATCTGAGCGCGAAGAAGCCAAGGCCGAGTTCAATTTCATGCATCGCGCGACGATGAAGGAAAGAGTGCGGCGCGCGAATGAGATGGAGCAGGAGAAGGAGAAGGAGTTGCAGAAGATGGGGATGGGGGCGGAGAAGGGGGCGAGGGTATTGGGGGGGTGGGGGTTGAAGGAGAGGGGGTGCTTTGGGGGGCTTTGGGGGAGGATTTGGGGGAGGGTGAAGAGGTAGGGGATGTTTGGGGAATTTGCTGTAATGGGTATTGCTGGAAGGGGTTGGATGAATGAATGTAAATTGAACCAATGTACATAATGATATGCAACGATCTTCGAACTTGGCTGTCTTACATCCGACTAGTGTACGATTTATCCAGCGATGCGATCTTCGAACGCCCGGCCTGCAATCTGTCGTCGACATCGCTGAACTGAATTAGAGTTCTGCGGGTTCGCCGTGGCGTCGCGAACTAGTCTGCAAGTCATCAAGACAACCTTATCGGACATCGCATCCGCTACACGGCGACGACACCGACGCTGCTGCCTGCTCTCGGCTCGTTCCACCGAGAGATCAATGTCATCATAGGTGGGCTGGGCTGCTCGTGATGCTCCTCGGAGCGCCCCCCAAACGGGGTCCAAGGACGATACTCGTTGGGTGCAAGTTGTCGATCAGCCGAGCGACGACGCAGATCTCTCATCGCTGAGCGGTTCGTTACGAGAAACAGAGTTCCAGAGCGAGGTTTACACAATTGCCCGAGGCGCCGAGGCAACGCATTGCAAGGGAACGTTGACTGGCGCATCTTGAACGCGTGCTTGAATCTGCGGTTTGGCGATTTGCGAAGATGGGATCATCCTTGAGTGGTATTGATTGGGGCATGTGTGCCAAATCTTGAAAATGCTGCGTCTCAGGACTTACTCGCGCTCGACATGCAGGCGGCGGGGCAAGAACCGGATGCAGAGCAGACGTGTGGTATGATAGGTATAATAGCGGCGTGCTATACGCCTGTTTGCTGTATTGGCTGGCTCGCAACGAAATGCAGACCCCGCTGTGGAGAAGCCGGAGAAGCTGCTGCTGTTGGTGAGCTATCTTGGTTGCAGCTGAAGGTTGAGACGAGAGGTGCCGGGAGCAGTGTCGATCGCACTCTGCTGAATGTTCCGAGCACAAAGTCTAATTGGAGCCGAAGCCACGCGCGGAGGTGAGGCTGATATGACAAAGGAGGGTTAGTGCTGCCGTGTGTCTTGAGCTGCTTTGGACTGTTTGCCCCCTCGATTCATGCCTGGAGCTGATGAACAGGGCGTGCTCATCGTATGTTGGGTGTTGGGGCGTTGGGGGTGTTGGGGGTGTTGGGGAGAGGGCGGCGTCTCGTCACATGAGAGGGTCCTGGACTCCTGATCGGTAGCGACCAAACTCTATCTGATATCACGTCACAGCCAGCGACACTCTGAGTGAGGCGATTCGATTGTGTATCTTCTGAGATTGTCATGTTTCCCAAGGCGGCTGCTGGGAGCCGAGCACGGACGCTACGATGGGGGCAGCCCCCTCCGCTAGCACGCATGTCGATGAAATGATGTGCTCTCTCCGCGAAGGCCGTCGACAAGCTGGTGGTCCGCCCTGAAAGCTCCTTTTCGCACGCGCGAACCCACTTGTTGTGGAGTGAGTTGTGTCCGGAGAACGCCCCAATCGGCTCCGCCTGCCCTCTGCCCTCCTGCCCAGCACCCTGCACGGCTCCCAATGCCTGCCAGAGCAGCCCCGCGCTGCGTACGCCGCTTGAGAGAGCAGGCTGTCACACGCCCACTCGTAACCTCGACGTCGCACCCACCACCGTCTCAGACCACGGCGAGCATCACGTCGACGCTCCCATGCCTGCGACAGGAGGAGAGGCGCGCCGTGCACGCTGCATCCGCGAAACGCTCGGAGAAGTCCAAAAGCGTCGAGTCGATGCAGCCTCCGCCGCGCAGAGAATCCGTGACGGGTTCGTCGAGTACCACCACCACCCGGCGCCCGGCCCTCAAGGGACGCGCCTACTCGACCCCGATCGCCCCCAAGCTCAACGACAAGGGCGTGGTCGACGACAATGCTTCGCTGTACTCCCAGGACGGCGAGGAGATAGCCGACGACGCCTTCTTCCATGCGCTACCACTTCCCCCAGCCCGTCGAGAGCACCAAGGAAGAGGCCTCTGAGAGCGAGGTCGATTCTTCTTCAGACACCGAGGGCCCGCTGTCGCCCACGCACATCCACAACCGCCAGCCGTCGGCTCAGGCAGCCTCCGAGGCGTCTTCAGGTGTATGTAGATTATTATTTTTTGGTAGCGTCTCTCTAGAGCCGGACTCAGCGCTGACATGAATGTACAGGAGAGCAACAACGACGCGGCTCCAACCATGCTGGACATGAACATCGCCGTTATTGGCGCGCCCGGCACTGGCAAGACCACCTTCATGCAAAAAGCCCTGGGCTTGGCCGACACAACACCACCGACCCAATGCCACAGGAAATGGACCATCGACAACATCCCCTACGTGGTGCGCTTCGTGGAGCTCAAGATCGACGACATTCACGTCAAGCCGGGCAACGTCATTGAGTGGCCCAAGGCTGCCGACGACGCAGCACCACCACGCATCGACGGCGCAATCACCATGTACGACGTGACAGTCAAGGAGAGTTTGGCCGGCGTGCCAGAATTGATGAGTCAGTGCAGTCGTGGCGCGAGGAAACGCCGTGTAGCTAACGCGGTTTGCAGGCATACTGGCCAAGGCACACATCCCCTTCGTTCTTGTCGCCTGCAAATGCGACCAGCACCCCGCGCATCGCGAAGTTGACCCCTCCGTGGTCGAACAAAAAGCAAAGACATTTCTCGGGGACGTGCGTGTCTTTCAGAGCTCTGCGTCCTCTGCCGACACACAGCGAGAATGTCTGACATTCGTGACAAGGACCGTCATTGCGGCAAAACGACGTGAGTGGCCCTCCTCTGTCTCAGCAACTTCGAAACGAGCCCTGTCTTGCTCTGTGAGACTGTAGATACTATATCCGATTGGACGCGAATGTTGACTATCAAATGCAGCTCGATCACAAGCATCTACGGCACGACGAAGAGCAAACTCGTCAGCTGTTCGCTCCATTCACAAAGACATGTGGCGAAAACACGAACGCGCCAGCTCTGAGATTTCGGTGCGGTACCGACCAGCATCGACTGAAGGAAAAGGACATCGCTATAAGCCAAGTGACGCAAACAAGACATTCTTCAACGCCGATGAATCGCCTGGATACGACTCGCAAGAATCCGATGACCAAGATTCTGATACCGCACAGAGCATCATGTCCGTGAAGCCATCCGACGAGACGGGATACACTTTCGATCAGCTGGTGGACCGATTACTGGCCCAGCCAATGTCGAAGAACGATTCGAAATTTGTCGCCATATTCCTAGCTCTCTACCGGAAGTTTGCGACCCCGGGACAGCTGCTGGATGCAATTCTGAAGCGATTCGATGCCCTTAGCAAGGACAAGAGTCTGCCTATTATGCGCGTTGTTGCACATTTGCGTTATCTTGCTGTTCTGGAGGAATGGGTCTCCCACTATCCTGGCGATTTTGCATATCCCACGACACGCAGACTGATTCGAAAGTTTGCATCCGCTCTGGCGTCTAGTCGCGAGTATGCGGTGGCGGCGAACGAGATTATCCACGACCTCGAGTGGGTCATCCAGGATGACGATACAGAGTGGGCGTGCAACGATCGACTGCGCGCGCAGAATGACCAGATACCAGTCTTCCACCACAGTGTGCTCGACGAGGATTCCGACGAAGGAGATTTCACCAAGTCGTTTGGCGATCTGACGTTCTCCGGCGATCGCACGTCTATTGCTCGCGACAGTGTCCTAACTACCAGAACGAAGAATACCAACTCCACCATCGGGTCTCTAGGATCATCACAAGCACTTCTCACGCAAGTGGAGAAGAACGAACGACTGGCTCAGCAGCTGGAGCCGAACCCGATCAAACCATTATCGAAGATCCAATGGCATCAGCTTATGAGCGAATCGGATGAAGCGATTGCCAAGGAGCTGACCAGAATCGACTGGATCATGTTCTCTTCCGTCCGTCCTCGAGATCTGGTGCGACACGTCAGCCTGAACGCGGAGGAGAGAAAGAGGTGCAGAAATCTGGAGAACGTGACACGCATGACTGAGCACTTCAACCATGTCTTTTACTTGGTCCAGAACTACATTCTTCTCCGCGACAAACCGAAGCATAGAGCTCTGATGCTTGAGAAGTGGATGAAGATCGCCAGACAACTCCGCAAGTTGAACAATTACAACTCCCTGACTGCGATCATTTCAGGAATCAAGAGTGCCCCGGTCCATCGCTTGTTGGCTACGCGAGATCTGGTGCCGCAAGCAACGACGCATGATTTTCTGAAACTCGACATTCTCATGGGCTCTCAAAAGTCGCACTTTGCATACCGCCTGGCGTGGGATAACAGCTCAGGAGAACGCATTCCTTATATTCCCCTCCATCGCCGCGATCTCGTGTCCGCATCCGAAGGCAATTCTACCATCGTTGGAGACAAGAAGAAGACTGACTCAGCGTTGGCGCCACATCCTGGTGTCAACGTGTTCGCTGCTGTACTAGGAAGAGACAGCAAAGAAGCCCCACCAGGTGGCGTTGTTGGCAAAGAAAGAATCAACTGGAAGAAGTTCGAGATCATGGGAGATGTGATTGTTAGCGTACAACGCGCTCAGGGCACGCCATACCCAAGCTGGCCAAAGTGCGAAGAAATCCGGAACCTAGTCCTGGACGTCAAGATTGCCAAGGACGAAGATGTAAGTTTCCTGATGCCGAGTTCCTATATGTTTTACTAACGCGCTAGTGTTACCAGCCACTGTACGAGCGCAGCACGCATCTTGGAAGCACCAGGTGCTGGGCGAGAAAGGAAGATTCGCCAAATGGATTCCGAGAGCGTTAGTGCTTCTTTTACTAGACGTCGACCGATTTCTTATCTTCATCTTTGCGAGAGATCAGATAAGCTAAGCGTAGCTCCGTAGCCCGGCTCTCGCTCCCTCACCTCCCGCCATCGCAAAACTACCAGGCTGCCGACAGCCCACTCAACTACGTGCGCATCTGAAACATGCAGACAGTAACGAACATCTACCTCAGCCATATACCCATGTTATACGCATCTACATTCAAAACCTCCATATACACACCATATATTTTACGCACACCTTCGTCTACAAGCAAGCTTGCGACTCTAGCCCGCACCGGCGCTTTTACCCCGACATTCGTCATTACCTGTTACACATCACTTGCTGGACTTTCTGCACGATACCACTATTCGGCTTTCCTTTGTTCTGGTAGCTCGACCCGTTGATGGTTTCTTACGCGTCTGATGGCACAGGCACCTCAGATGCATTACAAAATAGGGGACGATTTATACTACTATATACCACACTTCATTGTATCATGTTGGCGAGGTGGATTTGGATGGACCTTTGCTGTTATTGAATTGATGCTTGAGAGAATTGGTGTTGGTGTATGCGATTAGTTGGTGCATAGTTAATATTATTGGCGGCTTCGGTGAAGCTGCTCGCAATTCGTCCGACATGGTTTTCTGACTGCTTAGGAGTGTGGAATGATGCTTCTTGCATTAGATGGAATGACTAGGCAATTTAATAAAAGACCCAGTGTAGGCTGTGGACCATGGCTATCCTCTCCCAATCTGGTTCGGGATCGAAATCCTTCATTACCCTCCCTTTGATTTCCGAACTTCTGTACGGATGGAATTCTGATGGCTGCTCAGGATCGCGAAGCATGATATTGCAGCAGGAATCCACTTGCAGCCCTTGGAGCCAAGCAGGGTACCACCCGAGACACTCCCAGTCAATCAAGAAAACTTCCCAGTCTTCACCTCCGTTGTCTCCTTCGACCTGTCGAGCGATGATGTTTGCAATCTTTGGATCCATCCATGTGAGCTTTGGCTCTTGGGGTCCCCAGCCAGGGAAGACAGATATGAGCCGCGCCATTAATTCTGCGTGCTTTGAGGGCCAATCTACACAAGAATAGCTTGCGGCCTTTTGTACTTGCGAACTACGATAGACAGCTGCACAGTATTCTTCGTAGGTTTGATACGGCCCGACAACCATTCTGTGTGAGCTTGTATTTGAGTTCAAGCCTGTTGGCGGGCACAACCACCCTTTTTTATGAACCCGTCCGTAGTATCCCTCAGATGGAAGCTCGCGCAGATAACGAAGTTGTGATGATGCCTTGGCACAAATGATATTCTGCGCATGTATCGGCAATCCTGCAAACTCTTCATGGTCCAAGGGGATGCCTTCGATAAAATTCATCATTAGGCAATATATTGCGCTACCGGTTATAGATGTAGTTGACCAGGCAGCCAAAACAGTAGGTATACGCAGCTTAGGACGCTTTTGTGCAAGGAAAAGCAGATTCTCAGCTTCCTAGTTTAGTTCTCTTCGTTAGTTTAATGTGCAATGCATTACTGTGCCTTGCTTATTTCTATGATATCAGGACTAGCGCTGCATTTAATGACTGTGTCTCCAATCCTGCATACGTTGTGCAGGTGAAGATCTTTATGAAGAGAACTCTTTGCAGTTGCTTCGTCAATCTCCTCCATGGATGGAATAGGCGGGCTAAGATGCGCTTGGTAAAAAAGTACCACAGCAGGATTTGGTTTCAACGTAGTCCATGTCGTCAGATCAGCAGGGGCAGGCGAGGTGAGAATCTCCATTTGTTTCAAAGATGCGGCGCTCTTATTTGGAGCCTTCCAATCTTCTAGAAGTACCTGTTCTTTAGAACGAAGTGCCAATTCAGGCGTCCACAGAAGGTTTGGACGTTCTGCATCCATGTTGATGAGGGAGAAATATTTCGATGGGGAAGTGAGCTATTGTGTGTATACGAGCGAATATCCAATCGAGTAGGTGAGCAGACAAGACGTAGAAAAGGATAGACCAGCATGGCGAGGTCTTAATACCATGTATACTACAATATAGTCTTTGTTGTTCGACATGTGCAAGTACTCGCTCCCAAGGTCGGTATTTTTTTTTTCCCTCCTTCCACAATTGCGCATTACAAAGAACACTATGTGCGTTAGCAACCCACTCCTGTTTCGAGTACGTACTGCTCAAATACACAAATGGGTTATTCTACAGTAGTTCCGGTTACGGCACTCGGTGTAATTATTTTTCTTTCACCAATTGCGCGCTGCTAAGAAGACTGTGTACTAGGGGCACGCACTTGGGGTGTACTTGCTTTTGAACATGAACAAAGGATAGTTTCATAGGCCGAGATTATTCCGGATCGGGCGCTCTCTCTGAACATTTTCTTTCTGCAATCAAGGAAATGTGCGGACAGGAATAAGATATACGTACACAGCACGATCACATCAGCCTACCATTGTTGATGCAGTAGCTTGGCGATGGAACCGAAGCACTCAACCGCAACGTAAGAGCGTGGTAGGAGAAGTTATTCGTAGTATCAGCCTAGAACCCAACCGAACCCTCGTCATATACGTAGTGTTGATCCAAACCAAACGGTTTCTTAGTTACAGAAGTTGGAGCAAATATGCCGGAGGAAAATGGGTCAGTATAGCGAGGAACGTTGTATGTTGCCAAGCGTTTTTCCTGCAAGAGTCTTCGAAACCTCATCTGCCCGACTCCATTATCCGAACTAGGGAATGCAGCCCTCGCACATCGTGTTCGCGTGAAGTGCGCCACGACTGGAGAACTTGTGGGGCCTGCGCGTGGGGTGGCCCCATGCGGGATGGCGGGCATCCCCTGTCGCCGCCGTTTCGAGGCGGCCGAGGAACCCTCGGCAATTGATCACCTGCGTTGGCGTCGCAGATGCCATGCACCTGGTTTATTAGACGTGTTACAGCTCGGGGAAACTTGAACATGCCCTCTTGTTGTGTTGCCTGATCATCTCCACCTGCATTGTGTCTGCTCCCATATTCTTGTGTATTCCATTGTAGATAAGGGTCCAGCATGGCTCTTCCGATCGGTTCGTTGTTGCTGTGCTCCGTTGTACACGAGCTGCGTAAGCTAATCAAGCACCACAGCTCCCCAGGCCGTTGCTGGCGCCATCGCTGGCGCAACTGCTGCAGCCGCATACATCGACGCCAAATACCACTTCAGCAAAGACATATCAGCCCTGCGCGCTCAAAAGGCGACGCAGCGCGCGTTTGAGAAGAATGGTGCGGAGCTTACATCCGACATGTCCACAGACAGCCGCTAACGAGCAACAGCACGAGGACGAGGCCAGTCTCCCTGGTACCAATTCGAAGCACAAGTCCAGCGCCTGCCCGCACACGACGAAGCCATCTGGTCCCGCAATGGCTGCTACACCTGGGCCGAAACCTACGCCAACGCCTGCCGCTATGGCCAATACATGCTGCAGAACGGCGTGCAGTCGGGTGAGCTCGTCGCCATGTACATGACAAACCGCCCGGAATTCCTCTTCACACACCTCGGCTCGTGGTCGATTGGCTCGGCGCCGGCGTGGATCAACTACAACTTGGCGGGCGACTCGCTGGTGCATTGCTTCAAGATTGCGGGCGCCAAGGTCGTCATCGTTGATGAGGATGCCGAGTGCCCGGAAGAGGATCGAGGATGTGAGGGATCGGGTTGGGAGGGCGAGCTGGGTATGACGATCAAGGGTGCTGGATCAGCGGGCTGAAGGGGGGAGATTTCGAGGGATGGAGCCGAAGAGGCCGGATGATGAGATGAGGAAATGGCTGCGAAGGGGGAAGTTTCCTCCATCCTTTTTGTTCTACAC